AGGACGTCGAGAGCAACCTTCGCTCGGTAGCTGCCGCCTCTGGTGCTGTGCCCCCCCCACTCTTCCACGGGTGCACAGTCCCGCAGTTACCCACCTTCACTGCCTCTCTTGCCACTGCCGCTACTGACGCGACTGCAGCTGCTGTTACGACTGCGTCGCGGTCCCGCGGCAAGGGGGGCAAGAAAGGTGGTTCTGGTGGAGGTGGAGGCGGAGGTAGCGGAGGTAGTGGGGGTGCTGTTGCGACTGGCGGTGGTGGGAGTGCAGCGTCTGGAGAGACCTCTCGTGCAGCGGCTGGTGACTCCACTGCGCCTGCTGGTGGTGGCGACACCCGAGCTCGTCAGTCGTCTCCTGTACTGCCGGCCCCGCTAGGTGGAGCAGCGGCGTGGTACCAGGCTCAGCGTCAGCAGCGGCTTCAGCAGCAGCAGCAGCCCCTCTCCTCCCAGCAGCCTCAGCAGCAGCAGCGTCAGCAGCTGGCTCCAGGGTCGGGGCTGCGTCAGACCCAGCGCGGTGCTGCTTACACTCCCTGCACCTGTCGCAGCAGCAGGAGCAGCAGCAGAGGCAGCAGCCGCTGGAGCAGCAGCAGCCACAGCAACCGCGGCAGCAGCAGCAGCTGCTGCCGTCTCCTCCTCCTGTCTCGGGTCTTCGGACCCTTGGTCTCCCGTCTCCCTCTCCTTCCTCCTCCCCCTCTCCTCCCGTCTCTGGTCCTCCGCTTCCTCCTCCTGACCCCTCTCCCGCTGTTTTCCCTCGTTCTCAGTCTTCGTTGTCTCCTCCTCCTTCTCAGACTTGGGCCTCTCGTCGCTCCCCTCGTGCTCGTCCCTCGTCTCCTGTTCCCTTCACTGACCTTCGTACAGCCTTCCTTTGTTCTCGTCCACCTCGTCCGTCTCCGTCTGTGCTTCCGTCTCCTCCTGAGTCGGCCCTCACTGTGTCGCTTCCTTCTCCTGTCACTGACTACTACCGCACGTACCGTCCTGTTCTCTCTCGTGTTCTCGCCTCTCTTGTTACCCACCCTCGTGCCTCTGTGTCCTCTGTGTCCGCTCTTACTGCCGCAGTCACTGAGTTTGCCTCTACCCGCCGCCTTGACTTCGCCACCGCTCTTGTGGCAGCTCCTCCTTCCAGTCCTCTGGCCGTCGGGGGTGTGTCTGCCCTTGGCTGTGACGCCCTAGAGGACAGGCAGTTTGAGCTAGAGTTCCTGGCGGCCGCTTCCCCTCATCTCTGTGCCATGCTCCTCGCCCCTGAGGGTGACCCCGACGCCCTTGACATTCCGACTCCTCGCACTTACGCTGAGGCAGTGTCAGGGCCTTGGGCCTCTCAGTGGAGAGCTGCCATGGACGCAGAGATGGCCTCCTACAGATCCACAGGCACCTACGTCGATGAGGTTCCCCCTCCGGGGGCGAACGTAGTCGACGGCATGTGGATCTACAGGGTGAAGCGGCCACCGGGATCTCCTCCGGTCTTCAAGGCGCGCTACGTGGCTAGAGGTTTCAGTCAGCGCGAGGGAGTTGACTTCTTTCAGACCTTCGCGCCCACCCCGAAGATGACCACTCTTCGGGTGTTACTACACGTAGCAGCACAGAGAGACTACGAGTTACACTCTCTCGACTTCTCTACTGCTTTCCTTCAGGGCAGTCTTCACGAGGAGGTCTGGTTGCGTCGTCCCTCTGCCTTCACTGGCTCTTTCCCTCCTGGGACCCAGTGGAGGCTGAGGCGACCGGTTTACGGTCTTCATCAGGCTCCTCGTGAGTGGCACGACACCCTGCGTTCTACCCTGTCTGACCTTGGGTTCCAGCCGTCTTCTGCTGACCCGTCGCTGTTCGTTCGTCGTGGCCCCACACCTTTCTTTGTTCTGGTCTACGTTGACGACCTTGTTTTCGCCACCCCTGACAGGGTTGCTTTGGCACACGTGAAGTCCGAACTGCAGAAGAGACACACCTGCACTGATCTTGGTGAGCTGCGCCACTACCTTGGCCTGCAGATCACCAGGGACAGAGCTGCTCGCACCATTACACTTTCACAGTCGCACATGGTGCAGCAGATCCTTCAGCGGTTCGGGCTTCAGCACTCCACAGTACAGCGCACACCTCTTGCTGTTGACCACAGACTCACTGGACCCTTTCCTGACGAGCCGTTCGAGCCTAGTGGTCCCTACGCAGAGCTTGTGGGTTGCCTCATGTACCTGATGACTTGTACTCGCCCGGACCTCGCCTTCCCTCTCAGCGTTCTTGCGCGCTTTGTTGCGCCAGGGAGACACCGTCCTGTTCACTGGACAGCAGCTGTGAGGGTGGCGAAGTACCTAGCGACGACGTCAGGCGTGGGGCTAGTTCTTGGAGGGCAGCAGTCTGTCGTACTTACTGGTCACTGTGACTCCTCTTACGCTGACGACGCTGAGACTCACAGGTCTACTCAGGGGTACTGTTTCAGCCTGGGTTCTGGAGCTGTTTCCTGGCGGTCCACGCGCTCCTCTTCGGTCTCGACCTCTACAGCTGAGGCTGAGATCTACGCTGGTGCCATGGCGGCACAGGAGCTGCGTTGGTTGACCTTCTTGCTCACCGACCTTGGTGAGCGGCCGAGCTCTGCACCGACCTTGTTCACTGACAACAAGGCGTCTATTCTCCTTTGTCGAGAGCCACGACTGGAGAGCAGAGTGAAGCACATTCACGTCAGGTACTTTCTTCTGCGAGAGTTGCAGAGGCGTGGACAGGCTCGCTTTGAGTTTGTGGAGTCCGAGGCCAACACTGCAGACATCTTCACCAAGGCGCTTCCGCCTTGTGACCACCAGAGGTGCTGTGTGCAGTTAGGCCTTGTTGACACTGGTTCTCGTGTTGCTTAGACTTGAGTGTACTGTTTACTTTGCTTTCTATATATCTCTGTTACTTCTTGGACTGGCCTTGTGGCCACTGTTGTTTGTGCTCAGACTGTGTGGTGACGTTGTGATCCACCCTGAGCTTTGTTTCTTGGACTGGTCTTGTGACCGTACTCGTTTGGTTCTGCTAGACACCCCTCACTTAGGCTATGGGGGTGTGTCAAATGTTGTAGCCTATAGTGAGGTTTGTCTTAGGGGGTACAAAACTTAGGGTTAGCTATATGTACCCCAACCAACATCAATGCACCATCCATTCTTCATTCTGACACTTTCCCTCCTGGGACCCAGTGGAGGCTGAGGCGACCGGTTTACGGTCTTCGTCAGGCTCCTCGTGAGTGGCACGACACCCTGCGTTCTACCCTGTCTGACCTTGGGTTCCAGCCGTCTTCTGCTGACCCGTCGCTGTTCGTTCGTCGTGGCCCCACACCTTTCTTTGTTCTGGTCTACGTTGACGACCTTGTTTTCGCCACCCCTGACAGGGTTGCTTTGGCACACGTGAAGTCCGAACTGCAGAAGAGACACACCTGCACTGATCTTGGTGAGCTGCGCCACTACCTTGGCCTGCAGATCACCAGGGACAGAGCTGCTCGCACCATTACACTTTCACAGTCGCACATGGTGCAGCAGGTCCTTCAGCGGTTCGGGCTTCAGCACTCCACAGTACAGCGCACACCTCTTGCTGTTGACCACAGACTCACTGGACCCTTTCCTGACGAGCCGTTCGAGCCTAGTGGTCCCTACGCAGAGCTTGTGGGTTGCCTCATGTACCTGATGACTTGTACTCGCCCGGACCTCGCCTTCCCTCTCAGCGTTCTTGCGCGCTTTGTTGCGCCAGGGAGACACCGTCCTGTTCACTGGACAGCAGCTGTGAGGGTGGCGAAGTACCTAGCGACGACGTCAGGCGTGGGGCTAGTTCTTGGAGGGCAGCAGTCTGTCGTACTTACTGGTCACTGTGACTCCTCTTACGCTGACGACGCTGAGACTCACAGGTCTACTCAGGGGTACTGTTTCAGCCTGGGTTCTGGAGCTGTTTCCTGGCGGTCCACACGCTCCTCTTCGGTCTCGACCTCTACAGCTGAGGCTGAGATCTACGCTGGTGCCATGGCGGCACAGGAGCTGCGTTGGTTGACCTTCTTGCTCACCGACCTTGGTGAGCGGCCGAGCTCTGCACCGACCTTGTTCACTGACAACAAGGCGTCTATTCTCCTTTGTCGAGAGCCACGACTGGAGAGCAGAGTGAAGCACATTCACGTCAGGTACTTTCTTCTGCGAGAGTTGCAGAGGCGTGGACAGGCTCGCTTTGAGTTTGTGGAGTCCGAGGCCAACACTGCAGACATCTTCACCAAGGCGCTTCCGCCTTGTGACCACCAGAGGTGCTGTGTGCAGTTAGGCCTTGTTGACACTGGTTCTCGTGTTGCTTAGACTTGAGTGTACTGTTTACTTTGCTTTCTATATACCTCTGTTACTTCTTGGACTGGCCTTGTGGCCACTGTTGTTTGTGCTCAGACTGTGTGGTGACGTTGTGATCCACCCTGAGCTTCGTTTCTTGGACTGGTCTTGTGACCGTACTCGTTTGGTTCTGCTAGACACCCCTCACTTAGGCTATGGGGGTGTGTCAAATGTTGTAGCCTATAGTGAGGTTTGTCTTAGGGGGTACAAAACTTAGGGTTAGCTATATGTACCCCAACCAACATCAATGCATCATCCATTCCTCATTCTGACATGGCTGACAGGTCCACGTAGTCCGGGATCTCTGCCTTGCTGACAGGTACAGCACAGCACACGCACTGCTCCAAACATGTTGCTCATTACTGTCTCCTACCAGCTATCATTCGTCCATGAGCAGTGTCTGGAAGAGCTTGGGTCCGTCAGGAATGGCCGAGAGGTCCACATACCAGTCTGGGATCTCCGTCTTGCTGACATATACAGCACAACACACACACTGCTCCTAACATGTTGCTCATTACTGTCTCCTACCAGCCATCGTTCGTCCATGAGCAGTGTTTGGAAGAGCTTAGGTCCATCAGCGATGGCCGAGAGGTCCACATAGTCTGGGATCTCCGCCTTGCTGGCGAGTACAGCACAGCACACACTGTTCCCTATCCTATCACTCATCCGTGGGAGTTGTTTGAAAGAGGTATCATTCATCCATGAGCAGTGTTTGGAAGAGCTTTGGCCCATCAGGGATGGCTGAGAGGTCCACATAGTCTGGGATCTCCGCCTTGCTGACCCACGCGAAATCTTTTATTGTCCGGGGAGCTGGTTGAAAATCACCTCCTAGGACATGCGCTCGGAAGAAAAACGCAGTGGCATCAGCCTGGTTGGAACGAAGATTGTCATAGGGAGATGGGGAGGGTGTGGAGGGGAGACTTGTAAGTCGACTCAAAAGTCATCTGGTTACACTTGGTAATCACTGCCTAAGACATGGGCTCGGAAGAAGAAAGCCGTGGCTGCAGCCTGGTTGGCGCGAAGATCGCCATAGGGAGATGGGGAGGGTGTGGAGGGATGGGGGAAGGTGGGAGGGAAAAGACATTTGAGACGTCTCAGAAGGCGTCTAGGACATGGGCTCGGTAGAAAAACGCAGTGGCATCAGCCTGGTTGGCACGAAGAATATAAGAGGGAGAAAGGAAGGGTGTGAGGGGATGGGGGAAGATGTGCAGGAGGAGAGATGGGCCCACAACTGAGATAAGGGGTATGGTATTGTGTGATGTGAGGTGTGGCGAGAGGTGTGTCAAAAGGTGCTGTGCGAGAAGAATGAGTGCTCACAGCATGAGAACAAGGATGGATCATTCAGGTCAACACGAGTATCAAGACGCACAACCAGTCGTACGCATTACTGTCACACACAGCATTTGCTTTTTGAGAATTCTCCAAAACAAACGTCGAACGCATTACTGTCACACGCAGCAACAATGGGTAATATACATGAGGGCCACAGGCACCTGGCACATTGCCAATGAGGGACCCAAGAACTGGATGCATGTCGTACATGCGTGCACCTGTCATGCCGCAACAGGGATTACCATGGGAGCATGCGCGCAAGGAGCATTGCCGACAAAGTAGAGGTCAAGGGAGGAACCGAGGGATGCAGCTGCTGCCCGCTCCGCACACTGCAGGTGAACACACAGGCCGAGGCGCACGGGGGGAGCGGAGAGAGGAAGAAAGAAGGCGGGAAGAGGAGGGGAAATAACAGAGAAGGAGATTATGGACAGGGAAGGAAAAAGGGCCATGGGGAAGGGTTGGGAGGGGTGGGGGAAACGGGAGTCTCTTTTGAGAATTCCATGTCAATAGAATAGGTATGGCTGGAATGAACACTTGAAGTGAAGCACACATAGCATGTAAAGCACACCTGGCGCTTGAGAAACCTCAAAAAGCACACCTGACGCATGGAGTCCTCGCCTTCATAAAGCTTCTCCGGGAAGTGCCACGTGTCGCTGCCTGATTGGCCGGCAAGCGAGGGCCCCTTGAGCAGCAGGTACAGGCGCTTGTCCAGTGCGCGTTGCAGGGACCTGGTGGGGGGGGATGTTGGGGAAGGAGGAAAGAAGGAAGGGAAGAAATGGGGAGAGTGGGGGAGTGGGGGGAGCAGGTACAGGCGCTTGTCCAGTGCGTGCCGCAGAGACCTGGTGGGGTGGGAAGGAGGGGGAAGTGGGAGAAAGGAAGTGGGGGAGTTGGGGGAGTGGGGAAAATTAGGGGAGCAGGTACAGGCGCTTGTCCAGCGACCGTTGCAGGGACCTGGTTGGGAGATGGGACATTGAGGGGGACGGGGGTCAGTGAGAGGGAGGCAATGGGGGAATGTGGGAGGCCAGGAAAAGCAGGTAAGGCTAGCAAAGGCGAGGAAGCTTTATTGTGCTTGTCAGCGAAGCTGTCTGTAAGGAAGCTTTTTAATTTCACGCCTTCCTACCCACCTGACGTCATTGGCCTTCCTACCCACCTGACGTCATTGGCCTTCCTACCCACCTGACGTCATTGGCCTTCCTACCCACCTGACGTCATTGGCCTCGTCAGCAGCGGTTCGTCTAGACGGCGCGTCAAACGGCGCCTCGAGGACTCCCGCCCAGTACTCGTCCTCCTCCTCCGCCTCCCCCTCCGCGCCTGCTGCGCGCGCGGCGGAGGGGCGTGTGCGCGGAGAGGAGGGGGTTGTGCGCGCGGGGGAGAGGGGGGTGTGCGCGGGGGAGGGAGGCGGGGGAAGGGTGGGGAACGGAGACGGGAGTGGGTTAGGGGTGAAGGGGGCGGGAAGACAGTGGCAATGGAATATGGCGTGTTTTGAGAACGACTCAACACGAAGGATGTCTGGGGGAAGAATGGTGAGACGACGGCACGAGACTGAATGGAGAAAGCGGGAGATGGACGGATGGTGAAACGAGGGGAGAGGGGCCAGAACATCTGCCGTTGGGAGGAAACGAGTCACGGAACCGACACGAGGCACACCTGCATTGGTCGAAGCGGCCGCGTCTAGAAATTCTTTAGGATACTGCTTGCGGTATTGCTGTTTTCGCTCAAAACTGTAGCAAATGCAGAGGGAGGAAAAGGGTGCTCGTTATTGTCACACCTGGCCTGCTAGAAAACCGACCAGGCCTAGACGCAACCAATCAACCCGAAGCGCGAAAGAGGCTACTACGATCACGAGCCTAAAGCCTCGAGAGATTCCCGGGGCGCCTCGATACACGAACCTAAACGTCTCGTATTTAAGAGCCCATTCGGGAGGCTTCGGGATGACGACAGGGAGCCGCTCGACCAATAGCGACGCGATCAGCTGCTGACCCGCCGAGACGCTATCTACACTGCTCTCTGCGCTGAATAATCTTGCAGCAGCAGCGGAGCCAGCTGGCACACTCTGATTGGCCATCGGGGATCGCGCGATCCATGGCGATCTGCTCGCGGCTGACGTGGACAGGCAAGCGGGAATCAAGCCAGATGGTGCGGGACCAGCAGGTGCGACGGAGGCGGCGAGGCGGCCTAAGTGAACGGCTTGAACTGCGGCTCGACGCATGGTACGCGGACGAACAGAATTCTGTGATATCCTAGGGGCCGATCTCGCTGCGGGTTTCGACGTACGTTGCGAAACGATCAAGGTGTAGTAGTCAGGGGATAGATAGGTTACAAGGAGCGAGAACCCGCAGCGCTCGGTATACAGTAGGAGCGAACACAGCAAATCGTGTGCATAGGAACCTCGAGACTTCTCATACATAATCAGGAAGCGAGCGAAAGATGAGGTGTACCATCCCTCCTGCTCGTTGAATTCGTGCATTTTACAAGCGAGCGGTAACCCTTTATCGTTAGTCCCTTGACCCCATCGTCTATGAAATTTGTCCGCTGGTGACGATTTCACGAACGGTAACACGATCTCGCGGAAACAACACTCCTTTCTGGTCTCCCTGCTTGCCTTCGTTGACCCCTCTTCGCCCAGTTTCCACATCCTCCTGAACCTGATCCAAATCACTTGGCAATCCCGAGGCCTTCACCAAAAGCCATATTTCTTCACTAGACTGCTGCGATCACTTCACTTGTTGCGAAAATCTGAAAGCTTTAGAGCAGCACGCGCTCTTGAATCCGAAAAATGCTGGTCAGCCTTCCGAGGCCCGCTATCAACAGTAGCCCGTGTAGGAACCTTCCGGTGGTCGGGGCCACATCGGAACCCCCTGAACACTTCCATTCTTGCATATATCATGTCAAACCGCACATGGTGGCCTGCTCTCCCATTTCCGACCAATTTAGAGGAACATTCAAGCAGCCTAGAATCTCCCATTCAGGGATAGTCCCTGCGAACGTTTCCCGGGCTGTGCTAGGAAGACCATTCCCGCTTCAAATCTCCCGAAACGCGAGAAACGGTAATGCCGTCACATTCCCGACTTCCAGATCGGATTCCCGCAATCTCCGCACGAAAGGATGCTCGGCCTACCGAACCAGTGTATCAAGAAACCCACGTTTCGCGGCTCTCCCGCAACCTACAGAAAGAGCACCCTGCAGATCACGCAAAATCATTACCCACAAATGCCAGGCGGGGACGAAAGATCATGTCTCGCGAAGAAATGCGGGAAAAACACTACATGAGCAGCACCAATCGTTCATCGCCATGTGGCAGCGCATCGGTGTGGAACCAGCAGAGCCTCTGGTATGCCTGGGGGTGGAACCGCGGGAGAGAGTAGAGTCAAGAACGGGTGCCGATGAGGAGGACGAGGAGGAGGAAGGAGAACGACCTCTTCGCCTGCTCGCCCGGAACCGATCTCCCAGTTTCCCCCTCCGCTCCCCCTTCCGCATCTTCTGATTCCCCCGCAACCCCCACCTCTCCCTCTTCTGCGCCTTCTCCTCCCCCGTTTGCGCCCGTCCGTCCTCCCATCCCCGCCGACACGCCTCTGCTGTCCGTGCCTCTGCGCGCCACGCTGTGGGTGCCTCTGCACGCCACGTCAGCAGGAGGGGGAAGGGGGAGCAGCGGCAGTCCGGTGCAGCGACTGGCGATTGCACTGGTGCAGGCGGTGTGCGGGGGAGAGGACGCTGGGATGGGCGCGGGGGAGGGGGAGAGAGGGAGGGGAGTAGTGGGGATAGCGGCTGGTGAGGAGAAGGCGGCGCAGGGGGAGGAGGGGAAGGAGAAGCAGGAGCAGGCGCGGGAGGAGCGGATGTCGGGCAGAATATGGAGGCAGTATGCAGAGGAGCTGCTGCCGAGAGAAATAGAGGCACGTGATGCTGGTTTGGTAGCATGAGTGGTGTGGTGTGTTGTGGTGCGGTGTGGTATGGCTGGAATGGCATGGCATGGTACGATATGGTATGGCATGGCAGAGTGAGCATAAGGTAGCATGGTATGGCAGGGAGGAAAATGGTGTGCACACCACTTTCCCTCACCCTTCCCCTTTTTCCCATGTTCTCCTATCACCATCCACCCTGCCTCTCTTCATTCAGACTCTGGCTGATTGGAGTGGGGAGGAGTTAGAGTACCTGCAGTCTCCCCCAGCAGTTTTTTAAGACGTCTCAAAACAGACTCTGGCTGATTGGAGCACCGAGGAGTTAGAGCACCTTCAGTCGCCCCCACCAGCAGCGGACGTGCGAGCATACGCAGCAGAGATGGCAGCAATGGAAGCAGCACAACTCCCCTACCCTCCTCCACCCCTTTCCACACCCGTCTCGCTTCTTCTACTATCCTCCCGATATGCGTGTGCATCCAACACAGACTCTGGTTGATTGGAGCGAAGAAGAGTTAGAGCACCTGCAGTCGCCGCCAGCAGCAGCGGAGGTGCGAGCATACGCGGCAGAGATGGCAGCAATGGAAGCAGCGGTGGCTGCTGCCGTGCCAGGGGCGGGGAGGGAGAGAGCGCGGTGGGCTCTGCGCGTTGTCACCTCGCGGTCCTTCTCCATCTCCAATGCCGCTGACCCTGCTGGTGCTGCTGGCGCTGCTAGTGCTACCAATGCTGCTGGTGCTGCCGGTGCTGCCGGTGCTGCTGGCGCTGCTAGTGCTGCCGGTGCTGCCGGTGCTGCCGGTGCTGCCGGTGCTGCCGGTGCTGCCGGTGCTGCTGGTACTGCCGTCCCAGCTCATCCTGCCGAACCTGCCAAGGCGGCTGGTGCTGCGGAGTTGAGAGGAGCCACTGCGGATACACCATTCAGGGATGGTGGTGGTGGTGGATTGGCGGAGCAGCTGCCATCTGCGTTTCAGGTGGGTACCTCCTGTGCCATTCTCTTGCGCTCGTGAGGCTGCTTGGGCAGGCATGCATGGGTACAGTTTGATTGGGCAACTAAGTTGTCGGCCAGGGGTGGTCATAGTCCGTGCTTCCCCCACAAACTCTCAGCCTTCCAGTCCCTCTAGCGGACAGGCCCAATCACAGATGCAGCACTGCCACTCTTGGCACCGACTCGGGATTCAATCCTGGCTTTACTGTGCCCTGCTGCTCTCTCCGCCCTCCCTTCCCTTCTACCCTCTCCTCGCCCCTCATCCCCAGGTGCTTGTACCACTGGTGGACATGGCCAAGCACACCTGCTGCACTGCCACGGATTCACATGGCCGTCTTACACTCTGTCTCGAACCCCTTCCTCCTCCATCCATGCCCTACGCACATGCCCTATGCGTCACATGCCCTATTCTCTCTCCCCAATCCCCAGGTGCTGGTGCCCCTAGTGGACATGGCCAACCATGCCTGCAGCGCTGCCACGGAATCACACGCGGCTGTGCAGCCTTCTGCCACGTGGCGCATCAGGAGAGGGCAGACGCAGGTGAGTGTGGTGATGGGGGGTGGTGGTACGTCTTGGTTGGGTGGAGTGGATTGGAATGGAATGAAAGATGCTGTGAGAAACGCAGGCGATGAGGGCATCTGGTGTGGGCGAGAGCGCAGGGTGGAACGGAAGCAACCAACCACGAGAGTACCTTCCCTCCCTCACACACTCTGTCTGCACTTGTGCTCCTCCTTATGACCTGCTGATTACTAAACTTCAAAGCCTACCTACCGTTCTCACACAACCATCCCATGCTTCCATCTTCCCAACCCTCTCATCCCATCCCACCCCACTAGAGCCCTGTATCCGCGCCCTGCGCTCTCCGTTTAGAGCTGCTCGCATCACGCCCACTGCGACCCGGCACCCAAGCGACCATCTCCACCGTCCCCTCACCTCCCCTTCCCATCCCATCCCACCCAACCCCTCCACCCCTCCCAACCCTCCCATCCCACCAACCAGGCCCCTGCACCCAACTCTACCCCTCCCCGTTTCGAGCTGCTCGCATCACGTCCACTGCGACTCTGCACCCAAGTGACCATCAGCTACGGCCACTTCATCTTCCAACCCCTCCGTCCCACCCATCGCACCCACCCACCAGGCCCCTGCATCCAACTCTACCCCTCCGCGCTTTGAGCTACTAGCATCTCGCCCGCTGCGCCCTGGCACCCAAGTGACCATCTCCTACGGCCCTCTCACCTCGCTTGCCTTCCTGCTCTCCTTCGGCTTCCTCCCCCGCAGCAACCCCGCCAACCGAATCACCATCTACTCGCACTCGGAGGTAATGTGTTCAAACGGGGGAATGAGCGCAAAAAGTAACGCGCACTTTTAAGACGACTCAAAAGTCATCCCCCAAACCAACCCCACAAACCGAATCACCATCTACTTCCACTCAGAGGTAATGTGTGGATAATGAGGGAAAGAGTGCGATAAGTAACGTGCACTTCAGTTTCGATAACCCAACCGCATCTGGCTGGGATCGCCCTGTTGTCCAATCATTCTACCGACTCGACATTCAAGACCTGGTTGAAATCCATCCCATCCTTCCCTTCCCCTCTTCAATCCAATTCCATTTGCGCACAAACCCAAACGGCCTCTTTTTTTTTAATGAACTCAAATAGTAATTTGAGCATTTCAGTTATGAGCTGTGATCCTCTTCTTTAATGTCGAGTTTTTTCGTTCGACCTTGAGCATTTCAGTTTTGAGGTTGCATGGTCTAAAACTTAGACTACCTCCGCAAATCCAGTGCTCTCCCACCAATGTGTCTTGAGAATCGTCAGGAACCAACTAGCATGATTTCACCGTCGCAACTCAAACCTCCCATGCTCTCTTTCACCTGCTCCCGCAGCAAATGATGGACGATGTGGAGGAGAGGGTTGTTGGTGTTAGCCCTCAATCTCACATTTTGTACTTGTACTTTTATATCCTAGTTTAGTGTAGTTTGCACTTTGTGTTTGGTTGGGTGTACACCCACATCCCAACCAAACCCAAATGTAATCTCCAAGCAATCTCCAACCCACCAATTGGAGATTGCCTTGGGATTACCCCTGATTCCCTAGGATTGCCCCCCGATTCCCTCCTCGTCCATACCTAGCTCGTTCCTGATGTACTTAAAGAGCTTTGAGCTCACTACTAATGTATCAGTTCTAAGCCTAAGTTCTGATAAGGGTCACCCGCCTGCGGCTGGTGCATCTACTCAAAGTTGCATCCCCACCGCCCATGCCCCCCACCACCCATGCCCCCCACCGCCCATGCCCCCACCGCCCATGCCACCACCGCCCATGCCCCCACCTCCCATGCCCCCACCTCCCATGCCCCCGCCTCCCATGCCCCCACCTCCCATGCCCCCACCTCTCATGCCCCCACCTCCCATGCCCCCACCTCCCATGCCCCCAACTCCCATGCCCCCACCTCCCATGCCCCCACCTCCCATGCCCCCACCGCCCATGCCCCCACCGCCCACGCCCCCACCTCCCATGCCCCCACCTCCCATGCCCCCGCCTCCCATGCCCCCACCGCCCATGCCCCCACCTCCCATGCCCCCACCTCCCATGCCCCCACCTCCCATGCCCCCACCTCCCATGCCCCCACCTCCCATGCCCCCGCCTCCCATGCCCCCACCTCCCATGCCCCTGCCTCCCATGCCCCCAACTCCCATGCCCCCACCTCCCATGCCCCCACCTGCTGCCGCAGCAAATGATGGATGATGTGGAGGAGAGGGTAACAAGCCTGCAGCACAAGAGGCACCTGCTCTCACAGATGGCCTCAGAGGACGCCCCTCTCCTCGCCTACACCGGTAAGCTCCTCCCCTCTCCTCGCATGTACGAGCGAGTAAGCCCCTCGCCTCTCCGCGCCTGCAGCACAAGCGGCACCTGCTCTCACAGATGGCCTCAGAGGACGCCCCTCTCCTCGCCTACACCGGTAAGGCCCTCCCATTTCCTCGTCTCCACTGGCCCGCTCGCCTCTCCTCGACTGCACTCACCACATCTTGCTCTCGCTTTCTCACTCCCTGTCCTTTCCACTCCTCGTGTAAACATCTTGCTTGCTCCCTGTCCGCCCATCCAGGCGGCATAGGAACGAGGCTGATGGATTGTCTGCTAGTGCTGCATGCATCATCAGCAGAAGCGCTTGTTCACCTCAGTCACCACTCAGCTGCCCCTCTCTCTCACTCACTTTCTCCCTGTCCCCTCCACTCTCCATCCGTCATGCCCCACCCAGGCGGCATAGCAACAAGGCTGATGGAGTGTCTTCTAGTCCTGCATGCATCATCAGCTGACGAGCTTGCTCATCTCGACCACCATTGGACCGCCTCTCGCTCCCTCGCTGCTGCCAACGCCTCCCCACGTACACGCTCCGTGGCCGGTGTGTTACTTTGCGCTTATGCATGCGTTGCCATGGCAGGCGCATGTATGGACTACGTTTCCACTCACACATGCATTACTGTGACTGCTGAGTCGAGTCAAAGTCGCTGCGTGGCAAGTGTGTTTGGTTCCTTCCGTTGATTTTTGTGTTCCCTTGCACTGAGTTTTGTGTTACGTTATGAGCGTGTATCGCCCTATTGTCGTGTAACACGTCCCTTGCACTTCTCTGCGGTACTATGATACTATCATATGAAAACAGAAGCAGCTCACATGTGCACTCACCCCTTCTTCTGTCGCACCTTGTTGACTATTTCCTGGCTGCCACACGATTCCCTCTACCATTCGTTCTCCAATCACCTTGCTGCACCATGCCGCACCATTCCACACCTTGACTGTTCTCCCCTCTGCCTGGCCCCAACAGCCAAGCAGCTGGTGGATCGCTGCAGAGAGCTCCTGAACGACTACCCAACCACGCTGCAAGCCGATGAAGTGCAGCAGGAGCAGCTCAAGGGGGCCGAAGCATTTGATGAGCGGAATGAAGGGATTGAGAGGAGTGAGCATGAGCAGGAGGGGAGAGCGCGGCGGCGCTTGCATATGGCAGTGGAGTATCGAGTGGAGGAGAAACGGATCCTTGCGGATGCGATTGCTCGTTATGGCCGGATGGTGGTGGTGTGAGGCTTGTGTCGCAGTGTTCTGTCGAGACATGGTTTGTAACCCGTTAAGTACATTCAGCTAGTATCCCGTACACCGTGACATGAGCTTGATTGTGTACACTTCATTAAATGCACGTGGTGGTGTCTAATCAAGGAGCTGTCTATGTAATGAGATTGATTGAACATTATGGTACCAACTCACCAGAACTGAAAGTGTGTAGGGGGGGTGAAGCCATGACATCAAGGGTCTTTAAGGCACTCTACTGAAGTTTCAATGATTGTAATTCTGGTAATGCATCTTGTGCCTCACATGGCCCTCCCCAAATTATATCGCTTCGATTGTGCATGGCATGCGGTCGGGGGCTTGAGTTGAGATACATTTCCAGTGTTTTGCAATACAGAGACCGTAGCATTGACAGTAGAAATATGCATCATAGGCACATACGGTAATGCCATCTTAGCAAAAATGGCAAGCGAGGAACAGCCAGGGCAAGGCAACCCGGCAACAGCAGTTTTGCTGTATGTGGCTTTCTTATCTGCAGCATTCACCACGGGATGTGTCCTCAACAAAAGTCCTCCACTTTGTTCATTTCTACAATTCAATCTAAACACGCAAACTCCAGTGCGTGGGTGTTCAAATCAAAATTCTTAAGCTACTTCAGCTCAATAGAGTCATGAGTGCAGCATGTACGGCTGCTATACGTGACTGAACCTGCAAGTGATGAGGCAATAAGGTGGGGATGGGAGAGAACCGTCGCAGCATGACATTAAGGTGTGGCCAGCAGATCAGTAAAACACATGGAGAAGAAACGTGAACCAATGTACCACACAGGTGAGACCATATGTTCTGCAGCCCTACCTGCAACCATCAATGCCACCGAAGTCAGAGCCATTGAGATGCGTTCTTTGCACTGCGCGCGTGTGCGTGCATGCATACATGCGCATGTGTGTGTGTGTGTGTGTGTGTGTGTGTGTGTGTGTGTGTGTGTGTGTGCGCGCGTGTGTGTGAAGCCATTCAATGCAATTACTCTCACACTAAACCCGGAACTAAGCCGAGACTGCATTCAATGCATGCACCATCTGCCGGTGATGCATGCACTGGGGATGCGGTATGGTATGCAGAGATGGAGTGGTAGATGGCCCAAGAATCTACGCCAATTGCCACATCTCTGGTGCAATGTGTAATGTGCCGTTCCACCATAGACATGGCAATGTGTAATGGGCCATCCACCACCACTCCCTGCCAAGGATTTTTCCACCAACGTTCTCCATTTTGTTTACCCTCATACACCATCTACCGCTTACCACATACTGCACGCACCAAGCAATCGTTCCTTAAAACACTTTCTACATATCGTTGACCCACAGAAACAATGCCAATGGCAATGCTTCAGCCCGAATAGAAGCCTTTTTAAGTAGATATTGGACAAAAGGGAGGACTCACTGTATTCTCATCACGTGGATGTAGCGCTCGCCTTTCCTTAGGATGACAGAAGGGAACTTGGGCTCATTGACCTGCCACAAAGGGAGGCAGACATTGTAACTCAATTCGTACAGTGAGTGTGTATACTTACTGAGTGCCCATGGAAACGCAAAGAGCTCAAAAATGGAAGGGTGTAGCGAAACAGAATTTGAAAGCGAAGGTAGACTGCTGAATGGACAAGGAGGTTGGACAGCAGAATTGGAGATAAGCATTATTGGTTGTGGTTGCACGTGGGTAGGTGGGTGCACGAGGAAGAATGCTGCCTAGCATAGGCAAGGGCGTGTGTCAAGATTGGGATGAGCTTTGCAGCAGGGAGGCACGTGGAGAGGAGATGAGAGGCGTGAGAATAGAATGTGTCCTTTTACAGTGGTGGTGGAGGCTGCTACAGCTGGCGATGTGTCCAGAATCAATGAATTCATGCAGAGTGGCAAAGGCTGCTCTAGTGCCGGTGATTTGTCTAGATCCGGTGAATGAAACAGTGGCGGTGGAGGCTGCAACTGATAGCAATGTGTCCAGATGCAATGGATGGACGTACGTACCGCGTTGGGGAAGCCCTGCAAAACAAAGGAAGGAGGAGACAGAAACATCGAGGTTACTGAGTGGTACAGATATGTTCAGAATGGTATGGGTGTGTGCAGGAAGCAGCATTTCATAAGACACTGCATAGATGTGCTCATGTCATTGGATAGTAGAAGTGGTTGAAGATTCATGGTAAGGAATTGAAGATAAGATGAAACCAAAGCATTTTTAGAAGCTCACCTGTGTTTCAAGACAGAAGCCTGCATGCTGCTGATACGCTGTGCCTCCTTTCCCTGCCACCAGCTCACACACATGCAATACCACGTAATGTCAGAAGGGAAACGCTTTGATAAGTAATCACCGAAGCCATACGAAGACATATTAGGGAGTCAGGGTAAAACTCAAATGCAGACAGGATTTGCCGCACCTTTGAACGAACCATCCAGGAAGTTGCCCGTGTAGAACTGCATGGCAGGAGCATTAGTGGACAGAGTCATGACAATGCCCGTTTCCGGGTGCCGCACTCGGGCAGCCAAAAACAATTTCTGCCCTTCCACCACTTCTTCTGCTACTTCTTGTCCATTCGTCCCCCCACCCTCCAATTTCCCTTCTGCTGCTTCTGTTCCTTCTGTTCCTGCCTCCGCCCCAGCCGCCAAGTGTTCCCCGCTCCAAGTGTGTGTGCGGTGCAACACGTAATTGTGATCGTACCCGCCTGCCACGTCAGAAATGCGTGCACCAATGGGGAACTCCCTCGAGAGGAAGTCAAACGGGGTGTCCGCTACCTGTGATGGTGGTGGTAGGGAGTGGTTGTGTTGGGTAGAAGAAAAGGGCTGTTACATCAGACGGTGGTGAGACCTCAAACGAAAGCGTTTCTTATGAAACCCCAAGGACAGCAGATTTTGAAAGGTGCATTTTTGTTCTCAGAGAATTTTCAAGACACACTGGTGGTGAAGCGTGTGGAGAAATTATCTCCAGAGGATTCTTTATGAGAACTGGACCTACCAACGAGTGAGATGGTGCCAGAGAAGGCTTACCGGCAAAATCTCCCCGGTGGGGATGTGGTTAGCATTGATTGGCGTGTAATTCGAGGCATTGATCCGCACAACGTGGTCGTGCACTGTTCCACTGGCATGGCCGCCCAGATTCCAGTACCTGACAGGCAGCATGGGGAGAAACGGTTGGATAGGGAGGGTGGTGTGGCCGTGTGGGTGGGATGGGGAGGGGAATGTCGCTGGTGAGGAAGAGAGATCGCGAGTTTAGGGTGGGGGGAAGGCTCGGGGGTGTGGATGAAATCGCGAGCCTTCCCCCCACCCTAAAATCGGATGTGGCAAGGCTGAAAAGCTGATACAATATGGAGGCAAGAAGGGTGAAAAAGGATAGAGAATATAGGCTTGGATAGGCTTGTGATGCGACACCAATCACACACTCCCCCATGAACCACCAGCCTGGAGTTCGCCTCTACCGGTGCGTATCAATCCCTCCTATGCACCCACACACACACATGCACATGTGATGTGCCATACTGACATGCGTGTCCCTGTCGTCAACAGCATGTGCCGCCATGACCACCATCATCTCCCCATCGTCCACCAGCCCCCCCAACTCAGTCCACCATGTTCGTATCAGCCCCCTACATGCACCCACACACGCACATGTGATGCGCCATGCTGACAGGCATGTCCCGGTCAACAGCATGTGCCGCCATGACCACCACCATCTCCCCATCGCCCACCAGCCGGTAGCTCACGCGCACCTCCACCCGCCCTGGGAACCCCTCCTCCCCCGTCCCCACACTAATGCCATACACTTACATGTGATGCGCCATGCTGACGGGCGTGTCCCGGTCAACAGCATGTGCCGCCATGACCACCACCATCTCCCCATCGCCCACCAGCCTGTAAGTCACCCGCACCTCCACCTGCCCTGGGAACCCCTCCTCCCCGTCCCCACTCGTCAGTGCCAGATTCAGCTCCGTGCTACTGCTTGATGCTCCTCCCTCCTGCTTCTGCTGCTGCTGCTGCTGCTGATGATGACACAGCGGATCCTAATTTGTCAATTTCCTCCTTGCATACGACACGCCATATACGCTTGTCAAATCCCACATTGCCACCTGTCAGCAGAAATGTGTTCAAGTTTGCCAAGAAGAACAGACATGGCATCCCATTAGACACGCTCTGGCCCAAGTGTTCTTTTGTGTATGTCAACACAGTCTAATAGAAGTTAGTTTATGAATTATGCTCATACATCTATCACTCCCTACCTCTCATGCAATCATGCATGCTCTCACACACACACACACACACACACACACACAGACACACACACACACACACACACACACACACACACACACACACCATGATCCTCGCTCACCCCTCACCATGCAGTGTGTTGGGGCGAGGGCCATCGTTAGCCGTCAGATGGTGGATCTGACCGTCCAGATTGAATTGAGCTCCTGCAATGCGATTGGCCACTCGGCCAACCACACAGCCGAAGTATGGCGATGTGCCATCCTGCACCATCACATGCGTGGCATGAAGAAGTAAAAAGAAAATAATTGAATCTTCACTAATAAATTGCTGGTTATCATACTACTTCCTAAATTGTTTGTTTGACGATGAGGGAGGAGCGTAAGCGAGAGGATACTGGCACATGATGCTCACTTGTACCCCATATGGTAGCAAACACACCTGCTAACCGAGAAGATACCACTTTAGTAACCATGAGCGTGGCATATCGTTTTCAAGACTGCCACTAATACTAGAATTGTCCTGCTACCGTTGATTGTACGGTGCAATGGATGTTTGTACGTGGTAAGGCTGCTATTACCTGGTAAGGCTGTTATTACCTGGTAAGGCTGTTATTACCTGGTAAGGCTGAGATTACCTGGTAAGGCTGAGATTACCTGGTAAGGCTGAGATTACCTGGTAAGGCTGAGGTTACCTGGTAAGGCTGAGATTACCTGGTAAGGCTGAGATTACGGTAAGGCTGAGATCACCTGGTAAGGCAGAGATTAAGGTAAGGCTGAGATCACCTGGTAAGGCTGAGATTAAGGTAAGGCTGAGATCACCTGGTAAGGCTGAGATTAAGGTAAGGCTGAGATTACGTGGTAAGGCTGAGATTACCTGGTAAGGCTGAGATTACCTGGTAAGGCTGAGATTACCTGGTAAGGCTGAGGTTACCTGGTAAGGCTGAGACTACCTGGTAAGGCTGAGATTACCTGGTAAGGCTGAGATTACCTGGTAAGGCTGAGGTTACCTGGTAAGGCTGAGATTACCTGGTAAGGCTGAGATTACCTGGTAAGGCTGAGGTTACCTGGTAAGGCTGAGATTACCTGGTAAGGCTGAGATTACCTGGTAAGGCTGAGATTACCTGGTAAGGCTGATATTTCCTGGTAAGGCTGAGATTACCTGGTAAGGTTGCAATTACCTGGTATGGCTGAGTGGTGTCGAAGCCAAGAACAATATCATGCAGCTGACCTGAGGGAGGGTGAGAAAGGGAGAGAGAGGCGGATAGAAATGAGGGAATGTCAGCGGTGCAGCGAAGGGAAAGGTAGAGAGAAGGCGATAAACGGCAAGAGAGAGATTAGCGATGAGAGGGAGAGTCAGGAAAACGAAGTCTAGGAAGGGAGTGCGGGAACGATGCCAGAAGAATCTAGACGAAGGTAATGCGGGGAATTGGAAAACGTGGAGGGACGGTAAAGAATATGAGACATTGGAGCGAACCGTGTGCATCTGGAACGGTAAGGCTCGTGACAGTGGCGCCAAGGTTGGTGATGGTCGCTGTGAGGCCTCCGCGCTGCAGCTTGAAGAGCCTCACGTTGGGGTCCGGCGAAAATGCTGGCGACGAGATGTCGCTCGCCATTGGCGAACGCGCAACTGTCAGAGCGATGTACGCGACGAAGCTATTGACGGTACTTTTAGGACTGGATGTGAGGAAATGACCAGAGGTTTCAGAAAGGGAATGAATGTTTAGGGGGAACTGAGGACACGGATTGGAATTTGGAGCAAGCAAAACCAGCCAGCTGGATATTTTGACATTGTACGCGTTAGTGTTGAGCAGATTCTCCTTGCGAAGGAAAATCGGCTAAAATGGCAGTGCGATCTGAATCTGGAGAATTACTAAGTGTATTCCCTAATAAATGGTCAAGTGACTGAAGAGAGCGTTCGACACAATAACGATTCCCACGCGAATGCAAGCCCAGCGCAAATCCGAAGGTGGACGAACGCTGTTCTCTCAACTTTGGGTAGTATCTTCACGTTCACCACTCATTCATACTTCTGAACCGAAACCGCTGCGTTGCCGGCTGAGACCAAGGAGTGTCAGATTATAATGCTTGTCTAGCCTGCAGTGGGGTACTCTATAGTGAGTACGGCCCAGTTAGGGTTTGCTATATGTATCCCAACTGCTGCTAGTGAAACCCCTCCTTTGCTCATTTCTCTCTTGCCTAGCTAGGTAAACCCTAGCTATGGCTCCTCTTCGTGCCTACTATCTTAACATGCTATCAGAGCGGTTACGCTCCTGGCCTGTGGGCCCGCCTGCTTCCGCTGCCTTCCTGTGTGTCGCGCGTCCCGTGGCGCGCGATGTTCGTTTTTTTCTTCCCGCCGTGGCCCCGAGGCGCGCGGCGGTTTCCTCCCTCGTGCGTCACCCCGGGGACCCGCGCGCTGCCCTGCTCGTCGCCCAACGCGGCCCCCGCTGCTCGTCGCGTCACCCTGGGAGCCGCGCGCGCCCCCCCCCCCCCCCTTGCCGCCTATCGCGACGCCCTGGGGAGCCGCGCGCGACCCCCCCGTCGCGACGCCCTGGGGAGCCGCGCGCGACCCCCGCTGTCCGTCGCGACGCCCTAGGGAGCCACGCGCGACCCCCGCTGCCCGTCGCGACGCCCTGGGGAGCCGCGCGCGGCCCCCCGCTGCCCCGTCGCGGCGCCCTGGGGAGCCGCGCGCGGCCCCTCGCCCCGTCGCGCCGCCCTGGGGAGCCACGCGCGACCCCGCGGCCCCTCGCTGCCCCGTGGTGGCGCCCTGGGGGCCGCACGCCGTCCCCCGAGCCGTCTCCCGCGCTCCTACCCCATGCCACCCGTTTTAGGGTTTGGGGGTGGCGCGTGTGGGGGTGGCGGTTCTGGGGTGGCCGTTGTGTGCGAAGTCCCCTACTCCTCCTCCTCCTCCGTCTCCCACTGCTGCAGCTGCCGCTGAGGGGGGTGGGTGTGTGGGAGCCGAGGGTTTAGGGTTTAGGGGGGTGACGTGGGAGTGGAGCTAGGGGTTCAGCAGGGGGTGTGTGAAAGGGGGGTGGGACAGTTGGGGGAGGTTGAGTGGAGGTAGCAGTCTTGTCGTCCGCAGCGCCTGTAGTCCGGGGCCCTTGCCGCTGGTAGCCCAGAGAGCCTGCTGCGCCTGTCGCCCGTGGGTCCGTTGCTCCTGTCTGAGCCTGTTACTCCTGTAGTCCGGGGCCCTTGCTCCGGTAGCAACTGAGCCAGCCGCTCCTGTGGCCCGTGTGTCTGCAGCTTCAGCAGTCGCCTCCCATCTCTTCTCCTCTCACAGTCACTCCTCCTCCTCACTTGCCCTGTGTGACTGCCTCTAGCTTAACTTGAACTTGTGAACCTGCTCTATGACTGCTTGCTATGCTGATTATACCCCACTTTGACTATGGGGGTGTGTCAGATTATAATGCTTGTCTAGCCTGCAGTGGGGTACTCTGTAGTGAGTATGGCCCTTTAGGGTTTCCTATTTGTATCCCAACTGCTGCTAGTGAAACCCCTCCTTTGCTCATTTCTCTCTTGCCTAGCTAGGTAAACCCTAGCTATGGCTCCTCTTCGTGCCTACTATCTTAACAAGGAGGCGGTGACGATTTTGCTGCACAAGGTAGGTGACAAGGAGCAGCTAAATAATTACCGGCCGATCACGCTGTTGAACTTTGCGTACAAGGTGCTTGCTCGGGTTGTCGCGGATCGGATGAAGTCGGTTCTGCATATGGTTATCTCACCGGAGCAGTATGGCTTCATCCCGGGAAGGCGCTTGTCGGATGCGGTCGCCCTGGTGGCAGACATAATCGAGGGTGCGAAAAGCGATAAGGACGACTGTCATATGCTCCTGGTGGATTTTCAGAAAGCCTTTGACTCGGTTTCAAGGGACTTTCTGTTCCAGGTGCTGGAGTCAATGGGCTTTCCGGAGCGGTTTGTTGGTTGGGTTAAAGGCCTGCATGAGGGTACAACAACGAAGCTGTTAATAAATGGCTGGCTCGGTGAAGGTGCTGACGTGGTGTCGGGGGTGAGACAAGGCTGCCCCCTGGCGCCTTACCTCTTTCTGTGTGCGGTGGAGCCGCTGGCTCTGGAGGTGGAACGGAAGGAGCTTGGTCTGGAGAAGGACGGACACCGGCTAGGATATCTTGGTTACGCGGATGATACGACGCTGGTCCTGCAAGGGGAAGCGCAAATTGGTCAGGCAGAGGAAATTCTGGATCACTTCGAAAAGGTTTCGGGGTTGGCGACAAACAAAGATAAATCGGTGGTCTTACCTTTGGGCGCTGGCATCGGCGCAACTGGGGGAGGCAGCTTCAAGTTGGCTGGCGCGGATGAAGTAGAGCGGTTGCTAGGTATTTGGGTGACGCCGTCTGGAAGTGGCAGGCCGACTTGGGAGAAGGCGTGGAGCCGCATCTCGAAGAAGCTCACTAAGTGGCAGCTGAAATACCTGACAATCACAGCGAGAGCAACGGTGGTTTTCTACATCACGCCTATCCTCGCCTTTCAGGCGCAGATCTTTCCGCCGCCTGCAGATATCTGGCTGGAAATCATGCGGCTGATACACAGCTTTACCTCGGGTAACAGAGTGGCGACGGCGAAAGGCTTTGCACTGTGGAGCAGAGAGCTGCTGTTCACCCCGAGGCTGGACGGAGGCATTGGTGTCAGGGACCCGGAAATCCTCATCACCCGCTTGGCGGCAAGGAGGGTGAGACTTTTCATAACGGAGAAAAACCCACTCAAGCGAGATCTCATGGAGCGGGCCGCGAAGCTTCCGTTGGGGTTGGACTCGTTCACTGCACACACAAAGCTGTTGAAGCACTGGGAGAACGGCAGCGCTCGGTGGAAGCAGACAGTGGAGATTTTGATGCACTCTCCCTTCTCTGTCAAGAACCTGGTGGGGAGCAGGGAGGAGGTGCTTCGGGAGAGACTGGTCTTTAATGCTGACATACTTCTCAACGGCACCACTAACCCACTGGGGGGGCAGAAAGATGCTCAGGGTATGACGAAACTTAGAATCGGAGATCTGATTGAAGGAGAGGAGAACAGTGCGGTGTTAGTAAAATCCATGGAAGTGCTAAAGCAGGAACTTGGCGGTAACGGGCCTGCGAAGCTGGCGATGAAGGCGCTGTTAGCTCTCCCGTCTTACTGGCACAGATTGCTCGGATTTCCAACAGTGCCTCCGCAGTCGGCTGGATCTTCCCCACGGATACCAATTCTGGAAGGGGAGCGGGTAATCTCCATGAAGCGGATGAAGGAGGGCTGGAGGGGGACATACAGCCTGTCATACAAGCAGCAGAAGTGGGTCTCACGATGGGGGAATCACATCGACTGGAAGCGGGTGGTGACGGCCCGGGACTCCCTGGCTATTCCTAGCCGTCCAAGGGACGTCCTGATAAGGATCCACGGTTTAAACCTTCAGGTGGGGAAAAGATTGGCTTTCCTCAGCAGCAAGCCTACCTGCCCGCACTGTGGGGAGTAGGAAACCCTGGAGCACTGCCTCATTCTCTGCCCCAGGATACAGGTGGTGACCTCGGCTCTACGACGTGCCCTGCGCATGCTAAATCCCAACCGACCATCAGCTTCGCTAGGAGATCTGTTGTTTCGGGAAACGGGTACCAGGTCAGCTTTTCCGGAGCTGACCCTCACGTCAGTAGTGTTGCATCAAGTCTAGGTGGAAAGATGTGAAGCAGTTTTTCGGGGGCAGAAGTTTCGGCCTCAGCGTGTCCTTTGGAGGGCGGAGTCAGCTTTTAGGCTACACGCGAGAATCTATATGCGCAAAATGGGGGCAGCTCGGAAGAAACGGTTGCAAGAAAAATTCGTGGAGGAGAAGAGGATGCTGAGTAGGATCATGCTGGATGGCAAGGGTTGGACGTGGACAAGTGCGTTTGTGTCAGAGGTCCACTGGAGATCCCCGATGATCCTAGGGAAGGGTTACAGGCACGTCGGCCTGGGGGGTTATGGGCGCACTCACCCGCTATATAAACAAGCCCTTTTATCCCAGTGGTTAGTGGCTGGGATTCTGACATGATATCAGAGCGAAGGTCTCGGGTTCGAATCCCGGTGTGTGCACCTCGGGCATCCCAGTGCGGGGGGGTGTCAGAGGTCCACTGGTGATCCCCGATTGATCCTAGGGAAGGGTTACAGGCATGGCGGCCTGGGGGGTTATGGGCGCACTCACCCGCTACACAAACAAGCCCTTTTATCCCAGTGGTTAGTGACTGGGATTCTGACATGTTATCAGAGCGAAGGTCTCGGGTTCGATTCCCGGTGTGTGCACTTCGGGCATCCCAGTGCGGGGGGGTGTCAGAGGTCCACTGGAGATCCCCGATGATCCTAGGGAAGGGTTACAGGCACGTCGGCCTGGGGGGTTATGGGCGCACTCACCCGCTATATAAACAAGCCCTTTTATCCCAGTGGTTAGTGGCTGGGATTCTGACAGTTTGCTGCGCTGTGGTCCAAGAGGAGGGCATGTAGCAACTCGCCCTAGACAGCTCACCTGGAACAGTAATTCATTTTACTGTTGCCTCACGCACGGTTACGACCGTTTGATGGTGTATGCTTGTGTTCTGGTATATGCTAATCAATACTCAAAAAAAAAAAAACTTCTGAACCGAAAAATGAAGTTTTATAACCCCATGATATTCCCCCTATCTTCTGTGGACACCAACGGCAGCGGACAGGCACACTAGCAATCGCTGATCATCCTCATTCCTCGTCTGCCTCTCCTGTTTTCTGATAACTACGTCCCAGAAGCGCCGCGGATCGTCATGTGTCCCAAGCTGATATGACTAAGCCGCGTCCGTACAACCTGAACAGTCAAGGGATGTTGCCTGCGAAACAGTCGGACGCTGTTTAGGAGAAACAAGTGATCTGCAGAACTCGAACCATTGAATGAAATCGGTGGCGTCAGGTCCAATACAGTTCCGATCCCGCATCGCCGGCATGCGTTGAGAAGCCTAACCAGGGAACTAACAGTTTCTGTCTGTATTCACAGCTATGCACCTATGGAAAACCGCAGCTGACCTTTGAGACGTCTCGAAAGGCATCTAGCCAGTTATTTAACAGTTCTGTCGATCATGACGGTTATGCATTTACCGAAGACCACAGGTGGCTTCGCGCTTCCGCACTCTCCCCCTCGCCATTCGCGCCGCGCGCTGCTCCGCCATCGGCGGCAGCGATGCATGGTTCTGCTGGTGGTCGCGTGCGTGCTCGTCGTCATGCTGCTCTTCGTCTCCCTCCACCTGCCGTCCGTAGATTCGCTCCTGCCACGTGGCAAGCAGGTAATGGACGTTACTACACGACAGAGTCGTTGTCAGACAGTTTTCCAAGCTAATCCAATGAGCGATCGTCATGGCTTGTAGGTCGAATTTAGATTAATCCGAGCAGGAATGAGCTAGGAACCCACGACGTAGTTGACACAAACTCTTTTTAAAAGGCTGGTAAGTCTTACCTTGGAGACACTAGAGCCTAGCATGCGAAGAAGTCGACCAACTCAAGGCGTAACCCCTCTTGTCAAAATCAACGTCCCACCTGATCGCATCGCAGGCAACTCCTTCGCCCGTGGCCCCTCAATCCGCACAGAAAGCTAGCAGCGTCGCAAACAACGGTTCACAGGTATCGTTGCTACGATCCGTCTCCCCTCCTGTCCGTCCGATTTAAATCCATTAAGCAATTCACTGCCGACACCCGCGATCCTGCATCCCGTCCGTCTTCCTCTGCTCCCAACACCCCATTCCTGCGCTTCCGCTTCCCGTTTCCTCGTCCCCCCACACCCCTTCCCCGTCCACCTTCCCTCCCTCTCCTTTCCCCTTCTGCCAGCCATCCATCCGCGTGGCCCTCGCCACTCTCCGCGCCGATCCGACGTGGCAGCAGCTGCTGGATCCCGACTCCGCGGTGCGCCAGCTCAGCGACCAGATCAGCCTGGGCAAGGCGTATCTGTCGCGCGCGCGGGATGCGGGGGAGAGGGAGTTTGGCGACGAGATGGAGCGTGGCGTGCGAGCCGCGGAGGCGTTTCTAGCTCGCTCCATCGCTATTACCAGGTGCGTTGTTGGTTGGCTTTTGAGACGTCTCAAAAGTCGCGCGCGATGCGGGGGAGAGGGAGTTGGGCGACGAGATGGAGCAGGGCGTGCGAGCCGCAGAGACCTTCCTTGCTCGCTCCATTGCTATTCCCAGGTGTAGAATTCTTAGCTCACTCTTCTTTACCACTGCTCACTTCCCTATTGTCGTTATTCTTGCGTGCCAACTCTACGTGTGCACCACCTCCATCCCCCTCGACCTCCATCGTTGTTCCAACATTCTAGTCAAGCAGTTTGCAAGGTGCAAGCGAATACGACAAGCATAGTGCTTCAATTGGAGTTGGCTGATGATTCTGCTCTCCCTTTCTTACCACCCTCCTCCTCCTGCCACCAGCCAAGCAGTGTACAAGCAAGAGGCACGAGCGCACATAGCAAACATGAGCGCGCTCATCCTTCAAGCTAAAGAGATGCACTATGACATGTGAGTGGGGTGGTATGACATGTGCGTGAGCTGTATGACATGTGCGTGAGCTGTATGACATGTGAGTGAGCTGTATGACATGTGAGTGAGCTGTATGACATGTGAGTGAGCTGTATGACATGTGAGTGCGACGGTATCACATGTGAGTGGGGCTGTGGATGTAATTCCCTGTTTTGGAGGTCCCAAAACTCGATATTGTAAGTGCCTGTTTTGAGTTGTCACAAGAGTTTAGTTCTCTGTTCTGAAACGTCTCGACAATCAACATCGTAGTGTCCTCCTCCACCCCTATCACACACTGTTCAGAGCGGCGGCAAGTCTAGTTTTGAGGCGCCTCAAAACTAGACATCATAGTGTCCTCCTCCACTCCTATCACACTGTTCAGAGCGGCGGCAATGGCAGCGCTGAAAGAGAAAGTGGCCAAGGCAGAAGAGAAGGCCTCCAAGGCATCAGCTCAAGCCACTCTCGCCTCTCAGGTGCGCTCTGGTCACCTCTGGGTTAGAGTCAATTCATGGCTTTGCCCCTATGACCTGCCTAATCTTGCACCAACTCCCAGGCACCATGTGTGGGTTCACCACTCTTTACCGCACTCCGCCCCTCCATCCCGCCTCCAGGTGGTATCAGAGTCCATGCCAAAGCCCATGACGTGCCTGTACATGCGTCTGGCACGGGAGTGGGCTCTGCAGCGCTCCTCTGCTGCGCACAAACGGGCGGACGCCGACACTCACCCCTTTCAAATACACCACGGCCTGGTGGGTTGCACTTACCGCCCTGCTGCACCTGGGAGTGCAGCACCTGGGAGTGCTGCACTAGGGAGCGGGACCTCTGCACCTGGGAGTGTGTTGCAATGCAGTTTCTTATCTGTCTTGTCTTGTCTTGTCTTACAAGAGGTGCTGTTCCTGGGAATGAGGCACCTACCAGTGCCGCACCCTCCAGTGAGCAGTACATGCTAGTTTTCAGCGTCAACGCGTTGGTCATGCCTGCCGTTGTCAGAATATGAAATTCGCACCCCCGTATATCTTCCCCTTCTCCCAGCCCCCACGCTCCCCCAACAACTCCCGCCTGGTGGATACCTCCATGCAGCACCTTGGTGTCTTCATTGACAACGTGCTGACCATCTCTGCTGCTCTCGGGATATTAAATCCGCATCCCACCGCCCTCTCGCTCCATTCTCCCAGCCCCCAGGCACGCCCAACAACTCTCGTCTGGTCGACACCTCACTGCAGCACATGTGTATCTTCAGCGATAATGTGCTGGCCGTATCTGCTGCTCTCAACTCCACTGTGCTCTCCTCCCACGACCCCTCGCGGCTGGTCTTCCACATCGTCACCGACGCCACCTCCTTCCCTGCCTTCGTGGTGAGTCTCCCTTCACTGTGATCATGCATTTGTGGGAGCTGCTGTGAGTGGATGCGTGTGCTGTGCTTCCTCCACTGTGCTCTCTTCTCACGACCCCTCGCGGCTGGTCTTCCACATCGTCACCGACGCCACCTCCTTCCCTGCCTTCGTGGTGAGACTGCCGCTCTTAGGCTTGGAATATGCGTTCGTCGATGTTGCTGTCTGCTGGTGTCGCTTGCTCTGACTGGTATGCCACCCTTCCCGACAGGGCTTCCACTTCGTCCCCCCTTCAGGTATGGTTCTCCCGCCACCCACCGGGCTGGGTATCATTGGAGGTGCGGAGGGTGAGGGGCGAGAGCGGGTGGCCATGCAGAGTGTTCGTGAAGAAGTTTTTGAGAATTCTCAATAACAACACACTTCCATCCCCTTCCCGTCTCCAGCTGTGGTTCTCCCGCCACCCTCCCGGCTCAGCGCCGCTGGAGGTGCGGCGGGTGGAAGGCGAGAGCAGGAGGCCTTACAGGGTGTTCTTGGAAACACATACAGCACTCTCGTTCCCCTTCCCCCTTCCAGGTGTGGTTCTCCAGTCACCCGCCAGGCTTGGCGTCGCTGGAGGTGCGGCAGGTGGAGGGCGAGAGCGGGTGGCTGAACGCGTCCTTTGCGCCCGTGCTCAGGCAGATGCAGGACGCCCATGCCAAGAGCTTCTACTTCTCTGCTGCAACTGCTGTGAGTGCAGGGCGGAATAGAGGAGTCAAGGGGGGCTGTGTTGTGGGTGGGGGAGATGTGGCTGGGACTGGGGGCATCGGGGGTGCTCAGACAGATGCAGGACGCCCACGCCAAGAGCTTTTACTTCTCCGCTGCTGCTGCCGTGAGTGCAAGGAGGGAGGGAAGGGGGAGGGGGAGGGGGAGGGGGAGGGGGAGGGGGAGGGGGAGGGGGAGGGGGAGGGGGAGGGGGAGGGGGAGGGGGAGGGGGAGGGGGAGGGGGAAAGCAGGGGACTCTGTTGTGGTTTGGGAAGATGTGGTTATTGGGAGTGCTGCTGGAGATGCAGGACGCGAGTGCCAAGAGCTTCTCCGCTGCTGCTGCTGTGACTGCAGGGGAGGAGTAGATAGGAAGGGGGGCGAAGGTAGGGGGGAGGATGGGAGGGGACTGTGGTGATGGGTGACGGAGATGAGCTTTTACTTGTCTGCTGCTGCTGTCGTGAGTCACGTAGAGGAGAGAGATGCTGAATGGTGATGGGCGGTGCTGGGGGTTTTACGATGGAAAGCGCCACCACCGCGGCTTATCAGTGTACCATAATAATAACGGAGGATCGACTACTCATTTCACTCTTATTCAATTTTCCCCCATGCACCTGTGCGTGCATACACACACTCACAACCCATGCCTCCTCCCCCACACAACCCCCACACACCCACAGGGCCAGGGCAGCGACCCCATTAAGTTCCGCAACCCCAATTACATGGCTCCATTGAACCACCTGCGCTTCTCTCCCCTTCTCTCTCCCCCCCCCCTCCCTCACCCCCACTACACACTCACAGGGCGAGGCTAGCGACCCCATTAAGTTCCGCAACCCCAAGTACATGTCGCTGCTCAACCACCTGCGCTTCTACCTGCCACTCCTCTTCCCCGCGCTGCACCGCATCGTCTTCCTCGACGACGACGTCATCGTGCAGAGGGACCTCTCTGCTCTGTTTTCCCTCGACATGAACGGGTGCGTGCCGCTCTTACGTTGCTCTCATTGGCGCTCATGATGCTCCCTTCTGTTGCTCTCATCAGCACCCCCTTCTCGCTCCTCTTCCCCGCGCTTCACCGCATCCTGTTCCTCGACGACGACGCCATCGTGCAGAGAGACCTCTCTGCTCTTTATTCGCTTGACATGAACGTGTGCGTTCTGTTCTGCTCGTATGTTGCTCTCTTTGACACTCCCTTTTCCCTTTCCTTCCCTGGGTTGCACCTCATCCTCTTCCTCGATGGTGGCGTCATTGTTCAGTGAGACCAATCTGCCCTCTTTTCCTGCAACAGGTGGGTTCCAGCCTTGCGTGCACTGCACTGTTTATGCACTCCCTTCTCTCCTCTTTCCCCCGTTGCACCGCATCCTCTTCGACCAGCGGGACCTTTCTGCCCTCTTCTCCCTCGACATGAACGGTTGCGTGCTGCTCTGTCCGCCTGGTGCTGCCCTTGTCAGCACTCGTGATGCTCTCTTATGATCCTCTCATGAGAAGCACTCCCTGCTCTCCTCTCTTCCCAGCGCTGCTCTCCTCTCATCGCCCTCAACAACGATGGCAGAACCTTTCGCCTCACCATCGTTCAGCAGAACCTTTCTGCTTCTTTTCTCTCAACATGAACTATAAGCACCTGTTAATGTTCGTGGTGTCTTGGGCAGGTGAGTTTAGCTCTTATGGGGCATGTGCATACTCTTTAAGCAGGTGAATTCTCACTATAAAGATGCCCTCAAGTGTTACACTTTATCCACCTCAAGGCAGGTTGGACTGAAATTGGCCTTCCCTCTCCCCTCCCCCCCATTGAGCCGTGAACAGAGCAGTGGAGATGTGCAAGGGGTTGTTCCACCGCTTCCACCGCTACCTCAACGTTGCCCCCTCCCCCTTTCCTTGGCCCCCCTTCCCTTCAATTGCCCCATTCCCCCCATCAGTGCCGTGAATGACGCAGTGGAGACGTGCAAGGGGTTGTTCCACCGTTTCCACCACTACCTCAATTTCACAGCCCACTGTGGACAAATGTCTGGCCTTACCACTACCTCTCCCCACCAGCGCTGTGAACGGTGCAGTGGAGACGTGCAAGGGATCCTTTCACCGCTACCTCAACTTCACAGCCAACTCGAACATTTGTTCTTGTTCTCTGCAAACTCCCCTCCTCCCCATCCCGCTCTCTCCCATCAGTGCCGTCAATGGTGCAGTGGAGACGTGCAAGGGGTCGTTCCACCGCTTCCACCGCTACCTCAACTTCGCAGCCCGATTCAAACAAGTGTCTGGCTTTACCACTCCTCCTGGCTTCTCTCGTTGGCCCCTGTAATCCCCCCATCAGCGCTGTGAATGGAGCAGTGGAGACGTGCAAGGGGTCGTTCCACCGCTTCCACCGCTACCTCAACTTCTCCGACACGCGGCTGAGAGGGCGGTTTGACCCCGAGGGATGTGCGTGGGCGTATGGCATGAACCTGTTCGACCTTAAAGGGTGGCGGCGGGCCAATGTGACTGCCACTTACCATTACTGGCAGGAGCAGGTGAGAGAACGCACTTTTAGGGAGTAACCAGTCTGTCAAAATATGTTGCGTAGTTGTTTTCTGATTGTCTCTCTAATGGAGCTGAGGTAGCCTGTAGCGAGTATGGCATGACTGGGAGGCCAGTTTGTCCCCAGGGGTGTCCGTGGGCGCATGGCATGAAGCAGATGCCAATGTGACCGTCACTCAGCACTATTGGCAGGAGCTGATGAGAGTAAGCACTTTTAGAAAAGCTGTTGAGAATTGTCCTGTTTTTGTTACCCACGTTAGCATCATTGGTTTCGCCTCGTCCCGATCCTCGAGCCGAGGTAATTGAGGCAGGCGCAGGTGAGGGGGGTAGTGAGAGAAAAGACACGTGAAGCTCTGTTTTGTGTAGCTTCACAGGCATATGATATTTTCCTGCACAGCATGAACTTGTGCTGTTTGTCTGCCTGATACCCTCGAGTGTGTGTTGCTTTGTTGGTTTTGTTTTCTTCTTCTTTTGGATCCGTTTGACATGTGCATGCAGAACGTTGACCATTCATTATGGAAGCTGGGAACGCTACCGCCAGGCTTGCTGGCCTTCAATGGGCTTACACATGCCATCGATCCATCATGGCATGTCCTGGGGCTCGGTTACAATCCCCACTTGGACATGACAGCTATTTCAAAGGCAGCGGTTATACACTGGAATGGTAACCAGAAGCCATGGCTGAAAATTGCCTTGCCGAACTATCGTAGCCTCTGGACTAAGTACGTCAATTTTGATGATCCTTGGCTTTCAGAATGCGGCGTAACATGATGTAGAAGTTCCATTGGCATTAATGTCTGTAAGGCGTCTTGTGTATGCTGCTGCAAAACTCTTAACGACTCGAAATCTGAAAACGCGTGTGCTCGTAATGAGGATTTCATATTTTTTGGGGTTTGACCAATCCAAGCAACATTGAAACGCTATGCAAGCAGCAAAAGCACCCTTGAAAAGTCCCGCAAATTGCGGCTGGCCTGATTGTTGGGAAGCCGTGCGGTTCGACTGACAGAACCAGTCGCGCCGCACGGTCACTATCAATCTAGCGACACGTCCGAACCGAAGCAACGGACGCCGCGGCGCGCATTCGAAAATTTACTGACAAGCCGCCCGCGCTTGGCAACGTGCGATGGAATTGTAGAGATGCCTCCAGTGAGAGATCGTGCGTTGAGATATCGCACAGAAGCACCGTACTAATGCCACTTATAACCGAACTCAACCACTACATTTGAGCTTCTATCAACACAGTTCTGCAGGATTGTTTGCAAATTACAGTAGGCCAGAATCCACCCTAGTCGCCGTCCTGTCGCACATATCCGTTGGCCTTGCGCCACTTACCTCAATAGACTTTCCGAAGCTTGTGTTCCGCTAGTTCGCATTGTACGAGATCTTTGAGGGTTGAGCTGTCCTTCCATTCCTGGGGACAAGTCCTGGGCCGCTACAGAGTCAATACTATAGGACAGACCTAAAAATCCGAAGTCCTGAAGCACCGGTTCCGGCTGTGAAAACAATCAAAATAACAAGATTTTTTAGAGCCAGACCAGAAAGAGATCGCTGTAGGAATAGCACATCGTTCGTTTTTTACGGAGTAGTAATACGTCAGGAGATATGGCGGGAAGCAATCCAATGCCGGCGGACGAGGAGGAATTTCACGACGCTATCCACGCAAACGCCATGCTCAACGCGGCGGAGGATTTCAAGCCGTCCGATTACAGCAACATCATTCGACGGTACTCGCACCTCGGCGCCACGCACCCGAGTAACCCGCTCGCTGTCGCGAAAGCCGGCGAGGACGAGAAATCCGCCGGGGGGAAGACGCGAAGGTCGCTATCCACGGGCGGAGGCGTGAAGAAGGGCAAGGGGTCATCTGTGGCATCGACGCTCGGGCGCGCGGCGGCGCGCGTCGGAAGGACGCTGGGCGCTAAGGGCGGGTCGCTCGCCAAGTCCAAGTCCGCCGTGGCGCCCATTCAGGTGGCTTTAATCGCAACCGACTTTAGAACCGGAACGTAGTTATGTTGGGAATGTGAGGGGGAAAGTCGCTGTTACTTAGGAGGGGTGCCGCTGTTCAGCAACTCCTGAGGTAGACTGCAGCTGGCACAAGTTATGAGGCGTCTCAACAAATAAGCGACGCCGATAGGGCAAAGCTGAAGCGCGACACCTGCCAGCGGTGGATGTAAATCCCGCTCCTTTCAGCAACATTGGCTGATACGAAAAAACCATACGTGCATCTCCCATTCCCCAATCTTCTCTCGTGCTCCTCACGCGTATCTTCACCTCATTCACCAACCAGCTCATCTCGTTCTTCCGTACTTGTGCTCCCCCTCCCCCCGCTTCCGCTAGCAGTCCGATGACGAGTCATCCAAGGCCTCCGAACAGCCGTCGGTTCCCATCGTGCTGCAACCCTTCATGGGATCGTACGGTTCAGAGGTAACACCGCGCGTTTTTTTATTCTTTCGCGTTCGTGCATTCTCGGCATTTAACTTGTACGACAGGATTTCGGACCCAGAGATCAGTCTGCGTGGTTACCGTTGACGAGTACAATACCCTCGGTCGCTTCATATTATCCCTGCTGTCCCTGTTTGGCTCATTCTTACTTTCTTTCTCACTGCTTCCCCCTGTGCTCCACCGCGTGACCTACCGAACCTGCTTCTCCCGGCAACGCCAAACCTCCTCTTTCGGTCGGCTCCGCCGAACCTCAACAGAAGCAGTCAGAAGTGGTGAGTAAAACCCCTTGCGCCCGTTCTCAGTCTGTTCCTCAATACAATGCGCATTCCCACGCCGCATCCAGCCGAGCCATGCCACGTCCGTGCCATCGTCTGCCGTTCGACCGGCCCCGTTTCACGCGCTGACCGCTTGTCCGTCCGTTTTGAGATATCTTGAAAGACGCACATTCAATACCATGCCGCGCTGCCACGTGGGGCTATATCATGCCGTGTAAACGGCATCTCACGCGCTGACCCTTTTTCCGTCCATCCAATGGCGCGTGCGTGCAGACGAAGCAGCTGCAGGAGGAGAATCGACGGTTGCGGGAGAGGATCGCGATGCTGGAAGCCATTCACGCGGAGGTGCGACGGGGAAGAGGGGGGGGGGAGATTGGGGGGAGATGGGGAGGAGTAGGGGCGCAGAAGGAGCATAGGGAAGAGACTCTGAGTGCGAGCGCATGCGGGAAGAGCTTTCAGGCAGGAAGGCAGAGGGACTTGGAGCTCTGGCCTCGTGCATCCCGTCGTAGCTCCATCCGTTTCCATCTTCCTGCGCGTTCACGTATCTCGTTCCCCCTCACCCCTTTCTCGTCGTCGTTGCAGAATTCTTTCGCTCTCGTCGTTTTCCCGACCCTTACGTTCCCCCTCCTTGCCACGTTGCGGTGCGGGAAGGAGAATAACGCACCGACGTAGCGCGCTGTCACACTTACCTTGCCCTCCCCCTCTCGCCTTTCTCTGCGTGATGCGTCGTACATGTCGCATCTTTCGCATGTGTCGCAGGAGGCGGAGGAGGGCGACGACTTGGCGCGCCATCGCGTGCGAATGCTCAAGTCGTCAAACCTACAGCTCGAACACCAGGTGAGCGCGATTTTTCTTGAGACGTCTAATTGATTCACTCATATTAGTTGAGCGCGCTTGTAATGCATCGCTTATATCAGAGGCGGAGGAGGGCGACGACTTGGCGCGCCTATGTGTCGCTTATGTAGCTTCTAGCGCTCCACCTTTCTAGGGTGAGCCTTTATCAGAAGCATTCCCTTATGTCACAGAAACGTCGTGCACCTCATACGTCTGTCTTTCCTTCCGTCTCTCTTCCTGCGCATTGTGTCGTGTTTTGAGTCGACTCAAAACATGCCGTCTGCCTTCCCCTCTGTCTTTCTTCCTGCGCAGCAAGCCGCTTGTCAGGAAACTTATCCGTTCCTCCCTGCACTTCGTTCCTCCTTTTTCCCCTTCCCCCTTTCCCCCCAACAGCTGCTAGCCTCCGAGTCCGCGTCGCTGACAGCCAAGGCAATTCGCAACGAGCTGCTGAGCGCAATGGACCATCTCCACCGCACCGTCGGCGCGCTGCACGTGCGCGCGGGGGAGGACGAGGCGGAAGGGGGAGATCAGGCGGAAGGGGAACAGGCGGAAGCGGAATCCGCGGCGGGCGCGGGCGCGGCGGAGATGGGAAATTCGCAGGCGGGAACGCTGGACCAGTCGCTGCTGCCAGCTGCCGCGATCTTATTGGACGACGCGCAGCACGCCGCGGCGCAGGAGGAGAAGGGGAGCGCAGGCGCAGCTGCCGCGGCGGTGGCGAAGGGGGTGAGCAAAGTCGGCGCGGCGCAGCAGCCGCTGACGCGGCGGAACTCGTTCGGGGGACGCGGCTCCGCCGCCCTCGCTTCCGCCGCCCGCCCCAGCACCCCCACGAGCCGCGGCACCTCGTCTTTCGCTAGTGGCTCGCCACGTGCCACGACCCCGCGCGCCACGTCCTCCGCCGGAAAAGGGAGCGCGTCGCCCACAGTGGGCGCACGGCGCGGTGGCGCGGCGGCGGGCGCGGCGGGGAAGGGGAAGACCGGTGGCGGAAGCTTCAATGCGCGCGGGTGGGGAGTCGGGCCGGGGAAGCGGAACGGCGCAAACACTAAAACCGCGGAGAAAAAGACCGCCGCATCCGGCGCCGCGAATGACGGAGACGGCGGCATGGATTTGACCTCTGCGGGGAGCCGCAGCGCGAGCCTGAAAGACGGGCCGCTGGTGCTCGACCCCTCTATAGTCACATCCTCTGCTGTCTCCACCCCTATGGGCACGCCGCGCGCGGGGAGCACTCCCGCGGGGAGCCCGTTCGGCGCGCCGCCGGCGGCGGCAGCCACTCCCGCGCCGACGCTTGGCAGCCTGCTGGCGGCGTCGGGCCAGGTGGCGATCGCGAAGGAAAAGCTGGAGGAGCTGGCGATGTGGAGCAAAGAAGCGCGCGAAAAGGTTTTGATGCTGCTGCCCGCGCCGGGCGGAAAGATCGGCGAGCTGCCCGCGGCGGGGGCGGAGAAGGCGGAGGGGGACGCGGAAGCAGCGGGGGGAGCGGGCGGAGCGGGCGGAGCGGAGAAGACGAGCATGAAGGCGATGGGCGCGCCGGAGCTACCGTGCGCGGGGAATCGGTTCATGGCGACGAACGAGGACGGCGACCCGGTCGCTGGCATCGCGGCAAACCTCTGCCGCTCCATCGAAGGTGCGCGCGCCGCCCTACCATCCGTGTCCCTCCCATCCCCACCCTCTTCGCCCGGCTCGTTACACGCGGCTGCTTCACGGTTCGTGGTTGCGCGTGGGTGCCTGACTGCCTACGAAGCGGAGAAACGGGAAATATATTCTCCTGTCCTCTCGCGTGCCTCTCCTCCCCTCAACCTCTCCCCTCCTCACGTTTTTTTCCCCCACTCCCCCCAACCACTCCCAGGGTCCGCACCGCTGCTGGAGTACGCGCGCGTGCACGAGTTGGAGGGGCGCCTGGCGGACCTCCACCCGCGCCTGCTGGCGCTCTCGTCGCTCCTCGATCATGTCGTCTTCCCCAGCCTGCCCGCCGAGGTGCGATGCGATCAATGTTGATTTTGTTGCGCATTCTCAAGTCGCACTCAAGCACGTGTTGCCTAGACTTATTTTCCCTCCCTTATTCCTTCTAAAAGCCCACTTCTTCAACTCGCATTTTCCATTCATCCCTCTAGCCCCTTTCTGTTGCCCCTCCCCCTTTGATTTTTCACCCTCCATCCTCTCTCCCTCTGCTGCCACTCTCCCCCTCCCCTCTGCCGCCCACAGACGTCCAGCGCAGTGCTGCAGGAGATCCGCGTCGCCATCGCTGACGTGTACGACGCCACGCGCGCGCTCTCCGAGCTGGCGGCGCTCGTGCCAGCTGGCGCGCAGCTATTCGGCGTCGGCACCGGGGAGAGCCTGATGCTGGCAGCAGCCGCAGCCAGGGCGGAGGAGGGAGGAGGAGGAGGGGGAGAGGGGGAGATGATGGAGGTGCAGCAGAGGCTGGAGTGGGAGAGGGAGAGGAGGAGGAGGGAGGGAGTGAGTGTGGCGGACCTTCCTTCAGTGGAACAGCTGCTGACAGCAGGGCTTGCGGGGATTGTGGGGGAGGGGGGAGGCTTTGGGGGCGGAGAGGCGGGGGAGGGGGCGCGGGGGGAGGTGCAGGCGCGGGTGGCGGAGGTGGTGGGGAGGTGCCGCAAGGTGGAGGCGCTGTGGCGTGCGGAGATGTCTGGGCTGCAGGAGGAGATGGGGTTCTACCGCGGCTGCCATGCTGCCCAGGTGGGTGCTGTGTGGTGCTGTGCTGTTGGGGGGGTGTGCTGTGTGGTACGTTGTTGTGATGTCACTTAGGCTTACGGGTGGGTTGTAATGCTGTGGCATGCGGAGATGTCTGGGCTGCAGGAAGAGACGGGGTTCTACCGCGACTGCCATGCTGCACAGATGTGCGCATTGCTGTGCTGTTCTGTGCTGTGCTGCGGTGCTGTCATACACGTGCGGTAATAAGCTTCCAGCAGCCTTTTCTACCTCCTCTCTTTCTCCATCTCTCTGAATTCCCTCCTCCCTCCCCACGAGCTAGACAGTGCGGCAGACAGTGCTAGAATGATGCCCTTGAGATTGGCCGGGTGTATTCGGCTAAAAAAACTCCATACTCATGCATGCATGTGTCACCTCCCGTCCACCCATCGTCCTATCAACCGATTCCACAGGCATCGCACGTGAAGCAGATAGCGTCGGCTGCCAAGGACGCGCTGCAGACTGTGCTGGGAGACGCCCACGAGATCGTCTCTGCTGCCGCCACCTCTATCCAAAAGGTGCTGCTGCTGCCGCCGCTTTCTGCTTCTCTTGCTGCTTTATAGCTTCCCTGCTGCAGCACAGTGTACTCTCGCTATAAGCTTGCCGCTGCATGATACAGCACGCTTGACTGTCCTGTCTAACCTTGTTTCTGTTTGCACCCTCCCCCCTGCCCTCTCTGCCTTCTGTCTGCCCTTCCTCTGCCGTCCCTTCACCCGGGATAATCCCTTGACCTGGGATAGCGGCGATTGCAGATTCTGCTGGCCGTTACCGACTTTGAGAATGAGCCCACACCCGAGATGATGCAGCAGCTCGCAGCCAAGGTCAAGGTGAGCTGATTACACTGGAATGACTTTTGCTATAACAAATGCCCAAGGGTGCGATGCTCCTGGCGGCAGAATGATGGTGTAGCACCTCAACAGCCAGAGTTGTGGTCAGAAGAGGATTATGGAAAGAATGTACAGGGAGATGAGGGGGAAACAAAGTACTACGAATGATGCTATTTGTCACCTGGCGCTCCCTTACCCTCACCCCTTTCCCCCCTTCTCACCACTTCTCCCCCCACACCAGGAGGAGGCAGGAACGCTGAGGCGCTTTGCGGAGTTGCTGCCGCAGGCGTTCTCAGCCGAGGCCAAGGTGGCCGAGGTGTTTGACCCGCTGGAACGCGAGTTCAAGGAGCGCATGCAGGTGGGAGATGGGGACACAGGGTTGGGGGGTGAGAATCGAGTGAGAGGTCTGGTGAATGGGTGTGTGAGAGCGGAGGCCGAGGTGGCGGAGGTGTTTGACCCGCTGGAGCGCGAGTTCAAGGAGCGCACGCAGGTGAGGAGGGGTGCGGTGCGGTGAGGGGGAGAAACGGTGGCTGGTAGATAGGTGTGTTAGGTGTGCCCGGGCAAAGGTGTTTCACCCACTGGAGTGCAAATTCAAGGAGCGCATGGAGGTGAGGAATCGAGGGGGCGAGGGGGGCTGGTGAGGAGGAAGGTGCAGTTGGAAATAGGTGCGTGTGTGTGGGTTGTTGGAGGATACTGATGCTATCTTCGGCAAGCATTCTCTCTCACTCTTACCTCTGAACCCTGCTCTGAATGCTGCTTTCAATCTCTAAATAAATATCACGCACGATTTTCCCAACCGGCAGGCTGTGTTTGAGACCCTCCAGGCTCGGCGAGCAGCGCTGGCTCGGCAGCGCAGTGAGCTGCACGGGCAGATCAGCGGCCGGTTTGCAAACCAGTCTGGGCAGCAGGGCAAGGGCAAGCTCATGCGGGTCATTTCCCTGCAAGGCCAGTAGGGGTTGAAGTACCCTAGGATACAGAAGTAATAACGCTAGTAGGATATTGACTTGTTTGGCTTGTCTTTTCAACTGACATTTGTTGCATTGCAGACTGTTGTATGGACACCCTGGTAGTTGCTGGACATAGTGATTGTTGCACTTGCCATCCATGCCAGGATCATCAATACCGTAGCAAACCTTATCAGTGTGAGAGCAATGCAAGTTGTGGTGTGGATCCATTAATTTGAGAACCCCAACACATGCGAACACTTATATATGCCCTACTTTAACATTTGAGTCAGAGAAACTAACGGGAAAGGGAAAGAACATGTATCTCGTTAAGTGTAGATTGCATAATTTATCATCTCAGTGTGGCATGGAATGGTGCTGGAGTCTTTGAGTTCTAGTTGCTTTTTTCTCAGTATGTGCTATTTGACTATCCTAAACCACACTGGTGAGCTTTATAATACGTTTGCAGCACACGGGGTAGCTGGAAACGGGTACAGCACCAGGTCGCTTTCTGTGAAATGAATCACCCTGATTTGAAGGGGCCGATGAGCTGTCAGGCATAAAAACGATGCTGTCTTCCCGTCGGATCGCGTGGTTTGTCTTCCCCCTTCCTAACCCCCCCCCAACCCTCTCCCCCTAGTTTACCCAGCTGCAAGGCGAAACAGCTTCGTGCGGGTGAGGCCTTTGGCACAGCAAGCACGTCATTGCACAGGCAACGCCTCACTCTTCGCGCCCTCCCGCGAAACTCCTCTTTATAAGCACTCGCGACGTTGCCGTTGGACGAAAATCGGTGTGCCCCCGAAACTCACTTCCAGGACCCCTTCTTGTTCCGCTTTCGGCAGGTTCAAGATTCCATGCCGAACTGAACCTTTGAACGAAGCAACAGCATCCTGGATTTGTGTGTACTTTCAGCTGATTCATTTTCTACAGCCAGTGGCTGTTGTTCATTCTTGTCATTGATCCGCCGTTTCGATCTCATCACTTTTTGAAGCATATACCTACTGAACCAACAACGCTTTACCTACTCCTGATCCTAAAGTAACAACGTGAGAATCATAATCAGACATGGCGGATAAAGCTCCACCCGTCGGAGCGCCTCCTGCTCAAGGTGACAAAGCCACTTGACATCACTGTTCGCGGCATTCCGTCATTGTCATTTAGCTCTTAGTTCTGGTGCTTACGAGGCTGTTCTTTTTTTCAATTACTTTTCAGGCTACCCACCACCTCCTGGCGGCTATCCTCCACCTCCTCAGGGATACCCGCCACCTCCTCAAGGTTACCCACCTCAGGGTTATCCACCTCCGGGTTATCCTCCCCAGGGATATCCTCCTCAGGGATATCCTCCACCTCCTCAGGGATATCCCCCACAGCCTGGATATCCGCCTCAGGGATACCCGCCTCAGGGATATCCTCCGCAAGGCCACCACCCACCTCCCCCACAACAGACAGTTATTGTGCAGAAGAGAGACGGTCCCGATGGTGCTGATTGCTGCGCTGCGCTGTAAGTGGAATACGTATTCTGTGAGTTTGGCATGGATTTGCTGACTTCGTTTGTTACAGGCTCCAATCGTTCGAGACGGACCCCGTGATTGATTTCTCGCTTCTTTGTTTGCGTTCTCCTGTGCAGGATGGCTTGCCTTTGCTGTTGTTGCATGATGGACATGCTGTTCTAGAGAAATCTTTTGGAGAAGCACCTCGCAAATGTACAGATTTGTGAAGAAACGTTTCCGACCACCTTTCTAACCGCACCACTCATTCCCTACTATTTTTATTGTACTAGGAGTGATCGAGCTATATGTTAGACGTTTCTTGGTTTCGTGCCCTCAGTTTCAGGCTTCTTCATTCGATTATGCAACAGAGCAGATTACGGTACAAGCTCCCCTCCCCTTCGTGCAACCTCCCTTTGTCCCCGCTCTCCCCAGTTTTCGTCAAGATTCGTTCAGTTTTTTATTCTGTATGCGTGTTGATCGCATCACAAGCCCTATCATGCTCCCATCTTCTGTGTTGTTGAGCATTAGCCGCTGAGACTCTAGGAAAGATATGAGCTAAAAATATGTAGCAGTGGTATCAATGTTGAAAATGCAGGAATTCGGACAACCTGCGAGTTTTCAAAATGGGAAAACGCAAGCAAGGAGCGAAGTTGGGGGATATTTAGAAAACAAATGAGAAGTGTGGTACTTTGGTAGCATCAGACGCAAGAAATGTCAAGCTCGAACTCTTGCAATTAATTCCTGCATTGTCTCAAGTCAAGAGTATCCATGCATCTCACGCTCACCTGATCGGATGCTCATTTCATCTGGAGGGGTTCTGTTGTTTTCACCTGGTCAGGAGGGGCTGCACATTGTAAGGGAAAAGCTCCAGGCGCTCCAGGGGAGAGAGCCGCGTGTGCAGCTGAGTGAGACACCGGAGAGAATCCACCACTGTGGATCGTGATAGTCCCGCTGGGGAGCACGTGACTGTAGACGGTGTGACTACAGCAAATTGGGTCAGCCTCATCTCATCCATTTTCATGTCATCATCGTTTACTCCCTCTTCCTCTTCCTCCTCTTCCTCCTCTTCCTCCTCTTCCTCCTTTTCTTCCACTTCTTCCTCATCTAGTTCATCTTTTTCCTCTTCCTCCCTCTCTTCCTCATCCTCTCCACCCACCATCCTTTCCTCCCTGCAACCACCAGTCATATCAAGCGACCATTCCTCTCCATCACCACCATACCCCAATTTCTCCATTCTCCTCTTTCTCACTCTCCTCCCCTTCCCCTCCTCCAGTTCCTCCAGCGGCCGTTTGAAAGTCGTTCGATTACCCCATCCCTCTTCCTCTCCCTCCCTGCTGCCCTCCTCCTCAACACTCTCCCCTTCCTCTCCCTCCACCCCTCTCCTAAGTTCTTCTCCCTCGCTCTCGCTCGTTTCTTCTCCCTCTCCCTCGCTCTCGCTCGTTTCTTCTCCCTCTCCCTCGCTCTCGTTCGTTTCTTCTCCCTCTCCCTCGACCTCGCTCCATTCCTCTCCCTCACTCCGCTCTATTTGGTCTGTCTCGCCCCCCTCCCTTCCACTCTCTGACTGTTTCGCCACTCCTCTTGACGCAGACCCCACGCATTGTAGCCACAACCGACGTCCAATCCCGTGCTTCCACGTGGCAGCTGCGGCAGGCAAGCACCTGTGAGAGGGCGAGTGGGAGGTAGTGGAGGCAGGAAATGAGAGGAGAGGGCGGGGGGAATGGGTGCAGTGAAGAGTGGTGGGGTTGGGTGGAATGGGATGGGGAGGGGCACAGGAACCAGACATAAGAGCAGCACAAGCATGTGAAAGGCATTCACGAACCATGTAGAGATGGCAGAAAAAGAGAAAACCACTTACAGCAGCAGCAGCAGCAACAGCAGCAGCGCGCAGCACTCATAGCATCAGCACTCACAGCAGCAGCAGGCGAAGGCAGGAGGGTGCGGTGGCAGGCTGCATGAGCAGATCAATAACAGCCGTGGCATCATACCCCATCTGCTGCAACCAGCATCCCAGGATATCCCCCTCCCTCAATGCCTCCAACCACCCCTGCAACATGTTCCCCTCCCTGGCTGCTGCTGCCTCTGCTGTCTCTGTTGTCTCTGCTGCCTCTGCTGCCTCTGTTGTCTCTGCTTCCTCTGCTTCCTCGGCTGTCTCTGCTTCCTCTGCTGTCTCTGCTTCCTCTGCTTCCTCTGCTTCCTCTGCTGCCTCTGCTTCCTCTGCTGTCTCTCCTGCCTGGTCTGCTGCGGCTGGAGCCAGCACTACTACTCGTTTCACTGCAGCACCAGCCACAGGCACTTCCGACTTGTGTGCTGCCGCTGCTAACCCTCTAGACTGCTTGGATGCTGCGAAGCCCTTGATCTGATTTGATATGGACGCGAGCAGTGATAGGCCGTCCAGTAGCACGTCATCCTGTGGGCGGGGGGATTGGGATGGGGAGAGACCGCAGTGTTGGCATGGGCAGCCCATGCATTTCCCTGTTGCTCTCAATCCACCAAGAGAAAGCATCCAGTCAACACTACTATCTGACTGACTGACTGACTGACTGGTTGACTGACTGACTGACTGACTGACCAGTCTATCTGACTGACTAGGAGTGACAAAGCTTCCAGTAGTATGTCATTCTGTGGGTGGGACGGGGATGCGGAGAAACTGCAGTGCCTTGCTGAGAAAACGCAAGTTGTTTTTGCCGAGAGCATCTAATCGAGCCCCATAGTGAAGTGTGACTCAAGACGAGTCAACGCGAGTCAATGCGGGTCAACACAAGTCAAGGAAGGCGTCCATGCTGACCTCATGTGAAAGCAGCTCCACAATGGGAGGCAGAGACACTTGCTTTGGGCCAGCTCCCATGCCAGATGATGCTGACGCTGATGTACTTTGATGGAAGGTATTTTGAGGGTGAGGGGTTGAGAGCGAAGCAGCTGCATGGGAGGGTAAAGTAAAGAAATTACGGTTGCGAGTGATTTTTGAGAATTCTCAAAAATCACTCGAAAGAAGGGGGTTGTGGTTATGGCATAAGGAAAGAAGACGCACGGAATGGCAAGAGACATGGGCATATACAACACACGATTACTGAATAAGACCATAGATTTCAGAAACTACCATCTTAATACAGAAGCGCCCCTTTTGAAGACACTGTTCCACCCACCTGCTGCCATGCGTATTTTTGGGGCGCCCAAAAACAAAAAAACACTGCAGCACCCACCTGCTGCCATGCCTCGCTGCAGAAGCTCCAATGACTGCCACACCGCACCCTCCTTTTCCACAGCCGATTCTACCACCATCATGCTCTTATTCACACTGCCACGGCCGTTCTCAGTAGACCCATCGCCACCAGCAACACCATTGCTACCATCACCAGCACCACCATTACCACCACCATCACTGCATGTACCGGCAATACTGTCCCATCCCTCAAGTGCACCACTGCCACAGCCGTTCTCAGTAACACCAATGCTACCATCACCAAAACCACCCTTTCCACCACTAACACCCCCACCATCTCTGCATCTACCGGCAATACTGTCACATCCACCAGCTGCACCACTGACTGCGGTCCTGAATTCCCCTCCTTCCCTGCCCTCGCACACCAAGTCCCCTCTCACAACTGCCGCTCCCACACTTGCTGCTTCTGCCCCTCCCACTCCCATCCCTCCTTCTCCCACCCCTCCCTCTTCTCCCCCTACCGCTCCTGCCCCTCCTGCTCCTGTTCCATCCCCCTGCCCACTGTTTGATAAGTGCTGCGGCGAGCAGCGGGTGTGGGAGAGGAGAAAGTGGGTGGTGTGGAGGAGAAGCAGCAACTCCAGACGAAGCAAGTGAGCCATAGGAGATGTACCAGCAGTAGAAGCAGCACGAGCAGCAGGAGAGGGAGCAGGAGCAGCAGCAGCTGCAGGAGTAGCAGCAGTAGTAGCAGGAGCAGGAGGAGTGGCAGCAGCAGTGTGTGTAAGACCTGCATGGGCTGTTGAGGCTTCACTGGCAGAGTAGAAGGCCCAGCAGGGCCGTGTGAGAGGAGAAGTGGTGAGAGAGAGTGTGTGAGGGAGGAGGGCGGAGAGGTAGGTGATGATGGTGTGAGAGAGAGGTGGGTGAGAGGGGAGGAGAGGGGCGCACCGCAGCAGAAGCTTCTGAGAGGAGCCTTCGGGGGGTGGGGATGGGAGGAGAGAGAGGAGAGGTTGTGAGGCTGAATAAATCCAGAACAAACTGCTGTGAAGGTAGAGAGAATATAAGAGAAGAAGTCAAAAGTCACATTTGAGAATTCGTGGGAAAACATAAGAAGATATGAGAGGCAATGAATGTAACAAAAACTGAGGCTGACAACAAGCGCGTGAGAATCGCCATCTCACAGTCACAAACCACGCAGAGCTTTCTGAAGAGGAGCAAGTATTTGTGGGAGAGGGCGTGGAAGGAACGGAGTTTAGTGAGAGGAGGAACGAGGGAGAAAGGGAGGTGTGTGTGTGCGTGGAGAGTAGGATGAGGCATTACCAGGGACTTATGGTGAAGGTAAATGGAGTGGCTGGGGCCAGCTGGGCGTGGGTCACGAGAACTTGATGGGGCAGGGGCGAGCATGGGGAGGAGCCAGTGAGAGACCCATGTGTGCACCACAGCCAGCGCGCCTTTCCCACGTAAACATGACTCTTCAGCCGTGTCATCACACACCCCCTCTGGCACACGCTCAGCAGCAGCAGCTGATGATTTCTCCTTGCTGCTGCTCCCACCGTCCGATTTCCTGCTGGTATCGTCACCCTGCCTGGTGCTGACATCAGCATCCGTGCCACCGCCTCTATAGCTACCAGTTTTACTGCCAGTGGCACCAGACTTGCCAATGCTGCTGACGCCATCTCTGTTGGTGATGGCATTGACACATGCGGACAGCAGGCGAGTCAACCATCCCGCCGCCAGCTCTGCTGCTGCTCTTGCTCTTGCTCTTGCTCTTGCCACTGGTCCATCTGAACCCTGCAGCTTCCTAATATGTCCCTCCTGCTCCTGCTGCTGTAACGACTGCCCCTGCCCCTGCTGCCCCTGCTGCCAGTACGGCCCTTGCTGCCCATGCTCTCCTTGCTTCCACTGCTGCCCCGGCTTCTGCCTCTGCTGCAACAGCAAGAAGTGCAGCTTGGAAGAAGCAGAGGCTAAGAGGCGAGAGAGGGAGGGCCATGGCGTGGCGTGCAGGAGAGCGAGGGCAGCCGAGTGGGCAAGGGAGGAGAGACGCGCAGGGGAGGGGAGGAGGGAGGAGTGCGGTGAGGGGTGTGGTGGGGAGTGCGGACGGCGTTTGAGTAGGGAGTGGAAGAGAGAGAGCGCAGCACAGGGCACAGGCACGGTGGGAGTGGTATCGGGAGCAGCAGCGCTGGGCAGAGGCACGTTGGGGCTCAAGCGAAGAGCATTGAAGAAAAAAGGCTCAATTGTGAATCTGTTATTTCCGCCCCCAATGGCCGCTCCCTCTGCTGCAGCCGGCACAGCGGGCGGGAAGGATTTAGGATGCCTTGGAGTTGGCTCGGGAGGGACAACCAGCGGCACGGAGGGCGGGTAGGCAGGAGTTTGCTCAGGAGGGACAACCAGCGGCACGGAGGGCGGGTAGGCAGGAGTTTGCTCAGGAGGGACAACCAGCGGCACGGAGGGCGGGTAGGCAGGAGTTTGCTCGGGAGGGACAACCAGCGGCACGGAGGGCGGGTAGGCAGGAGTTTGCTCAGGAGGGACAACCAGCGGCACGGAGGGCGGGTAGGCAGGAGTTTGCTCAGGAGGGACAACCAGCGGCACGGAGGGCGGGTAGGCAGGAGTTTGCTCGGGAGGGACAACCAGCGGCACGGAGGGCGGGTAGGCAGGAGTTTGCTCAGGAGGGACAACCAGCGGCACGGAGGGCGGGTAGGCAGGAGTTTGCTCAGGAGGGACAACCAGCGGCACAGAGGGCGGGTAGGCAGGAGTTTGCTCAGGAGGGACAACCAGCGGCACGGAGGGCGGGTAGGCAGGAGTTTGCTCAGGAGGGACAACCAGCGGCACGGAGGGCGGGTAGGCAGGAGTTTGCTCAGGAGGGACAACCGGAGGCGTGGAGAGAGGGCAGGCAGGAGGGCAGCATGGAATTGCCTCGGAGAGCACAGGCGGAGGCACGGAGGGCAGACAGGCAGCAGGAGAGGCGCGGAGCAGCAAGAAGTGCAGAGCAGGGGAGGGGGAGCAGCGCAGGGTGTTGGAGGCACCGGCAGCCGCACCACCGGCAGCAGAGGCAGTGGCATTGGCAGGGGCAACGGCGGGGGCAATGGCAGGGGCAACGGCGGGGGCATCAGGGGTGGAGGTGGCAGCAACGATAGCAGAAACTGTGGCCTGCCAGTAGAGGGTTACCACTGCCGCTGCTGCTGCGTGCTGCCCTGCACACAAGGGGGGAGCAAGCGGGAAGCAAGAAGTGTTGGGGATAGAGAGAGGTGCGACTGGAAAACAAAGGGATGAAGAGGTGGGGGTATACAGGGAGGGACGAAGAATGGGCTGTTTTCTAAAATGCATATCAGAAGATCAAACATATAATTGGCTACAGAACAGAACTTGAAGTCGACTAAAGATTTAAGACACAGCGGATGATACTCGACAGATGGAAGGAAGGTGTGGGGAAGGCGTGGTGAAGGCGTGGGGAAGGTGTGGAGAAGGCGTGGGGAAGGTGTGGAGAAGGCGTGGGGAAGGTGTGGGGAAGGCGTGGGGAAGGTAGGGAAGGCGTGGGAAGGAATGGGAAAGAGGACAGGCAATGAGAGAGGCCAGTCAGTCATGAAGACGCATGGATATTTGTGAGCTCTGGGCAGTCTTAAAACTACATCTCTTGTCAGCCGATTCGCACCCTGAGAGACACTCATATGCGTTGACTTTGACTGAATACTGTTGGCTTGGTATTTTCATTCCTTTTTCTTTTTCTTTTCTTTTTTCCGCTGTCGGTACGCACCGGCCCTAGAGTAACCCCACTTCCGATGGTGCAAGTTGCTCAGGAAGGAAACCTTGAGTTGAGTTGCCCCACTTCCCCAAGGACGTGCGGTTGAGTTGGAAGAGTGCCTTGAGTTGAGCGGGCGGGCGCGAGCAGGGCGGCGCTGAGCCTAGGTAACTTGCGTTGACTTGGTCTTGACTTCGGTTGAATTCGTTGACTTTGTTGATTCTGTTGACTTGAGTTGAAAGGGTGATGGGGGGGCGTACAGAGAGGACGGGCGACAGCAGCGCGTCGCTGAGAGTGACGGCTTGCGTTGACTTTGGTTGACTTCTATTGACTTCAGTTGAATTGAAGGCGTGGACGTACAGAGAGGGCGGGCGACAGCAGGGCGTCGCTGAGAGTGACGGCAGCAGCGCGGGCAAGCAGGGGGTCCTGGGAGAACAGGAGGGCTATGACGTCATCTAATGGCATCGTTACGTCATCAGGTATTTTGACGTCATCCGCTGACGTCATCTGTAGACCTCCTGTTGTCCCGCGTGCCCCTCTTCCTCCGCAGCAGGTCCCTTCTACTTCCGCTTGGTTCTTCTCACCTCCCCGCCTCCCCCCTTCCGCCCCACCATCGGCGCCAGTATCTGCATGTCCCCCCTCAACTGGTAACGCGCCTTCGCCGTTTTCGTCATCACAGCCTACTTCGCCTTCTTCGCCAGCTATATCGCTGCGCCAAATTCCGCCTCCATTTGTCCCTCGCCCACTCGCCTTCATTTCTAATGCAACCAGAACTGACGGTTCTTCGTGCGGCGAATTCCGCCAACCTGGCGTGCTGGAAGATCCGTCACCGTCACCTAGCATGCTGCACACTCCGTCATCTTACGTGCTGCAGCGTGGCGTGCGGCGAAACTCGCCAGAAAGTACGCTGTGTTAATACCGAAGCACAAATAGTAGTATACAGTGTAATATATAATAAACCATGATCCCCTCAATGGACCTAAGCTATGCTCAGTTTCCGTTCTAGTTAGAATGCCTTCCAACTTCCTATTTCCTTTACTCTTATCATACCGTATCACTAGTTCTGAAACTCGTTTCCAAAAGACTTGCTGCTGAACTTCGAACACATGGGCATCACTGATAACATACCGGTACATGAAGTGCATCGTACAAGAATTTTAAATACAGCCAGGTTACAACAACAACACCCTAGCCCTGAAAGGTCATCAAGGGAGACGAAGCAGAAACTCGGCATGTGGCTGGCTGGAGGATATAAGATCTCGGGCAACCTTGTAGCAGCAGCATAAGTTTCCTCATTCCTCGGCCAGCAGAGGCAGCTGGCCGCCATTGAAAGCAGTGAACCTGCAGTCAGTCGCAGTCACTCCCGATGTCTCATAATCCCCCACCTCCCCATCCAGAAACCCCTTACCCTCCTCCCCATCCACCGACACAGGGTGCCGCAGCAACGCGGCAAGCCTAGAATACTCCATCGTCCTCCGCTCCCTGCCGCTGCGGTACGTTTGCCCCATCACCCCGTGCACCTGGCCGCTCGGATTCGAGTCCACAAACATCAGGTTAATGTGCACCTGCGCGTCCTCAGGTGTTTGCAACAGAGGGTGCGCCGCGCGCAGCTTCAGCTCGAGCTCCAGGAGATTTCTCAGGCGGAGGGAGTACACGTCCACGTCGAACGGGCCGGTCTTCTCCTGGCCCACAAACGACAGAACCAGCCGCCCGTTGGAGAGAACGTGGCTCTTGCCAAGGGTAAGGCGCGGGAGAGGCTTGTCGTCAAGAGTGGCGGATGCAAGGAAGCCTTGCGCCCCGCGAGTCTGCTCCTTGCCGTCCCGTGCCGTGAGCACAAGAGAGTGAGATAACGCAGCAGCAACGCTTTCACTAGTGCCACTGCCACCGCTGCTGTTCTCGCCGTCGTGCCACATGATCGCCAGCTGTCGGATCCACGTGCGAACAGCCGAGCCGTTCACAAAACGCGCCGCAGCCAATGTGCTACTGTTACCAGCAGCAGAGGTTGCAAGGGGGCGGTGGTCGAGATAGCCGTGCATGGCCATGTTGACGTGCACTTGGCGGTCGGTGTAGAGGCAGAAGGAGCGGTTGGGCAGCCCGTTGAAGTCAAACCGCGTGCCGTGCGCGCCCAGGAAGTGCGGGTCGTTCTCGCCGTACGCACACCGGCGCCCCACGCGCACCGTCTTGGGGTCGCCACCGCCACTGCCGCCGCCGCCCGTGGTGGTGCCGCAGCGCCCCTTGCGGGCCTTCTCGGGCGTGAGGGCGTCCACGGCTGGGAGGAGAATGCACTTGCCTCGCTGCTCGCCACTGCTGCTGCTGCGGCGGTCGTGAGAGCTGGGCGATGGAGACCTGAAGCATTGGAAGAGATGAGGCGGAGGGAACAGAGCACATTGAATGAAACCGTCACAGAGTCTACTAGCTCTCGAAAAGGAACGTCAAAAGGGCACAATGGAAAATAAAGGCTAACTGGTCCAGGAAAGGTGCGGCTAACAGCGCAAGCTGGCGGAACTCACGGGATGTGCGCCCAGTGGCGGCAGTTGAAGGGAGTGCCATCGACTGTGGCGTTCACGCTGCTGCATCGGCTGCAGCACTCCTTCACGCTCACAGCCGCCCCCGCACACCACGCCTCGTTCGCCTTCCTCGGCGCACCACCACCGCTGCTGCTGCTGCTAGTACTGCCGGTGCCGATGGAGCAGCGGCCATAGTCGGACAGCTTCCAGTTCCCCACCTCGCCTGCCTCCTCGCTGCACCCGCCCCGCCCGCACAGCCCGCCGCCATGGCCGCTCCTACCACCTCCATGCTCGCCGTCGTCGTCGCCATCATCCTCGTCGTCACCCTCGCTATCATGCTCGTTCTCGTGTTCGCGATCGTGCTCGCTCTGGTGTTCGCGATCGTGCTCGCTCTCGTGCTCGCTGTCATGCTCGTCATCAGCGGCCGTGTCGTCCTCGTCGTTGTCGTGTCCCCGGCCGTCATGCCCGCCGTGGCCTCCGTCGTTTCCCCCGCTCTCGTCGTCTCTAACGCCGCCAGGCGACACGCCGTGCCGCGAGTCGCCGTGGGGATCGCCGCTGCCGCCGCGCCCGCCAGCTGTTGCCGCGCCGCCGGTCACACTGCCGTCGCCGCCGCGCAGAGCGATCCCGCCCGAGCGGGGAGGCTTAGTCGCAGCAGCGACGCCGGCGGCTGCTGCTAAGAACACGGATAACGCGACGAGGAGGAGAAACGCTCGAGACATGATGGCGACGACGAAATCCTTCGACGGAACAACAAGGTAACCAACGAATCTCAGAAGTGTCGAATGGTGCTGTTTCTATCGAATGGGAGGCTATAAAACGGCGATGTGAATGTGCTCCGAGGAGCAAGGCAACGAACTTCGAAACAGAAGACAAACTGTCTGATGAGGAAATATTAGAGGTAGTCCCTGGAGTGATGATGAAGCTTAGACCAGGTAAGAGTAGGATGCTTGATGTTAAGAAGAATGAAGCATGCCGAGGCTGTGCTCCATCGCAAGGCTTTATAGTAGCGAATCGCGATGCAAGGACGACACTTGCAGGGCATGGAGCCTCACGGTCGCGATTCACGGCGCAAGGCTGCATCAGCCCACCTCCCAGGGCGTGAGCATGGCGCCACGGATAAGAAGAGCGCCGCGGAAGAAGAAGAAGAACATTTCCGCGCCGCGCCGTGGGAATAAGTCGCGGTTGTGGCTATCGTGGACTATCTGCCACTGTGCGCTCATGGCTCCTGAAGAATCTCAAGGAAATTCGGAATGGGACGCGGGGTTTGGAATGTAGCTCTCCTGTCCCTGCTTGAATTCTTTTCTGCACATTCTGGGTTGAGCCGGTTTAAATACGTTTTGAATCGGTTTGACGGGATGTGCCGCAAATGGTTGTGCTGGTTGGGGGAGGAAAGAGGCACGGAGAAGCGACGACCAGGGGGGCGAACATTTTCAATTCACCTGGGTTTCGCAAACAGACTTCGCGAAAGTGAGGGACTTTCGTTCAAACAGATTCAACCTCGCGAGGAAAGCAGATGCGACACAAGGATGTGGCGCAGAAATCTTTTGAGCAGTGTGCGAACATCAGCCTCTGGACTTCGCGAAGGTGATTTCTGAGGAAGGAAAGTTGTGGGCTGCCAGTTGCGACTCCGAGTTCGTTTTCCCCACCCTTTGGGAAAAAAAATCAAATAATGGCACACTACAAAAAAGCAATGTGTTTCCAAGTCAGTCTCAGGTGCCTGATCTCCCTCACTAAAATGCCACACCCTCAAAATACCGTAAATGTGGCAGCAAGTGCCAAACATTCCCTCATGGCAAAAAACCCTGTCCTCCTGCTCATCTCATTTAACCACTTCCTCAGTATGACACAAACAACCATGGTAGATTAAATTTACGGTAGGTACGGTATTGCACACCTACCGTACATGTCAGGATGCAACTATGCTAGCTTCAACACATGTGATTACCACAAGGACAATACGTCAACTATGTACTACTCTCCATATATTAGCCACTACGTTGATCAGTGAGCAAACCAACTCAATCCAAACCCAGACCAGTATTTGCACGGTTCCTCTCCATCTCCTCTCGCCTGTCCTCCAACCGATCCCTCAACTCCTCTGGAGAGTACACACATTTGGAGCTGCCCTTCATTCCTCTAATCACCCGCCCCACATTCTTGACATTCTTTGCAAATCCCCACGTTCCCTTCCCCTTCCCCTTGCTCAAAGCATTTTCCCCAGGAATCTCCCCATCAGGGCTAGAACCAATCAAGCTGGGCATTCCCGAAGCACTTCTCTCCGAACCTACGCAGGTAGAGTCCAGATTCTCTTGATCGGACCTTGTCAAGCCTACCCTTTCCGAAGCTGATCCGTCCCTCACTTGCTGACGAGCCGATTTCGAGCGAACGCAGATATTCTCTCCATCCAACGGCCCTGATTCATCCCCCATGTTGTCCATCTCGGGATCATCTAGATCTTCAAACGACTTGGTTCTCCGATTCCCCTGACGAGGGCGGCTGTGCTGACTAGGGTCGGTGTAGTGATGACCGGGCTGACTAGGATCGGTGTAGTGACGACTGGGCTTACTAGGATCGGTGTAGTGACGGCTGAGCTGACATGGCTCAGAGTCGTATCGGTCCAGCTGACTGGATTCCGTGTCCTGACTGGCATTGGACTCGTGAGGACTCAGAAGACTGGGACTGAGTTGACTGAATTGACCAGAGCTGCGCTGACTGCCTTGACTGCCTTGACTGGGTTGACTTGGTTGACTGGGTTGACTTGAGCGGCTTGGGCTGGCGGAGCCAAGGAACTTACTGATGAAGCGGGGGGAAGGGAGGGTGGAGAAGGTAACCCTGTTGAAGGAGGAGGAGGGGGTGCGGGAAGAGGACACGAGGTCCATGCCTGCTGCTGTGCGCACTGGAATGGGGATGGGGTTGGCTGGTCGCTTCACTCGCTCCTGCTGCTGCTCTCCTGCAGCTGCTGCCCCCCCTGCTGCTTCTGCACTCCCTGCTGCCCCTGCCGCCGCCGCCGCCGCCGCCGCTGCTGCTGCTGCTGCTGCTGCTGCTGCTGCTTCTTCTGCTGCTGGTGCTGCTGCCGATGGCACAGATGATGATGCAGCTCGAACGCTTGGGTCAGCAAGAGAGGGAGGAAGATCAGAGCCAGCAGTAAAAACGAAAGGAAGATCAGAGCCAGCAGTAAAAACGAAAGGAGCGTCGTTCCACTCTTCCTCACCCTTTCCAGCTTTCCCAATCACCTTCTCGGACCCCTCAACAGCCTGCCCAGATGCTCCCACCTCCTCATTTCCTACCTCCTCTTTCCTCCCACCATCCAACAGCTTTTTTCCTGACTTCCGTCCAGCGCCAAACCCAGGGGCAGCAGCAGCAGCTGCAGCTGCAGCAGCAGCAGCAGCGGCAGAGGCAGCAGAAGCAGCAACGGAGGCTGAGGCAGCAACAGAGGCAGAGGCAGCAACAGCGGCAGAGGCAGCAACAGAGGCAGGGGTGCGGCGGATCGCCTTGCCTGCGACTCGACTCACGTGCACAGCAGCGCCCAGCCATGCACCACCCCACCCCCGCGCAGCAGGACTCACTGCCGGTTCACCCACCGCCTCCCCTCCCCCCTCCTTTTCCTCCCCCTCCTCTCCTCGCCCCTCCTCTATCCCCCCCTCCTCTCCTACACCGTCCTTCCCTCCAGCATCTGCTGCTGCTCCCTCCGTTGTTGCTCCCTGCCCTGCTGCTCCCTCCTCTGCTGCTCCCTCCGTTGTTGCTCCCTGCCCTGCTGCTCCCTCCTCTGCTGCTCCCTCCGCTGTTTCTCTCTTCTCTGCTGCTCCTTCCGCTGCTGCTCCCTCCTTGCGCTGCCTGTTCTGGCCAATGAGCTCCTCATCTCCTCTTCTCTCTTCCTTCTGCTCTCCTCTTCTCTCTTCCTCCTGCTCTCCTCTTCTCTCTTCCTCCTGCTCTCCTCTTCTTTCTTCATCCACACTCCCCCCACTTCTCTCTTCCTCCAACTTCCCTCCTCCACTCATCTCCCCATCGCCCTGCTCTCTCCAACCATTTGACCCATCCACAATCCTGCTGCCCTCTGAGTCCTCCCCTGCCACGCCCCTCCCCTCCACCTCACCCCCACATTCCTCCGCAGATCCCACTCCCACCTGCACCTCTAGCTCAAGAGTTTCACGTCCTTGCACGAGAGTTTCATCTCCTTGCACGAGAGTTTCATCTCCCTGCCCACACGTTTCATCTTCTTGCCCTAGTTGCGTTTCCTTACCCCTGCCCCGCGTTTCATCTCCTTGATGCCACGTGTCAGCTCTTCTTCCACTCACCACTGTGCCATGATCTCCCATTCCCTCTCGCCCTGCGGGTAGGTCCCTACTTTCCTCACTCCCAGCTGGAATATGCATGCTAGCAGCACCCAACAGTACAGAACTAGCTCCTGATGGATCGGTTGCAGAGCCTCCTTCCATGCTCTCCTCTTTCCAGACCATCCGCTCTCTGCTATCCCCTTCTCTACTCGCACCCTCTCTGCTCTCCCCTTCTCTACTCGCTCCCTCTCTGCTCTCCTCTCTGCTTTCCTCCCCTTTGTTTCCCTCCCCTCTATTCTCTCCCCCTCTGCTCTCCTCTTTTCTGCTCTCCTCACCTCTGCTCCCCTCCCCTCTGCTCTCCTCCTCTCTGCTCCTCTCCCCTCTGCTCTCTTCCTCTCTCTCTCCCCTCCCCTCTCCTCTCCTCCTCTCTGCTCTCCTCCTCTCTTCTCTCCTCCCCTCTGCTCACCTCTGTCTCTGCCTGCCTTGCCAATTCACCTGCATGGCTTCTGCTCGTCCTGCACTCCAAGCTTTCATTCCCCCCACTCCCTCCTCTCTCCTCTCCCTCCCACCTCCCTCTCTCTTCTTCATTCTCCATCCTTCTCTCCTCTCTCTCGTCTCCCCCATCTCTTTCACCACTTTCAGCCCTCCCCTCTCTCTCACGCCTCTCACCCCTCACATCATCCTCGCCCCTTCCCTCACCTCCACCCACCTCCCTCATGCGCTCATCCATCCCCTCCCCTCTCCTCTCCCCCTCCACACTCCTCTCCCCCTCCCCACGCCACTCCTCCCCCACCCTCACCTCAGCAGCAGTCCCTGCCTGCTCCCTTGCCCCGGTGCAAAAAGCACCGCCACTCCCTTCTCTGCACGCACCCAGCCCAGAGCTCTCGGCCCTGCTCCCACTGCCAGCAACCCCTTCCTCCCAAGCCTCTGACTCACGCCCCTTCGCTTCTTCGCATTCCCTCGCTCCCTCAACCGCTCCCACCCTCGCTCCCTCCATCACTCCTTCACCCTCTTCCCCACCCACAGGTACACTCGTTACTGGTACACTCGTTACAGGCACACTCCACTCCTTACCACTCTCTATCTCCCCATCTCCCCCATCTGCCCCCTCCACATCTCCCGCCCCACCACTTCCTTCCATCGCCCTTTCTCCTCCAAGCACATCTTCCAGAGCGGCATAGCTCTTTGCCTTGCCACCAGACCCAAACCGAACCATCTTCCGCCCATCACCATCACTCCCATGCGTTTCATCTCCCACCACCGCCGTTTCATCTCCCACCACCATCGTTTCATCTCCCTCCACCGTCGTTTCATCTGCATCCAGGCAGATCGCCTCCCCAGCTGTCTTACTGCGCGTGTGCCCTCCGCCAACCCGCGTCACAGCTGCAAGCCCCTTCCCTCCCAACCCCTTCCCAGGCAGCTTCCTATCGGCCAAAATGCTTAAAGCCTGACTAAAGGCTCGACCCGTATCCACCGCCCTTGCCATCCCACCAAAAGCCTTCTTCCCCACAGCACTCCCAGCAGCACTCCCCTCAGGCACCACATTAGAAGCCATACCAGCACTCGCACTCCCAGCTGTAGCTAAAGCGGAGGAGGCATCACTCCTCCTAGCACTCCCTAACGCAGCAGCCGTAGCAGTGGAAAGTGAGGAGATCCCGCGATCCCTTGCGGCCGCAATGGCAGCTGCAATAGCTGCAGCAGCACCGGCAGCACCGGTAACAACGGGAGCACCGGCAGCACTGGTAGCAGAGCGAGGGGTGGAGGCCTGAGAGGACTCTATGAGCGCGGCCCACCTTCGACTCAGCCCCTTGCCCTCCCCGCTTCTACCACTGCCAGCACCAGCACCAGCAGCACCAGCAAGGCCGCTGCCACTGCCACTAACGCTGCTGCTGGGGCTGTCACCATCAGCAGAGGCAGCAGCGTCTAAGACAGCCTGTGCTCCCCGGGGGCTGTCCTTTCTCTCCAGGAGCGCCCCTAGCAGCAAACTCCTCAGCTCCCTCTTTCTCACCACACCACCTACCTTACTTGCCTGCCCTTCCGCCACCGCTCCTCCTGATTCCCCCTTGCTCTTCTCACACGAAGAGCCCTCCGTTCCTCCCGCCTCTTCTCCATCCTCTGCTCCCCCCTCCTCCTCTTCTCCCCACGCCTCCCCATCCTCCTGTCCTGCTAAACCCCCAAACCGCCATCTCCTCGACACCTGCAGGCTACGCTTGAGCTCGCGCTCTCGCTCTTGCTCTTCCACCAACTCCGCCACACCGTCCAACACCGCATTCCACCCACCAGCACCGCGGCTCGTTCCCACCCCACCCCCCTCCCCATCACGCCCACTCCACCACCATCACCACCACCATCACCACCACCACCACCACCACCACCATCACCATCACCAGCGCCAGCATCAGCAGCCTTAGTAAAAGCGGCATTGGCATAATCAGCAGCATCAGCAGAGCGAGAGCGAGCGCGTGCAACCTCGGGAGTGTTTTTCCGAGCCAGCATCGCACCCAGCAGCAACCGCCTCACCTCTCTCTTCCTTGACAGCGCACCCACACCCCTCCCTTGCCCGTCACCCCTCCCCTGCCCGTCCCTGCCACTCAGCCCTGCACCACCACTGCCACCTGCCGCACTGTCTGCACCTTCCCCCTCACCCGCTTTCATCTCCCCATTCATTCTGCCTTCTCCTGCACTTCTCCCTCCATCCCTTACATCTCCCTCCTCCCTTGAACTCTCTTGCAGCGCGCATTTCTCTTCTATCGAGGGCTCAGGGTTTATTGTCTGCTCCCTCTCTACCACATCAAGCCCATCGGCGCGACGATCCTCCTCCCTCACACTCTCGCCCCCATCCATCCCTCTTACACCCTCCTCTCCGTTTTCCACACAAGGAGACCCTTCTTCCTCCTCTTCCTCCTCATTCTCCTCCTCCTCATCCTCCCAATCCTCATCCTCCCACTCCTCTTCCCCATCCCTCCTTCCCTCCCTCGACAGCTGGTAGCTCCGCTTAAGCTCCCGTCCTCTTGCTGACTCCACCAATTTATCTGCCACCACTTCCCACCCCCCTTCACCGCTCTTTCTCCTGGTTTTTCCCTTTTGCACGCCTGTCCACCCCTTGAGTGATCCCCACATGGACCGTCCACTGCTGTGGCCCTCACCCTTTTTCAGCCGCCTACCTAGTGCCTTGCTAATACTGCCACTGCTGCTACTCCCCCCCCCTGCTGCTCCTCCATCCTTACTTTTGCTGCAGCTGCCATCACCAAAATCAGCATCCGCATCCCCATCCTCAGTTTCCTGCTCCTCTGCAGCAGCAGCAGCAGCAGCCGCAGCAGCAGCAGCAGCAGCTTCAGCAGCAGCAGTCTCCGCAACAGCAGCAGCAGCTGCGTCTGCAAAGCCACTGCTGAAGCCGCCACCAGACCCATCACCACCAGAAGCACCACCATCATCCACTCCACTTCCCGCCTTCCCACCACCACCAAGCAGCCACATCAACAACGACCACCACCAACTACCCCCTCCTCCCTTCTCCCCCTTCCCACTCCCTCCACCCACCTCCCCTCCCCACTCCACACTCCCATTCCCCTCCCCCTCCGCCCCACCATCCCCCTCGGCAGACAGGGCTGAGAACCGAACAGCCCGCTTGCCTTGAGAGGCAGAGGCAGCAGAGAGCTTGCGGTGGTGGGCGGAGACGAGGGCGGCAGCGAAGGCACGCTGGGCAGCATCAGGGTCGAGTGGGCAGTCGCGCACCTTGGGGTCGCGGGCCTTCTCCGCTGCTGTCACCTGCACCTTCTCCTCGGGCGTGTAGCTGCGGTATACCATCTGTTAGAGCATAGCAAGAGGGAGGGGGAGGGGGGAGGGGGGCATGAGGCCTAGAGCCTTCTCGGCTGCTGTCACCTGCACTTTCTCCTCCGGCGTATAGCTGCGGTAAACCATCTGCACTCACACGACCCGGAGGGAAATGAAGGAAGGAAAGGTGGGGTATTGAACACAGCAGCAAGCACAGCCTTGGGGTCCCGGGCCTTCTCCGCTGCTGTCACCTGCACCTTCTCCTCTGGTGTGTAGCTGCGGTATACCATCCGCCATGGCCAAGGGTGGAGAGAAGGGGTTGTGATGTGAGGTGGGAAATTGGAACAAACGACGTGAGTCATAGTAACAAACGATGCAAGTTGTACTCGCCTCGTCGTGACCTTGGCCATCTGTATCTCACAGGGATTTCGGGAGCGCAATACAGACCCACGTGCACTCACCTGCAGAGTGATGCGCCCCAGCTTGTGGTCAATGCCCAACATGCGGTCGTTGAAGCGCCTAGTGCATGCGCCACTCTTCCCACGCTCAATCACAGAGGCCCGGCCTGCATAGTGATGCGCTCTAAACTCCCTCACCTGCATAGTGATGCGCTCTAAACTCCCTCACCTGCATAGTGATGCGCTCTAAACTCACTCACCTGCAGCGTGATGCGCTCTAAACTCACTCACCTGCAGCGTGATGCGCCCCAGCTTGTGGTCAATGCCCAGCATGCGGTCGTTGCCGAGCTTTGGCAGCAGCGCCAGCGTGACGGTCTGCACGGTGTCCTTATTGAGGAGGCCTACTAACGGGTACATGGCGTACCCCAGGTTCTGGGTGCCAAAATTGTCCTCGTCGTCCACCTGATGGAGCACAGAAGGAAATCAGAGGGGAACCTCAAAAGGAAATCAGGGGGGAATCACATGTGAGGCGCCTCAAGAGCCAGTAAAGGATACATGGCGTACCCAGTTGTGCGTGCCAAAGTTGTCCTCGTCGCCCACCTGATGGAGCACAGGGAGGGGAACCACAGAAGGGGATCACAGAGAAGGGTTGTGGGCGTTGATATTGAGAAGGTCCGCCAAAGGATACATGGCGTACCCCAGGTTCTGAGTCCCAAAGCTGTCCTCGTCGCCCACCTGAAGAGTCGCAAGTGGAGGAGGAGAAAGGAGAGTGGGCATGTGTTGGGGGTTGTGGGCATGACAGAGGGGTTGTGGGCATGCCAGAGGAGTTGTGGGCATGCCAGAGGGGTTGTGGGCATGCCAGAGGGGTTGTGGGCATGCCAGAGGGGTTGTGGGCATGCCAGAGGGGTTGTGGGCATGCCAGAGGGGTTGTGGGCATGCCAGAGGGGTTGTGGGCATGCCAGAAGGGTTGTTGCTATGAGAAGGGGGCATCGAAGAGGGTTGGTTGTCGAAGCAACCATAGGTAGGTGGGGCGGAGCAAGAAGACATTAGGTGCATTTCGTGGCGCCTCAAATGCACGTCACTACACGCGGTTGTCAAAGCAACCATAGGTAGGTGGGGCGGAGCGTGGTGCAAGCGAAGAGCAAACCAACGCGTGGTGCAAGCGAAGAGCAAACCAACGCGTGGTGCAAGCGAAGAGCAAACCAACGCGTGGTGCAAGCGAAGAGCAAACCAACGCGTGGTGCAAGCGAAGAGCAAACCAACGCGTGGTGCAAGCGAAGAGCAAACCAACGCGTGGTGCAAGCGAAGAGCAAACCAACGCGTGGTGCAAGCGAAGAGCAAACCAACGCGTGGTGCAAGCGAAGAGCAAACCAACGCGTGGTGCAAGCGAAGAGCAAACCAACGCGTGGTGCAAGCGAAGAGCAAACCAACGCGTGGTGCAAGCGAAGAGCAAACCAATGCGTGGTGCAAGCGAAGAGCAAACCAACGCGTGGTGCAAGCGAAGAGCAAACCAACGCGTGGTGCAAGCGAAGAGCAAACCAACGCGTGGTGCAAGCGAAGAGCAAACAAACGCGTGGTGCAAGCGAAGAGCAAACCAATGCGTGGTGCAAGCAAAGAGCAGGACAAAGCGTGCAGGCGGGTGGAGAGCACATCCAATGCGTAGCGACAGGCGGGAAGGAGCAGGCGAGGAGCAGGAAGGACAGCCCAAAGGCTGCGCGCGGGCGGGCGGGCAGACCTGAATGAAGAGCTCTGCGGTGTGGATGTCGTCGACGGGCAGCTCGAAAGTTTCGTTCCAGACCGGGTTGAGGTCGTTGTCGATGGTGCGGGTGACGGCCTTGTGCTTGCAGTGCGTCCAGAGGATGGCAAAGGGGTCCGAGACGCTCATCATGTCCACGTTCTTCAACCCCTCTGCTTTCCACGCCGTTACCACCAGGGAACCCTCATAGTGCATTTCCAGGAAGCTGAGGAGTAGAGCAGAGTGGAAACAGGGGGTTGGGGAGGAAGTAGAGGGGGGAGGGAAGGTAGGGGGAAGGTACAATCGCCAGAGGAAGGCAAAGGGGTCGGAGACACCTACTCACCACATCACATCACATCACATCACATCACATCACATCACATCACATCACATCACATCACATCACATCACATCACATCACATCACATCACATCACATCACATCACATCACATCACATCACATCACATTTCATCACATCACATCACATCATATTCACAAGAATAGGCGAAAAACTCACCTCGCGTCGAACGAGGGGGCGAGCGGCGCAACATAGCATCAAGGCCACATGAGCTGAAGATGCTCTTAATCACGCTGTGCACCGTGCTCTCTCAAGGCCACGCACTGTGATCTCAACTCAATCACGCCTGCCACCAGCTACGCCTGAGATTCGCCTAGCACATTGACTCACCTGGCATCGAACGAGGGGGCGAGCGGCGCAACGAAGCATCAAGGCCACATGAGCTGAAGATGCTCTTAATCACGCTGTGCACCGTGCTCTCTCAATGGGGCCATGCACTGTGATCTCAACTCAATCACGCCTGCCACCAGCTACGCCTGAGAGTCGCCTAGCACATCGACTCACCTGGCATCGAACGAGGGGGCGAGCGGCGCAACGAAGCATCAAGGCCACATGAGCTGAAGATGCTCTTAATCACGCTGTGCACCGTGCTCTCTCAATGGGGCCATGCACTGTGATCTCAACTCAATCACGCCTGCCACCAGCTACGCCTGAGAGTCGCCTAGCACATTGACTCACCTGGCATCGAACGAGGGGGCGAGCGGCACAACTATGCATTTGGGCCACATGAGGGTGCCCTCAATGGCACTGTGCACCGTGCTCTCAACTCCTTCATCCCCACTTCCAACCAAGTCTGAAAGCCTCACCTGGCATCGAACGACGGGGCGAGCGGCACGACAATACGTTCGGGCCACATGAGGGTGCTCTCGATGGCGCTGTGCACGGTGCTCTCTATCATCCCCGCCAGCCCCGGGATGGAAGACAGCTGGCCTCCGATTGCCTTCAGCTTGTACTCTATCCGCATGCGCGGCTGCCGGGGGGGAGGGAAGGTGGGAGAAAAATGGGGGAGAAGAGGGCAAAGGAGAAGAGGATGAGAAGGTGCCTCACAAGGCCCCTGATCGCCTTCAGCTTGTACTCTATCCGCATGCGCGGCTGCGGGGGGTGTGAGGTAGGGAAGGGAAAGGGGATGAGAAGGGGTGCCTGACAAACCACCAATTGCCTTCAGCTTGTACTCTAACCGCATGCGTAGCAGACAAGTCAAGTGAAGTCACGCAGGCACGTGCTCAAGTGGGGAAGTGAAGAGGAGAGCGCACCTTCTTGTGGATGGAGGTGACAACGGCATCGATGCACGGCAGCGGTAGAGAGGGGCAGAGAGCGGCAGAGAGGGGCAGAGAGCGGCAGAGAGGGGCAGAGAGCGGCAGAGAGGGGCTGAGAGCGGCAGAGAGGGGCAGAGAGCGGCAGAGAGGAGCAGTGCAAGTGAAGGGGAGCGCAGCGCACCTTCTTGTGGATGGAGATGACAACGGCATCGATGCACGGCAGCTGCTCTCCCAGCTGCAGGATGAGCCTCAGCCTCGCCCGCAGCTCCAGGTCCTTCAGCTGTGGTGCGATGCGGTATGGTGCGGTGTGGTGGGGCGTGGGGGAGGGAAATGGGGACGAGTATTAAGACGTCACAAAGCTGCGGGGATAAGGCTCATCGCATCGCATCCCATCCCATCCCATCCCATCCCATCCCATCCCATCCCATCCCATCCCATCCCATCCCATCCCATCCCATCCCATCCCATCCCATCCCATCCCATCCCATCCCATCCCATCCCATCCCATCCCATCCCATCCCATCCCATCCCATCCCATCCCATCCCATCCCATCTCATCCCATCCCATCTCATCGCACCACATCTCATCGCACCACATCGCATCTGCATATGCATGCTCCCACCGCACCTGCACGTGCATCTTGACGCCCATGCTGGCGATGGCGAGGATGATAGATGAGCCGCCCCCCACCCACAAGTTCATGTCCACCATCACCTGCTGCTCCACCAGCCGCTGCACCTTCACACCTGTGGTGACACACATGACACGATCATGGGCAAGGAAAGAGATCATTCGAGTGCTACAAGCTCTTCCCACCCACCCACAGACTCATATCCACCATCACCTGCTGCTCCACCAGCCGCTGCACCTTCACACCTGCGTGGGCCCCGGGAGGGGGTGTGGCACGCGGCACATCGGAAAGGAGAAGTCTTGAGTGCTGAGAGGCATAACGCCCTTCCCCCCCACCCACCCACAGACTCATATCCACCATCACCTGCTGCTCCACCAGCCGCTGCACCTTCACACCTGCGTGGGAGAGAGGGGAGGGTGTGTGACAGGGCTTGAGAGTTGAAGCCTTGATTCCCTGCCCTTCCCTTCGCCCCCCACCCACAAGTCAATGTCCACACCATCACCTGCTGCTCCACCAGCCGCTGCACCTTCACACCTGTGGTGTCACAGGGAGGGGGCGTGACACATGAGCAGGGATGGGGATAGCTGGAGTGTTACAGGCCCTTCCCCCCAACCCACAAATCCATGTGCATGTGCATGTGCATGTGCATGTGTACGTGCATGTGCATGTGCATGTGCATGTGTATGTGCATGTCCATGTGCATGTGCATGTGTACGTGCATGTGCATGTGTATGTCCATGTCCATGTGCATGTGCATGTGCATGTGCATGTGCATGTGTATGTCCATGTCCATGTGCATGTGCATGTGTATGCGCATGTGCATGTCCATGTGCATGTGCATGAACATCGGCCGCACAACCGACTTCTGAGCGGGCGGAGAAAAAGCGAAGCAGCCAATTACATAATAGTACGTGGATGGTTGCACGTGACTAACTAAGACACGCCCCTTCTGAGTCAACTCAGAACGAGGCGAATTTCGGTTCGACACAAGAGGCACTGTGTTCCGCGCAAGCTCACCTGGTATGCGCGGGGCACTTTTGATGTTTTCCAAAGCGACTCGGGCAACGGCGCGTTGCTGCTGTTGAAGCGCTTGAAGGCCAGCGACGACACTCCCGCGGGCTTGTGAGACGTCTCAAAAGTCACCTGCTATGTGCAACAGGCGCAGCTGCTGTGTGCAACAGGCGCAGCTGCTGTGTGCAACAAGAGGCGCACGCACCTTCGATGCGCGGGGCGTTGCTGCCGAGCTTGAAGCGCTTGAAGGCCAGCGACGACACTCCCGGGGGCTTGTAGCTGTCGAGCATTGGCTCTACTACCTCCTTCACCAGATGGGATGTCGCCTGCATGGGTGGAGAGAGGAGGGGGGAAGAAGAGAAGGAGCAGGGAGACAATGAGCTTGTATCAGGGAGAGAGAGGGCTTGTAGCTGTCGAGCATTGGCTCTACTACCTCCTTCACCAGATGGGATATCGCCTGCATAGGTGGGGAGAGAGAGGAGAGGAAGAGGGCATGAGGGGGCCTACACTTACACATTACAGTGGCACCCCAACTCACCCAGTTGGCGAAACCCACCCACTTAGCCCAACTATCCCTTCCAGCCACCCCAACTTAACCTGCCACAACCCCTCTCCTCACCTGATCACCCCTATCTCATTTCCACTCAATTTACCAGGTCACCCCGAGTCAACCCATTTCATCTCATCCAGTCACACCCTTTAAACTCATCCAGTCACACCCTTTCAACTCATCCAGTCACCCCAAGTCACCCGAACTCACTCACTCCCCCTTCCCTTACCCGGTCTCCTCAACTCACCCGGTCTACATACTTCCACACCTCCTGCAGCTGCACGTTCAGCCAGTGCACCTGCCAGTCACGGTCAATGGGGGAGAGGAAGGGGGTGGGTGAGCAGGAAAATTAACTCGGCTTGCTGCGGTTCGAATCTTTTCTGATTCTGTGCAAGAAAAACTCCCATCTCCGATGCACTATCTATCCCCAACCCCGCGTCTTCCAAAGCCCAGCCCGCATGCCCTATCTCCCATCCCACATGCCCTATCTCCCATCCCACATGCCCTATCTCCCATCCCACATGCCCTATCTCCCATCCCACATGCCCTATCAGCCATCCCACACCAAAACGCAGAGATTTGACGCTGGTGTCAGATGTGATGTGTGACGAGTCAAATCCGACCCACATATGTCACATTCTCTGATCCCATATCACATGCTCTATCACACATCACCCACCACCCGTCACCCAGCACCACCAACCATGACCCATCGCACATGTTCGAACTGTTGGAAGTGCACCCATTTGAGGGTGTCCTCACGGCATATGCGCCAAATGTGCCAGCTGCGGCACCTCAAAACCCATCTCGCATGCTCTTTCACCCATCTCACATGCTCTATCCCACACATCACCCACACACATCACCCACATCACCCGTCACCCATCGCACATGTTCGAACTCTTGGAAGTGCACCCATCCAGGGGTGTCCTCACGGCAGATGGCGCGTATGTCCGCCAGCTGCGGCACCTCAAAACCCATCGCACATGCTCTATCACACACATCACCGACATCACCCATCACCCGTCGCCCATCACCCATCACCCATCGCCCATCGCCCATCTCACATGTTCAAACTCTTGGAAGTGCACCCATTTGGGGGTGTCCTCACGGCATATGCGCCAAATGTGCCAGCTGCGGCACCTCAAAACCCATCTCGCATGCTTTTTCACCCATCTCACATGCTCTATCCCACACATCACCCACACACATCACCCACATCACCATCACCCATCGCACATGTTCAAACTCTTGGAAGTGCACCCATCCGGGGGTGTCCTCACGGCAGATGGCGCGTATGTCCGCCAGCTGCGGCGCGTTCAAAAAGTGAATGTCCGCCTTCTGCTCGCGACGGGGGGGGGGGGGGGGGGGGGGGTGGGGGAGGGGGGATGGGGGAACGGGTGAATGGGGGAATGGGGGAGGGGCGACTGAGCGTGTCCGCCAGCTGCAGCGCGTTCAGGAGATAGATGTAGAGCGCCCAGTGGGGCTGGTTGGCTGCTAGCAGCTCGGGAAGGGGGGAGGGGGAAGGGAAAATGGGGGAGGAGTTAGGCGGAAGGGGGAATGGGGGAAAGGGGTGACTCCGTGTCCGCCAGCTCAGGCGCGTTCAGAAAGTGAATGTCCGCCTTCTGCCCGCGAGTGGGAAGGGGGGGAATGGGGCAGGGGTAGGGCGGAAGGGGGGGGGAACGGGGGGGTAAGGGGACGGGGGAATGGGGAATGGAGCGCGTGACTGCTACTACGAATGGGTGTCCGCTAGCAGAGGCGCTCTGAGGAAGTAGACGTGCGCGCAGGGAGGGGGAGGGAGCGGAAGAGGGAAACCAGAGGGAAGTCAATTCAGGGGGAGGATGGAAGGGGGGGCCGACGGGAAGGTACGGGAAAAGGGAAGCCAGATGGAAGTACGGAAGGTGGAGGGAAAGGGATGACGGGAACATGGGGAGGAGGGAAGGGGAGGGGGAGGCGGAGCATAGCCAGGGTGGAAGGCAGTGGGGAAGGACCGCTTGGTACGCAAGGGGTGAGGAGAAGAAAGAGGGAGTGTATCATTGAAGGGGGGATTAGAAAGAGGGAAGGAGAGGAAGAGAAGGGGGCGGATGGGGGGGAAGGGGGAGGGTGTCTGGTATGATACGGGCGTACTGACCTCTCGGTCGCGTAGCGTCTGCCGCTGATCCATGACGTATTTCCACAGCACCAACAGCACCGCCCCCAGAGCAAACCCTAACACAAATATTACCGCCGCCGCCATGACCCTCGCTCCTGCTGACGGAAAACGTTAGGGATAACGATAAAGTCTAGGGGTGGTGATAATCGTAACGATATTTACTGCGAGAACAAGAGTAACGAGAGTGAACGCGATAACGTCACGGATAACAGATAAACGTCAACGTACGTAAGGATTGTTCACTGTGAATAACAAACGTCAGGGGTAGACATCAGTGATTAAGATGAACACCAGCGATGACGGAAAACGTCTGTGATAACCGGAGGCGTCAGTGACGGCCGGATTGCGTGTTCGGGTCATCGTATGGCGACGCGTTTCGTCTTGCTGGCGGCAGATCGATACTTATCACTCCAAAAACCTAGCTCTTGCTAAAGCACTGCTTTCGTAGCATTCGCTGCGAGGTTTGAAATACTTCGTAACAGATGCGACTCATCAATCTCAAACAATCGAAAGGCAAACAAAACAAAAACACGAATGCGGACCAACATTGTGGGATGTAATACTCGGAGATTGTCTACTAACGAAAATTATTGCTGCTACCAACGAATTCACTGCTCCCTCTCCAACACATTGCTGGTCCTAGCGAACTTACTGCTGCTGCCTACGACGAAGTGCTGAATGATGGCAAGCTTCGCAAAAAACGGCTGAGAAGGCCGACGGCGGACGCATTATTAACTCGATTACGGAACGGAAAGCACCTTCGCGCGAAACATGCTCGCGAGAAACTGAGTCTGAGACGTTGCTAGGGACATGACTAGTATGAGGGAACGCTAGAGAGCGAGGAAGCAAAAACAGGGGAGGAATATCATGTTGAAATGAAGCCTGGAGGTTACAAGAAGCCATTTGGGATGGGACTTGAGAACAAAACCACATGATTCCTTCGATGTTGCCGCATTCGCCTTCTGCACGATGTTGGAGACTGTTTCAGAGTTGGAGGCATCACCTTTTGTGGCCTGAAAATGGAACATGTTTTCTCGGGCTGCATACCCAAACTGTTTCCGCGACTGAAGATCAGAACTTTATACTGCTTCATCCGCTACAAATTTGGCGCTGGTTGTCAGTTCTCGCCAACTGCGGAATGGTAAGACTGGTTCACCGCATAACTGTAGAAGGCAGGGCACAAACAAACTTTCCCGAGCAATGAGTCAAACATTTCATTCGCCTGCCTGCTAAATACCGAGCACACCCGCAATCTGGAGCCAAGCGGGAAAAGAAAAGAAGCAAATAATAAGGGTTCGTTCCTGGCTGGTGTCAAGCTTCGGGCCTTCCCGGGAAGACCCGAAGCTTTGGGTTAAAGTTCCTGTCAAACCTTGTGTTTTCCGGAAACAGGGGCAATTTTTGGCCGGAAGACTTGAAGTTGGTCTCGGATGACCCAAAGTGGGTCTAACTTCCGGTCATCCGCGGATGACCGGAAGCTTGACACGCGCCAGGAACGGCCCTAAGAAGCGAATCTTGGGCGTGTCAGACAGGCAGATCCGAATGCCGCAAACCGAAGACCTAAACGGCTCAATGCTTGGTCGCTCTGTTCTATACGGTCTGAATGCATGCCTCACGGTTCCGGACGGTGAGAAACAAAAACGTTTCAGAGACAAAAACGTTTCCCAGCAACTGTTGGGGCACTGGTTTGAATTGTTGGGGCACCTCATACTCGCATTGAGATCGTGTCTTACTACCCTCGAAACTCCCACGATCGTTACTAACTACCTTCGAAATCAAGATTTTTCGAGGGTAGGTACCCCAGGGCGTGAAGATAGGGGGTGTGGAATTATCGCAGGAAAGGTGTACTCACGATCAACCAATGCCACGCCACCTGCTCTCATTCACCATTCTTGCAGAAGCCGCCAAAATCAACTAGTGGCACAAATGACCTTCAACTCTCGTCCTCGCGCTCGCCAATCAAGTCGACTCGAGAAAGACTTTGTGAAGGGGAAAAGCTCGTACTGTAGTAAAGATAATCCTATTTCTTGTACAACGCCTAGCAGCAAAAAGGGGCCCAGTACCAATAATCCATTTTGAGCATTCACATTCCTACATGATTTGAACGCGTATTCATCATACATGATTTGAGCATGCGAATACCATAAGGATTAACATGCAATAATATAATATTTTTGTCATCGTTTCTCTTTCGATTCAAAAGATCCATATCGATTGTATATAGTGGATTTGCCGCTTTATCTCTGTTTATTCTTCTAGTGAATATAGTAGCGTTGCGAGTCACATTGTGATGAATTTACACTTGGGGGGGTGTGGTAACTCAATTGGGCAGCGGAGGTTTTGTGAGGGTTTACCACTGCGGTAGTTTGTCCCCAAACCGCCCAAGGAGGTTGGAAAACGGGAATCGCCACATCAGCGACAAGTTCAGCGAGGAGCTCCTTGACGGCGCGAAAGCAATTTCGCAAGTACACGTGGCTTGCGACGAAACCAAGGCTCCTGATGAACCAATTGAACGAACTTCCGAGCCGAACCCAAGCCACACCACCCAGGCCAGCACCAAGCTGCACCCCAAAGCCACACCTGGCCTTGAGATTCGTGTGGGTCATTCGAGATTCTGCCTCCACCCAGCTCTGCTGGATTGGCCCTCCTGCTTCATTAGACATCTTCCCAACCGAAGGGGTTCATTTTTGGAACTTCAGAGTTTCAGGGCTCTCGTTAGCCCAATCCCTGACCCTCCCTCACCCTGCTCGAGATCTCCCCTTCCCAATCAGGTACGCACTTCACGTATTTCATCGTTCACTAGGTTGAAGTTTATCGTAGGAATACTTGGTGGTTTCAACTCTGTATAAGCTTGCCTGCCGTACTGCACGATTGTTAAATAAGCTTGGAACATGAGAAAGATCTGACACATGTACTTTCCTTAAACCCCCCCATGCTTTCAGCTCAGCAGCATGGGTAAGGAAAAGTTGCATATCAACATTGTCGTCATCGGTCATGTCGACTCCGGCAAGTCGACGACGACTGGTCATCTCATCTACAAGCTGGGTGGGATTGACAAGCGTGTGATTGAGCGTTTCGAGAAGGAAGCCGCTGAGATGAACAAGAGGTCCTTCAAGTACGCCTGGGTGCTGGACAAGCTCAAGGCGGAGCGCGAGCGTGGTATCACCATCGATATCGCTCTGTGGAAGTTCGAGACCAACAAGTACTACTGCACGGTCATCGACGCTCCCGGCCATCGCGATTTCATTAAGAACATGATTACGGGTACCTCGCAGGTGCGTAGATTGATTCCTTATTTACTGTTTTGAGTGCTGGACCTTCCATGGTTTTTATTATGTTCCGAGTACCCGATCTGACCATCATTCCACGGGTTTTGTTACAGGCTGACTGCGCTGTTCTGATCATCGACTCCACCACTGGTGGTTTCGAGGCCGGTATTTCCAAGGACGGTCAGACCCGTGAGCACGCTCTGCTGGCGTTCACCCTTGGTGTGAAGCAGATGATCTGCTGCTGCAACAAGGTAACCCTTATTGTACAGATGTTTGTTGTAACATAGGATCAACAGAAATCTTGCGTAATATAATAGATCCTGGCGGTTTGACTATTATTTTTTTTGAATTTACACATAATTGGCATGGATCTGATGCTAATATGAGCGCTCTTTTCCTTGTCCCAGATGGATGCCACCACCCCCAAGTACTCCAAGGCTCGTTACGAGGAAATCGTGAAGGAGGTGTCGTCGTACCTGAAGAAGGTCGGCTACAACCCCGACAAGATTCCGTTCGTGCCCATCTCCGGTTTCGAGGGTGACAACATGATTGAGCGCTCCACCAACCTGGACTGGTACAAGGGCCCCACCCTGCTGGAGGCTCTGGACCAGGTGACTGAGCCCAAGAGGCCGTCCGACAAGCCCCTGCGTCTGCCCCTTCAGGACGTGTACAAGATTGGCGGAATCGGAACAGTCCCTGTGGGTCGTGTCGAGACTGGCGTGCTGAAGCCCGGTATGGTTGTGGTGTTCGCTCCCAGCGGTCTGACCACTGAGGTGAAGTCGGTGGAGATGCACCACGAGTCTCTTCCCGAGGCTGCTCCCGGCGACAACGTCGGCTTCAACGTGAAGAACGTGTCGGTGAAGGAGCTGAAGCGTGGCTACGTCGCCTCTGACTCCAAGAACGATCCCGCCAGGGAGGCTGCTAACTTCACCTCGCAGGTTATTATCATGAACCACCCCGGCCAGATCGGCAACGGCTACGCGCCTGTGCTGGATTGCCACACATCCCACATTGCTGTGAAGTTCTCTGAGATCATCACCAAGGTGGACAGGCGTTCTGGCAAGGAGCTGGAGAAGGAGCCCAAGTTCGTGAAGAACGGTGATGCTTGCTTCGTGAAGATGGTTCCCACCAAGCCCATGTGCGTGGAGACCTTCTCCGAGTACCCTCCTCTTGGTCGCTTCGCCGTGCGCGACATGAGGCAAACAGTGGCTGTCGGTGTCATCAAGAGCGTTGAGAAGAAGGATCCCTCTGGTGCCAAGGTCACCAAGGCTGCTGCCAAGAAGAAGTAGGGTTGTGCCTCACCTGGTTGGGTGCGCTGGGGGATCGCTGTCTGGGATTGCTGAGAGCTTGCAGCTCATGGCATGGCGATCTTGCTAGATGGGTTAATTGTGTAGTTTTATAGTTCAAACCCAGATGGACAATGTCAATGAGTGCCATTTTTGCAACAATTTTGTTGAAAAGTGGGTGCACGGTACCTTAGTTCAAAGCCTCACAGCCTTAGTTCAAGGCTTGTACCGAAACTCTCCTAGTGCATGCTCTTACTGAGGTCCCAACATCATCATGAAGTAAAAACTCTTCAAAATGAATGTTTGAGGATTGTGGTCTATTCCCTTGTGCCAAGGTGCAAGGCGGTAAAGCTAGAAACAGCTTTGCCTGTTGGAGCCTCCCCTAGGATGGGGACGATCAACATTTGATATGTCGTGAACAAAGTAATTTATTCAAAACTAATTGACTCGGTATGGTAGGAAAAACGATAAACCGACGTTTGTGCGCCGATTGCAGGTCGAGGAAGGTGGGTGGTAGCTGAAGGGGCAGGAGGGAAAAGGGGTCGGACTGGACAATGTAGGTTTCGCGCTCTGGCACTGGCGATACCAACGGATTGCGATCTGCATGATAGATGTAGTGCTTCTTCGCCAGCATTCGCAAAAGCACGTGCTTTCCATGGCAGGCCTTGATTCTAGGAAGGGGTGGCATGGCTGAAGCTTGTGGCGGGTGCCCGCAGCCGTCGCCTCTAGGGCTCCAGGCACCTGATTCGCCTTGATCTGCGCCAGTACCGACAACTTTCTCGGGATTGCCGTGTTGTCTTGAAACGGAAATTTGTTTGCAGCAGTTCGCCTTGACGCATTCTTCGTCCGATCTATAAGCGTCGCCGTTAGAGAGCAGGACATCAGCAACATCACCATGAATTGTTACTGGGCCATTGAAATTGCTAGCAGTTGCCAAGCTGTTGGCATTGTTATCAGACGCCAACCTGGTGCGTGTTGTCGCCATGTTTGTTAGCTGACGTTTTCGTTTGACAATGACTTTATTAGCTCGTAGGTCATTCATGCTTTCTTCCTTACGCCGGTTCTTACAATGATGGTGAGGATGAGAACAAACGAACATCTAGAGTGGCATGGGCTACCGTGTAAGACAAACGTGATGTCAGCGCCCAGGAAGTTGACGCCGTGATGGTTGCGTGTATGACATGCGCTGGGAATCTAGAAAGCGTGCAGCGAAACTAAAGATAACAGAAACCGCGACAACAGAAACCGCGACGTAGGTCATTTGCTCCAGGTGACGGGACGGAGACGGACCTGGGCTGGATACAAGGACGCGCAGTCACCGAGGCCCACGAGAACAGGAGAAAGGAAGCCTAGCGTGCAATACACGAGATTGTACCTATTTGTGTGAGGCGCCGTCATTTCAACCACCACAGCCATTTGGTTCGGACCATGGCAGCACCATTGCCCCAATTTCACAGGCAGGCATCAGAACATCAAACAGCGCCCTAGATTCAATACAATCCAAACCATTTCGGTTCAGTTCAGACTTGTTTCACTTCCTAATACAATACGTCACATTGAGGTTGAATAAAGATTGGTTGGGTAGGGTACTGTGAGGCGTACCTTTACGACCCACGGGTGGCTAGGGGTACACCGTCCTGTACACTTTCTCATTCTACACAGCAACTTTAATAATGGATAGTCATATATACAGCGCAGAGTCAGCAAACACAACTTTCATCCGTTTCAGGGCATGAATGAGGCAGAGGCGACGGCAAAAGCGAGGTGGGTTCAAATGCATGTGAGAGCCGAGGAGAACGGGTTGCAGCGGTGCATGTTCGGGTGCTTGGAAAGAACGTCTTGAGAATCAGGCGCTCTAGCATCGGAGGATCCAAGCGGAAGGAGGGAGAGTCAGGCAGCCAGTGCCTGGAAAAGGGTAGAAGGATCATCATGGGTATGCTGGTAAATAATGTGCTCCTTATGTACGTGCATCAGTTGCATATAAGAAAGCCTGCGTGATAAGAAACCATGTACAGGTGTGCACATACCATGAAAGTGGTGGAATGACTTACATATGAGGGTCGACAAAATCGCTGTAGATGGATACAATGTGAGCGGCAAATCTCTTTCTCATTGCCACACGGCAATCGTCGTCCACTATTGGCCAGGAGAGCTGCTGCAGAGAGAGCGACTCAAATGCCTTGTTGAATTCTGAGAGCCTGGAGAATTCAGGGGAATTCAGAGAAATTCAGAGATGGAGCGTGGGGCAGAATTGGTGCCCAGTTACGCACGTCGCAATAGGGCTCTGTAACACTTGTAAGGGGGCAACTTCAATCTAAGACATCGCGAAGTAGTGTTGAGGCATGGGCAGGGCAGCGTAGCAGACAACACTGTTTACTATCGTTTCCCCATGCTAGCACACCTATCTCGGACCTGGACGACACCAAAAGCCTCATGAAAATATTATCACCGCCTGAGGTAATTGACTAAAGGGTAACTACCTTACTCAACGCTCATAAGTATGAACTGCATTTTCCCCCTCACCTTCCCCCGCGCCTCACCTCTCCTCCACCTGCCGTTGGCTCATATTAAATCTCGTATGAGATGGTAGCACCTGCAACAGCTGTGATAACACAAGCACTAGCTCATCTTCCATTCTCTCCTCACCCTTCCCACCTCCCCTCGCCTTCTCAACTCTCCTAACCTCCCCCCCCCGTGCCTCACCTCTCCTCCACCTGGCGTTGGCCCATCTTCAGGCTCTTCTCAGGAGATGGTAGCGCCTGCAGCAGCTGACACAGCAGAGTGACATGGGGATTCGTGGATTCGGAAAGACGGTCCGGGGAGAATATGGAGGGGCGTGGAGGAAGATGAGAGAGAGGGGGAGAGCAGGGTTGGAGGGGGCGTAAGAAAGAGAGGGGAAGGCAGAGGAGTGGAGAGGGTTGCAGGAGGGTGGATTAGGTTGGAGAATTAGGGGTGTTGGAACGTTAGGGGCGAGTCAGAAAGAGAGGGAGATGCTGAGGCAAGGTGCGAAATCTGCTGCTGGGTTGCTTGCCACGTGGATGCCACGTCAGCATGGCTCACTTACCTTCCTGGTAGCTGGGACTCATCTTCTTTGTAGCTGCGACTCACCTTCCTGGTAGCTGCAACTCACCTTCCTGGTAGCTGCAACTCACCTTCCTGGTAGCTGCAACTCACCTTCCTGGTAGCTGCAACTCACCTTCCTGGTAGCTGCAACTCACCTTCCTGGTAGCTGCGAGCAGGAAGGCCTGTGAGTGGGACTCCACTGCGGCTGACACAGGGCTGATCGATGGGAAGCGCTGGCAGGCTCTGATTGGCCAGGGGATAGGATGGGAGGTGATGGAGCATGAGGAATGTTACGGGTACAGAGCGGTGCAGATCGGCGTGCAGCATACGATGCATGGCAGAACAATCCCAGGAGTCGAAAAGAGGGCGGCGTTGACAAGACTCAAGACTCAACACACAATGCATTCAGCCTGCACTGCACGTAACAGCATGGTTGTAATGCATTGACTCCCATGCTTACTGCTGGATGACGCATGTGTTGTTGAGCATGAACAGTGCCCTCATCACGTCATCCTCACATGCAGCTGCCTTCCCTTCCACTACCCCCATGAGCGCCCTCAGTATTCGTTCAGTCACTCCTGTTATAGTCACACCCTGCTCGCCCGTTCCTCCTCCTATATTTGCCCCTCCTCCGAACTCCCTGAAGATGCTTGCCAAGGCTCCTCCGTAGGTTCGGACCGATGCTGTTGGAGCATCAGGGTCGGGTGGAGAGATGAACGGAGCAGGAGTGTCCCTGGTGGGGTGAGGGGGAGGGGGAGAACGGTTAGGGGTGGTGTGCGGTGGAGATTGGTTAAGGGGAAAAAGAGGAGGGAAGTCAGGACGTGACCAGGCAGGCACATGGGATGTGCTAGCAAGTGTTGAAGAAAGTCAACCAAGTCAACCAAGTCTCAACCAAACAACAACGAGTCAACACCTGGTTTGAATCACCCCCCTGCTCACCAGTCGCCATACTCCTCCACGTGCGCCACCACGCGCACCACCATGGGCAGCGGCTTCGGGTCGATCTGCCCGCCCCCGGGGGAGCCAGCGCGTGGGGAGGCGGGCGGCGGGGACGACTTGCGGGGGGAGAGGAGCGGCGGGGAGGCCCTTCTGGGGGAGGTGAGCGGAGCCACCTTGTGGTGGCGCGGTGACAGGAGGAGCGAGGCCAGCTGCTGCCTGGGGTAGGGGCGGGGAGGGGGAGGGGCGAAGGGTTAATAAGCGGCTGATTTGTGAATTTGTAGGCTTGCTACTACAACCGAGAGGGGTGATTTATGAGTTGGTTGATTTTTGAGGCGCCTCAATGACACCACCTGGAAGGCTGCAACTGCTGCTTCTGCTGTATGAATAAAGACTCTCTTTTTGGTAGACTGCTTCGTGCGCGTTCGCACTGCCGGTGCAGCACAGCAGCTGAGGCCCTCTCCAGCCAGCCCCACAGCAATCCAGTCTAACATATGAGGCACCTCATTCTGACGTCTCAAAATACCTCAAACACAAGCGCTTTCTAACGTGGCAGAGACCTTTGTGCGTGCCGGCGCTGCTGCTGCAGCAGCCCTCTCGAGCCCCACAGCGACCCACTCAAACGCCCCCAGCACGCACCTCGAAAGCAAGCTCTCTCTTTACCTGGTAGAGACCCTGGTGCGTGTTTGCACTGCTGTTGCAGCTGCAGCAGCCCTCTCGAGCCCCACGGCCACCCACTCAAACGCGCCCAGCACGCCCTCCGCAAGGTGCCGTGGGAGCTGCGTCGACCAATTAGACGCCACCACGTGTCCCCCTGGCTTGTTTGCCAGGTAGGCTTCGAGCTGAGGGAGCAAGGGGAGAATAAAGTGACAGGATAGTGGGTACATACAGACAATGAATGTGAGCACATAGGATGGGAGGAGGTTCAGTGGTGTGCTGTGATGCTATTTGGTGTGATGCATATCAGGGCTTGTGGTGAAGATTGCGTGTGATGTGATGCCTTCGTAAGCCCCAAATGCAACTTGCAAGGTGAGTTGTGAGTCGACTCCCCGAACATTCACCTTGCTGTTGTTAGAAGCTCTAAAATTTGATTTCTCTCCCTTTCCTCGCATTGAAACTGCGAGACGGCTCGGAAACCCAAATGCTTGCTTACCACTGGCGCAGACCGGCGGGCAGCAATAAACATTTCGGCGAGCAGCAGGGACTTGCGCAGGCTGCCCGGGGGCAACGAAGGGTTGGCAAGAATGCGGGCATTGGAGATGAGATGAGCCAAGATGGAAGCGAGAGAGATGCTGGCTGCTGCTGCTGCTCTGGTGGGTGGTGCTGCAGTGTGGGTCGCTGTGGCATCTGCTTTGAGTCGGCTCAAAAAGATGCTGCCTGCTGCTGCTCTGGCGGGTGGTGCAGTGTGGGTCGCTGTCGCATCTGCTGCTTCTGCTGCTGTGGTGCTGGTTGTTGTGCTGCTGCTGCTGCTGCTGCTGTTGTTGCTGCTGCTGCTGCTGATGATGCTAAAGCGGCTAGTGTCAGACGCGAATGAGAAGGAGAGGGACGAACGGCACGAATAAAACGACTCTGAAAGCTCACAATCCATGTGCTCAGCTGCCGCAGCACAAGGAACAGAAGGAGGAGGAGCAATGGCACGACCAGCCGCAGGCTCAGCAGCAGAACCAGCAAGAGGCGCATCTGACCGGGTGCAGAGGCTTGTATCCACATCTAGGGTGTCCCGTCGGGTGCAAGCATGCTCGGAAGGTGGCGTGGCATGCTGTGAAGGTGACGTGGCTTTGCGCGGCCTAGGACGCGAAAATGAGTCGTGGGGAAGGTTGACGGAGAGGGGTGGGATGCGGGGGGAAGGAGCAGCAGCAACGAGAGATGGCTGTTTTGGGGGCGCCTCAAAAGATGGCTGCTCCTCCACATTTGCCGTGCTCTCTGTGATAGCTTGCTCTCCCTCCCCTGCATCAGCAGCAGCATCAGCAGCAGCATCAGCAGCAGCAGCAGCAGCATCAGCAACAGCAGCAGAAACAGCAGCAGCAGCAGCACTAGTAACTGCAGCAGAGCCAGCAGAAGCAGCAGTGGCGTCATCATGTTGCAACGCTGCCATCTGATTGGTTGGGCAGTGGATGGGGTGTGCGCACATGAAACTCTTGTGTGAGGGAGGGGGTGGGGACGAGTTGTCCTGGTTTAAACTTAAAACCCGCTATGTGAGTTACCCCCCTTGTACAGGATTCCACCCAGCATGCACATACAGATAACTACACACCTGAAATATATACGATAGGTGTGTACTACTTTCTCAGCTTTAACACTTATAGGTCCAACCAAATTGCCTGTCCATCCATCTCCCCCGCCTTCCCTACTATGGGCAAACACGTTCACTCTCACCAGCATGGCAACTGTCGCCGTCCATTCCTTCATTGCCAGCTCAGCCTGCTCCCACGGCCTCCCCTCCACTGCCACGTCAGCAAATGCCACCTCAGGCAGGTGGTCCACTACTTTAAAGACAGCTGGACGAGAGGAAAGGGACAAAGTATGCCTGCTGCAACTGAAGACAAGGCACAGAACATGAAGTGCAGATGGTAGCAGACAGAATAACTTTTTCAGAAACGTCACAGAAAAAGTCAGATGAAACAATAAACTGAAATAACCTGTTCACAATGAAAGGCTAACCCTGCTTTTTTGTAACATCTCGAATTTGAACTCGCAAGCGCGTCTCGATCCTCACACGTACCCGTCCGTCACAATTTCCCACGGTCCTTCGATTTTCCCCTTTCCACCCCCCCCGCCCCCGTTGCTTCTCCCCGTTCCGCCCTCCGCTTCCCCCATCATCCGCTCCACCAGCGCTTGCGCATCCTTCAGCGCAACCAGCGGCGGAAACTTGTGCGCGTTCTGCCGGCTGAACTCGCGCGGAGAACGTGGGCTTGCGGAATCCGCGCGCCATCCACGGGGCAGCGCCCGCTTCATCATCTCCCCCTTCGCGTCGCCCGCCTCTTCTTCATCCCCCCCTTCCTCCTCCGCCACGAGAGGTTGACTCGCGCAAGCCCCCAATCCGAAACCAAGACCGGAATTCAACGCCACTGTTGCGGCAGCGGCGGCGGCGGCGGCAGCGGTGGCGGAGGCGGCGGCGACGGCGTGTCGTTGAGTGGAGCCCGCGGCGGTGGAACTGACCTGTAGATCCGCCGTGGAGCGGCGCCGCGCAGCGAGACCCATCACATGGCGGCTTCCGCTGAACCCGACTCTCCAGCGGGGCGACGCGAGATCAAGGTACGTTGGCGGCAAGATGGCGGCGCGACTCGGGTCGGCAGCGACAACTGCGCTTGAGGAAGGCGACTGAGGGGAGGGCGAGTCGGGCGACGGGGAGGTGCGATATGGTGAACCGGCGCCTTCGCGGGGTTCGCAGCCGTCGCTGCGCTTTTTCGCCAGCATTCGCGAGAGCTTTCGTGGCGCGCCAGAAGGCGTCGTGTGCGGAGGGAATATCAAATCGGGGCCGTCGAGGCGCACCAATGCGTAATCGGCGGGCGACACGTCAGCACTAATACGACGCCCCTGGCTGGAACCGTCATGATCGTGACGATCATTACAACGGCTACTATCAGTTATGTCATCTGTAGCTGCTGTTATCGGGGACTCCGACCCGCGCTCATGGCGACGCGGATTTCGTTCGCTTGAGACATCTGCCGGCGGCGCGGTGGCGAAGGAAAAAGAAGGCATGCGCATGGCTGGTGATTCTAACGAAGCTCCGCCGTTTTCGGACGGCTGTAGCGATAAGTTGTGGATAGCGGCGGCGCTCGAGTCGGCGTCGCGACAGCGCGAGAACTGGCCACCTAAGACGTCTGCCGAGAGTTGATCGTTCGAGGAGTCTACGCTTGAAGCGTTGAAGTCCGCGCGTCTGTCTGAGTGCGGGCTTTCGGGCTCGTCTTGGGAATAGGGCGGCGCGGCGTCGGCGGGGAGAAACACAACGTCGCGGAATGAGAGCGACGCCGATTCCGCTGACGACGACATACTCGGCTGCTTCTGATGCCTCGCCTTGGGAATGTATGGGCTGCTTCCGATGCGTTCAAGGGAACTTCCCTTGAACAACGTTGAAGCGCGACGTGTATGCAGCTGCTAGCTAGTCAACCGACAGGCCTACAATGCCTGCTACGCTCTGCACTCCGGGGTATGCTGCCAGTGGGGGAAAGCGAAGCATCACAGGCATGCTGTGGCGAAAACGGCAGCAGCAGGGGCAGAAGATACAAACGGCAGCACCAGGGGCAGGGGATGATGGCTGCCGCAACGGCGCGGCAGGTGCAGACGTAGAAACGGGGGGTTACGGCAAGGGGGGGAGTGCTTTGCTGTGGCGAATGGAAAGGGGTGCTTTGCCTTGCCACGACTGCTTTGCTGGTGGAATGATGGGTGGGAGGGGGAGGCGCATTGCATTGATGCAGCCATCACAGTTCACGATCTGCACTCCACAGTGCGCGCGCCTTCCCGGTTACTGGACCTGGTTGGCCGGAGCCAAGCCCCGCGGGTGTTGAAGGTGTCATACATTACGACTCAGTTTCGCGAACCAGCCAAGACCGCATCCCAGATAGAACTTGACGTAACAGGCTCGAAAGAACCAGAGGGAGTTTGGGTGGTTAACGAATTTCCAGAATGATGCGAATTGATGCGAGTAGTTCGCCACCAATTCCTGAGCGACAAAGGGAAGCACTTGTACGCAGTTGAAAGGTGGAAAGTTTCGCCACGTCTGTGCGAGACATTCGCAACGTCAGTTACGAATGGGCTGTTCGTACGATCGTGAAGTTCGCGATCGAAGTTCGCGAAACAGATCACCCGCTAGTACTTTTCAAATGAAAGCACGAAATACTGTTGCTTAGGATTTTGAAAACCCAACTTTCAAAAGTATATTGTTGCTTTAAGTTGTACTCGATACTGACATTGCTGTCCCCACTTGATCCATCTTTGCCAAATAGGAGAAGCGAAATCTCATGGTCACGATTCTCACGTTGCCAAGTCATCATGCTTCCACGTTCGCGGCCCCAATGACCAGCTCGTCGTTCCCTGTCCGCTCCAGCCATGTTTCAATTTCCACGCGACGCGCTCCGCGGGAAATGCCTCGATCTTCCGCCGTCGTTGTGGCCCCCACTGCAGCCCATGGCGCCCTGGTGCGCCCACCGCGGCCGACATCCGAGGGAAAGCCGCTTTGCGCGCTCCGCAGCCCCAGAAACGCGCAATGGAGAGCGCGGACGGAAAGTCTCGGCGCACTGACACGTACCGATAGAGATTGTCTGGAACGTGATTCGCGGAGCTCGAACCGCTGGTGCCCGCCAGCGCGGCTCGGCAGGTGGTGGAGATTGGCGCATCCCGCCGCCAATCGCGCCTGCAAATTGCTGAAGATCGAGTCGCGCAACCGAATCCTGTTCGAGCCGCACGAAGTAGGGCGGGATGGGAGCATCGAGCTGGCAGCGTCTGATTCGCGCGCCCGCCACATGCGGCGCGTGTTGCGGGCAGGCGTGGGGAAGAAGGTTCGAATCGGCATCGTGAACGGCCCTGCAGGCACCGCTACGGTGAGTCAGACTCAAAAGTCAACCCGGCACTGCTACAGTGAGTGCTCCTGGCCGGCACAATGAAAACCTTGTTGGGCGGGGGCAGAGCCACAGTGCGGGTTTGTAACCATATCTTATAGGGCAGTGATTATTATGAGATCATCTTGCGACTGCTGGTGCTGCACGGGCTGTGACCAGGCACTTATGCACTTCCCCCCCTCCCCCTCAACCCCATGCTGCCCCGCTTTCCTCCCCTCCCCCTCGCCCCCCTCCGCAGGTTGTGCGCATTGCGCCAGGCGGGGGGGGCAGCAGAGAAACGCAGGGGGAGGCAAGTAGGGAGGAAGGGGCAGAGGGCGGGGAGGGGGGCGAGGAGGCGGAGGAGGGGATAGGGTTTCGGGGTTACCAAGTAGGCCGTAATGCGAGGAGTGGGGAAGAGAGGGGCGGCAGTGAACCCCTCACGAATGATGCTGGTGGTGGCTGTGATGATTGTAGTGATGATGATGATGCTGGTTTCCTGCTGCAGTGCAACTTCCAAGTAACTTCTGGCGTTACCAGTGTGTCCGGTGTGACCATTTCAGCAGCAGCAGCCAGGAGGAGAGCAACAGCTAGAACAAGCACCGGTACCCCTCTCCATTCCCCCTCCTCCTCCTCCTCCTCCTCCTCCTCCTCCTCCTCCTCCTCCTCCTCCTCCTCCTCCTCCTCCTCTCTCAAACCCCACCACTCTGCCTCACGTCTTCTCCTTCCCTCCTCCCTCTCATCGCACCAATCACAAGCTCCCACTGCCCACCAATCCCAGGGCGCCACGTCACCACAGCGCAGGTTGCGGCTGCTCCTAGCCATGCCGCGTCCCAAGGCCATGTGGCGCCTCTGGTGAGCCTGGGGGTGTGCAAGGCGAGCGGTTGAGAGCGGTGAGAGTGGTCGTTTTCTCTGGTGAGTGTGAGGGGTGCAGGGCGAGGGGTTGGGTTGGGAGTAGTGAGAGAGGTGAGAGTGGAGAAAGCTTCTATCAAGGGGTTTGGAGCGGTGAGAGTGGTCAAAGCCTCTGGCGAGTCTGGGGGGGTGCATTGTGGGAGGGGACGAGGGCGTGAGGCTATTGGGTGCGAGCAGGCGATGAGAGGGTGAGGAGGGGAGCAGTGGAGCAGGGGTTGTGTGGAAGATTTTTTTTTGTAGTCGAGTTGATTCTGCTGCAGCAGGAGCCTTGTTATTCTTGAAGCAGCGAGCGTTCAGACATGTGCTTCTGGTCATCTGTTGTGAATTGCACACATGCATGCACACATGCACGGATTCTGTGCGTTTGCTTGTGTGGTATGTGCATGTGCATGTATGTTTGGATCGTATGTGCTGCTGCGTGCATGGTTGTGAGTGTGTCTGACGTCACAACAGCGCAGGTCTATTCTCGGGCAGTTTGCCCTTCAGGACGTAATGATTTGCAACGCTGCCCGGGTCGAAAGGTTCTATTTTGACAGCCAGGCGCTGCTGCCCGAGGTTGTTCGGCAGGAGCTGCTGATTGGTGCAGAGCAGGTGAGAGAATCTTGCAGATTGGATCATTGTACCAGACGCTTGATCTTGTGCCAGCTGTGTGTGTGCGCGATAAAATGGTGGGAACGCGGGGGAATAGAGCCGGTTCCGTAAACGACTTCACTTTTGAGAATGTTTTCTCTGATTGCTCGCTCCTTTGGAGTAGTCTTGTGTGTGTGTTGACTGTTGAGGTGCCTCAAAACCTCCACGCGCGAACATACCGTGCAGTGCGTTGCATATCTTGAGCAATCTGCAGCAGCATGCTTGCATCTGGTGCACTGTGCACATGCTGTTGCGTTGAGTCACAAAGTTGAATCACATGTGCCATGGCTCAATCTCTTGACACGCATCTTACGTCATGCCACGTATTTCCATTTCATGCCACGTGTCCCCATGTCATACCACCTGTCCCCATGTCATTGCCACGTGTCCCCATCCCACAGGTCGGTGACACACACCTTCCATCGGTGTCCGTTCATCTGCAGCTGAAGAAGCTTCTCTTCACCTTCCTCTTCCCGCACCTGGATTCCCTGGAGCGGCAGAGCCAGCTGGACGAATCAGCAGCCGCGCACGCCAGTGATTCAAATCATGAGTCTGATGATTCTCCTCCTGATGCTGCCCCTCCTGCCACTCTTTTGGCTACTCCTATTGATGATCCTCCTACTCATGATACTGATGATTCTCCTGCAAATACCATCACAGTGCCTCCACCTCTCGTGCCTCCAGTCTCCTCTGGGACCCTGCTGCTGCTGGCGCACCCAAGCAGCAAAACAGTGGGCAGGGCAGAGGGCGCAGCAGAGGAGGGTGGTGGTGGTGGTGAGGCTGCTGCTATAAACGCAGCGGATAATGAGGAGGATACGGGTGGTGGAGGGAGGAGCGGGAGGTCAACTAGCATTCGTGAAGCGGTGGCACGGCATGGTGAGTCATGGCATGGTGAGTCATGGCATGGTGAGTCATGGCATGGCGAGTCATGGCATGGTGAGTCATGGCATGGTGAGTCATGGCATGGTGAGTCATGGCATGGCGAGTCATGGCATGGCGAGTCATGGCATGGTGAGTCATGGCATGGCGAGTCATGGCATGGTGAGTCATGGCATGGTGAGTCATGGCATGGTGAGTCATGGCATGGTGAGTCATGGCATGGTGATACATGGGATAGTGAAGCCCCTTTTTTGCCATCCACACTCTCTTACCGATCTGTCACTCCCTCCCTCCATCTGTCAACTCCTTGATGCCAGTATTCCCAACCTCTGCCTTCTTTCGCCCGTGTTCTTCCCCAATCTTCGCACCTCCGATTTCCCAGTCTCTACTCAGCCGGGTGCTAGCAGTTGGTCAGACTGAAGAGGATTGAAACAGCTGGAAAAACAAAAAAACTCCTTATCCTTCCTTCCCTTCCCTCCTCCCTCCCATCCAGAGCAACTCCCCCCGCCCTCCCTCTGCCCTTCATACGGTGCTGGCAGTGGAGAGGAAGGTTTTAAATCGCTTGGAAAGAGGCTTTTGTTGCTCCCCTTCTTCCTCCCATCCCTCCCATCCCATCCCATCCCATCCCATCCCATCCCATCTCATCCCATCCCATCCCATCCCATCCCATCCCATCCCATCCCATCCCATCCCATCCCATCCCATCCCATCCCATCCCATCCCATCCCATCCCATCCCATCCCATCCCATCCCATCCCATCCCATCACAGAGCAACTCCTCCCAACCAACCTCCGCGCATCCTACGATGTGGTGCTGGCAGTGGGTCCCGAGGGCGGCTGGTTACCCTATGAGTTACACCTCTTTGCACGCCTGGGCTTCCGCCAAGTCGCCATAGGCCACAAGCCACTGCGCACCGATGTGAGTGTGTCGGCATGAGCACTCTCTACTCTTCCCGCGGCACTCTTCCCGCTGCACACTGCATGCTGCATGGCACCTTACAGGCCGCACCTCTTTGCTCGCCTGGGCTTCCGCCAAGTGGCCATAGGCTACAAGCCACTGCGCACCGACGTGAATCCGTATGAGCACGCTCTATACTGCACACTGCACGGTGCCCAATGAGCCATACCATACCTTGTTGCTTGCCTCGGCTTCCCCGTGTCGCTCTGGGCCACATGCATTCCACTGCGCACCCACGTGAGTCCGTATCAGCATGTATGCTTCACGCTGTACCTTTCTTGAACCGATCTGTCCCACCCTTTAACTATTTGGTCCCCCTCATAACCAATTTGTTCTGTGGTTTTGGCTCATGCGGCTTGTTCTCCCCTCGCATGCATTGGTGTGGGTCAATTCTTCTCTGCAGGTGGCGCTGGTATCGCTTTTAGCAACAATCAAAGAGGAGGTTGGAGATTGGTAACAGTGCGATGACATGGCACTAGGCTACGGATTTTGCTGCAAACAAGTGTAATGCAAATGATGATTTTGAGTAATATGGCCATATGTACACAACAATAATACACCTTGTGTCTGTAGCCTGAATAAATGCCTCATTCCTGCCTCCACCTTGGGTTTCAGCCCTGAGAGAAGCAGCAGCTGCAGTAGTGGGGTGGTATTGGCAGTGGCAGCAGGGGAGAAAGCAGCCAAGAAGAAGGGTAACAACTGCAGGGGTGCCAATATTGCCAGCACGAACAGCAGCATCAGCAGCCCTGCCCTTCTTCTTGACAGCAGCCACCATGCGCTTCATTGCTGCCTAGGCTGTGGGTTTACCAGCTCTAAGACGAGCGGCAGGTGCAGTGGCAACATTTGCAGTGGCAGCAGGGGAGGCAGCAGCACCACCAGGAGGAACAGCAGCCGTGCCTTTCTTCTTCACTGCAGCCACCATGCGCCGCACATACCCTATATAAGCCTCCACGTCGAACTTCCTCTTGCACCCCGCCGCATTCATATAACGAATCTTGCCAAACACCTTGCGCTCTGCCCAGCCCTGGGTGCGAGTCAAGGGGATTACATTAAGAGGAGGAGAGGGAGGGGGACAGGAGGAAGGGGGGGGGGGGGGGGGGCGAAAGGCTGGAGGTCCTTTGAGACATCTCAAAAGTCATTAGCAGGGTAGGGGTATGGGGGAAAGGGGAAAGGCTGGTGCGGGGTGAGCGGTTTTAGGGAGGAAGAAGGGCCTGAAGTGGGTCGGGTGGGGTTTGGGTTGATTTGTGCACCCGTGTACCAAAGCTTGGCATGCAGGTGGGTGGCAGGAGTGAAACCAAAACCGGCATAAGGATTGGATCTGGTCGTGTGCTCCAAAACAGAACAACACATTCGCTGCACCTGCACCTGGTCGTGCACTAGAAAATTGTTCATTGGCTGCACCTGGTTGTACACTTATGAGTTCACTGTACCTGTCGTTGATTAAAAAGCTAGATATTTAGTGTGCAACTTGCAGGTAAAATAAACTGTACCTGGTCATGCACCCCCGCAATGGACCACATGCAGCCAACATAGCCGTTGGGATCGCGACCGTCCAATGAATACTGTGGTGGGGATGTGGGTGAGGAAGGGGATTGGGGGAGGATGGGGGGGATAGGGAGAGGATGGGGGGAGAATGGGGGGAGGATGGGGGCGATGGGGTAGGCGTACAGCACATGCAGCCAACATAGCCGTTGGGATCCCGGCCGTCCAATGAGCACTGCCGTGGGGATGTGGGCGGCAGATGAGGAAGGTGGGGGTGGAATAGGGATGGGGGGAGGGATGGGAAGGTAAGACATGGGGTTGGGGCATGGGGATACGGTATGGGGGTGGGTGTGAGGATGGGGCTGGGGATTTTGATGGGGATGGAGTGAGGGGGGGACAATGAGGGAGCGTAAAGGTGAGCTGGCAATTGGGATGGTAGCAATATCTAGCACGGAGCAAAACAGGAGGAGAGAGGAGAGAGAGAGGAGAGGAGAGGAGAGGAGAGGAGAGAAGAGGAGAGGAGAGGAGAGGAGAGGAGGAGAGGGGAATTACGAGGAGAGAAGAGGAGAGGGGAATTACGAGGAGAGAAGAGGAGAGGAGATGGGAGTGTCTGATGGACAAGGGAAAGTGAAGAGGAGTCGAGCTGTTTGGAAGAACACGTAGAAAAGTAGTGCCACTTTCCATCATTTGCTATTCCAAGCAGCTTATTGTGTCTCTTGTTCATTAACCTTATGATGACCCCTCTCCACTCACCTTGTCATTCTGCTCGATCGCTATTCTGAGGGCTTCCTCTGGCGACTCAGACCACTCCAGAATCTTCTTTGCCCAGTACATGCTGCCACAGAGGGAGAGAGGGAAAATAAGAAAGGTGTGACTTCAGAAATAATTGCCCAGTACAAGCTGCCATCCACACACAAAAAGAAAAAAATAAGAAGTCAAATTGGCATTCACCACACCGAAACCATGCAGAATAGGCTGTCACTGCATCAACCATGCCTCATCGCAAAGATTTCACATCTCACCGCATGAAACCGTGCATCTTGCCGTAGTGAACCAGCTCCAGCTGAGCCGCATTCCACAACTGGCATGTGGTGTAGGAAGGGGGAATGATAAGAATGGGAGGGCGAAGGGTGGGGGGTGGGGGGTGTGTGTGGGGGGGGGGGGGAGAGGCGTACAAACCATTGAGAAAGGAGGGAACAATGGAGGAAAGGTCACGAGAGGGAGGGAAGGTTTAAAGGGTAAAGAATGCGACAAAACAGCACAAAACAGCACAAAACGCACATGAAAAGCGAGATGCCATGGAGGTTCATGGAGAATATCACTCACTGGTGAGTGAGCTGTCACTGGCTTCATATCACCAGTGACAGCTCACTCACTGCCAAGCCAACAATTGCGACACTGATAGTACCTGGTCGTGAGTCTTGGCTGCTTCCCACTGTGCTGCCCTGCAATTGCGACACAGCGAGGCAGATGTGCAACACACGGCATCACAAGCATGAAAGGTATTGTGTCCGTGCTTGCGAGTCATACAGTGCCAACTTGACTCACATATTATGGCGCCTAACCAATAAAGCTTCACACAGATGCACGCGAACCACAGCCCCCCCCCCCACCCGCTTCCACCCACGTGGCACAAGCTACCACCCACGTGGGCACAAGCTACCACCCACGTGGGCACAAGCTACCACCCACGTGGGCACACACAAGCTTCCACCCCGACTTACCCACTGCCATGCACCCCACTTCCAAGGGAAACCGTCAGTCCCCCCTCCCCCCCATCCGCTCATCCTTGTCCCCTCTACTCCGCCCACCCCACTCACGCGCCCTCAAACGAGTCATACTGCGGCTGGTGGAAGCACAAAAGAGACCTTTCCGCTCCCCCTTTCCACTCCCCCATTCCCTTCCCTCCCCACTCACGAGTACACAAACTCCCGCTTGTCCCCCCGGTGCTCATTCAACGACCGCTGCGCCCACTCCCACGCGCCCCCCAGCGAGTCGTACAGAGGCTGGTGGAAGCAGTAAAGGAAACATTCTGCTCACCCCTTTCCCCCCTTCCCACCCTTTCCCCTCTTCGTCCCTCCCCCCCACTCACGTGTATACAAACTCTCTCTTGTCGCCTCGGTGTGCCTCCAGGGATTGTTGCGCCCACTCCCACGCGCCCCCCAGCAAGTCATACTGCGGCTGGTGGAAGCAGAAGTTATCCGCCAACTCCCTGCGCACCACCAGCTCCTCTAGAAACGCGTCCACTGACTGAATGTGGGCGGTGGGGTGGAGGGTGGCGAGCAAGAAGAAGCTGAGAAGGGGGTTTTAGTGGCGCGGAGCACGAGGCGAGGGGGCTGGAGGAGGCAGTAGGTATCCGCCAGCTTCCTCCGCACCACCAGCTCCTCCAGAAACGCGTGCACTGCCTGGGAAGTGGGTGGTGGGGCCGAAAAGGAGGAAAATGGGAGTGGCGAGAAGGGCAGGAGCGAAAGCGAGGTGCGGTGGGATCAGTGCCGAATCCCCTTACAGGAACAAATGCGAGTACAGTCACTGCGCTGGCCAGCATACCCTTGCTGGTTGGGATTAGTGTCGTATCCCCTTACATTCTGCACTCACTACCCGTCCTCACCTTGCTGTGCTGCTTCCTCAGCTTCCTTGCCTCCAGAGCACACCGCTGGGGAGCGATTTGCCCGTAGTGCAGCCAGGGGGAGAGCCCTGACAGCGTGGTGGGGCCCTTGGAGGGGTCGTTGCGCCCGCTGTCGTACCCCCTCAGCCTCTTCTCCAGAAATGTCTGTAGCCCTGCTGCTGCTGCTGCCTCTCCTGGAACTATCCAGTCCACCTCTGGTACCTCTGGGCCAGCCCTGCCAGCAACATGGATGCATACAGGAGAGAGATGGGTGAACCAGCCGCAGGGCCCTTGGAGGGGTCGTTGCGCCCGCTGTCGTACCCCCTCAGCCTCTTGTCCAAAAACGTCTGTAGCCCCGCTGCTGCTGCTGCTTCCCCCGGAACTATCCAGTCCACTTCGGGTACCTCGGGACCAGCCCTGCTCACAGCACGCAGAGTGTAGAGGGAAGAGTATGCACTTATGAATATGAGCTTCAATAAGCCCCGCTGCTGCCGCCGCCGCCGCTGGCGGCGCCGCCGCCGCTGCTGCTGCTGCTGCCTCCCCTCAGTATCCAATCAACCATCGGTACCTCAAGACCAACCCCACTGGGAACACGGATGAGTAGTAGGTGGGAGAAGAAGATGCGTGGCATGCATCTTGTACTTGAGTCCCAGTCCACAGGCAACGGCTTCTCCACTCTACACAACATCACCACTCCTTATAACGAGTTTCACTCTCACCTGATCACAGCAGCTATTAACGAGTCCCAGTCCACAGGCGACGGCTTCTCCCCTGTCCACTCCACAGCGCACCCCGGCTCCAACCGGGGGTACTCCACCAAGTACTCCGGCAATTTCCGGTGTATTTTGGTGCGGAGGGTGCGGGCGGCGTACTCTAGCTTGTCTGATGCCGCCCAGATGGGAACCACGTTGTGGGCGTCCACCTCATGCACGCCCGTCAGCCCCACCTGCGCGTCCCACAGCTCATCCCTCCCTGCTGCCCCTTCCCTCCCTGTCCCTTCCCTCCCGCCCGCCCCTTCTCCTGCTTCTCCTTCTGCTGCTCTGTCTGCTAATGTGGCCCCTTGCCTGCTGCTGCTGCCGCTTCCGGATTGGCTGAGCTCCAGATCTGCCAGCCTGGCGCACACAGACTCGCGCCAGTGCCGCCCAATGCGCAGCGGGGAGAAGTCAGTGACCAATAGCGACGCGCCACATCGCATGGCAAAGTCTGGGACGGTCTCCTCTGCCTTTCCCTGGAGTTGGGTAGGAAGAGAGATAGAATGAGGTGGAATGAGAGAAAATGGCATGCGCTAGAGGTGCCTCAGAAGCCGCACAAGCAATCCCAAGACTGTAAGGGAGATAGAATGATGCGGAATGGGATAAATGGGCGCAAGGTCAGCACGAAAGGGAGGAAGAGAGGGCGGTCGAGAAAGATGGTCTGTTACCTTGACGCAGTGTCTCCCATATCGCTGCAGCAGGGAGGTGATAGATCGGACCCTGGCACAAGTTTATCTGGCCACTACACTCCAGGACCGATACAGCTCCCATTTGTTTCAGCCACACTCGAACCGAACCACAACAGCGCGTCCCATCACCACCGTTACAGGCACGCTCGTTTACAGTGCCCTCACCTGGAAGAGGAAGAAGGGGATGCCAAGGGCGGCAAGGGCGGGCTGCACCTCCCTCAGCCCGCGCAGCATGAACGCGAAGTGCCGCGCATTTGCGCCCAGGAACGAATCCACCAGGTTAAACACCACCGCCACCGCTTCTCCTCGTTCCCGCGCCTGGTGTGAATGAAGAAGAGCGGGCAGGGGAGGACGGAAAGGGGTAACTGGTAATAAGCCGACTCAAAGGCGCCTTGGCGCCCAGGAAGGAGTCCACCAGATTGAACACCACCGCCACTGCCTCTCCTCTCGCGCGCGCCTGGTGTGCACACGAGCAGGGGGGAAGTTCGCGGAAGGCACGGGTAAGGGGAGAGGAAGGAAGGGGAACGAAAGGAAGGGGGAGGGGATGAGGAGAAGGTAACTGAAGGGGGCAGGAGTAGGGTAGGGGGGAGAGGGGAGTGCGGGGGACAGGGCGGGAATGATTGAGAGAGTACAACCATTAGGTGTTAGTACCCTGCTTACATTCAGTCGAGCACAGTTGCACCTTTTGAACGGCGTAGATGAGAGCCCAGTTGTCTTTGGACCGTTGATCTCGCGACATCCAGTACACCACAGGCCCCTTCCGCCGCAGCCCCTTGCGCAGCTCGCGCACCCTCCCCGGAGTCACCGCGCCCGCCGTGTCCTTCTGCGCCCATGCCGGCTCCGGATCAAACGGAGACGATCCTACGGCTACGGAGGCTTTCCTGGAACCTAGAGATTTCCCTAACGTCTTCCCTAAAGATTCTCCTGCGGTGGTTTCAGTGGCCTTTGCTGACTCTGCTGCTGGACGGTTCTTAGGAGGTTCGTTCTGACGTTGACGTTTCCCGGATGATGCTTTGGTCGCTTTGGGAGGTGGCGAAGGAGTGTCGGACGCGGAGGTATCTGATTCGGAAGAGCTTTCTCGCGGTCGTCGCTTGGGCGCCATGAGGGCAATGAATTGCCGTGACGAGACTAAGCGGAAAGGAACGAGAGACGGGGGGCTACGAGGGAGAATCGCGGGGAGGAGGCGCGGTAAAGCGAGCACATGCATTCGTGAGATTCTATCATGCTGTGTGGCAGGAGGAGTGATGAACGACCCGCTGTGGAATTCTGGCCAGGACACCGTTACCAGGTCTGTTGCTCGGACTGATTAATTGAGCAACAACGACGTCATTGGACGCTGTTTGTAGAATGCGCAGAAGGTGGTGCATTTCTCCTAAAAAATCCAGGAGCACGATCTGAATCTGAGAGCCTCTGTCGCTACTTTCGATCAGCAATTCCTACGAATTCCCTCAGGTAGTTCTCTGCGAGGACTATCCAGCTGACAAGCGGCCACGACACCGTCTTCACAGCCACATACGACACTAGACTGACTTTGGGCCACGTCAGCGATGCATATCCAGTACAGAGCGTTTTACAACCGGCGGCTCGGAAGACACGAAACGAACCACATTTAACGTAGTCCTTTACGACATATGATAAGATGCTGTCAAAAGTCTGTAGATTTTGTGGTATGAAACCAGCGGTCTACCTCACATGCATATTTACGTTTACCATCTCCAATTAATGCATTATTTTTATATTATATATATTTAATTTTCGCCTTTTAGTGGTTAACGTTACAGTAGAACTTTGTTGGTTTGTTTTTGTTCAGGAGTGATTTTTCTCAACGTTTTTTCTGTACATACAGTGCTAGGTCTGTTGCACAGCACGAGCTTTCCACGTCAGCAACATGTATCCCTGCTGGATACTTTTGAGGCAATTTCCAACCAACCAACTTGCTTGGGCGACGTGTGGCCAAAACTGAAACCACCCTATTCAGGAACTTGAGAAGCAGGAAACACTGGAAACGACCGTAGCTCTTGGCAACAAGCCCAACATCCTGGGGGTAATTCGGCTACTCTTTATCTCGGTTGGTCAGTGATTTCAAGCTGGGACGTAAACACACTTACGGCGAAGCTTTCTATTAACATTTTACGTAAAGGCTGGTGTTCAGCTGACCTTTTAACCTTCATTTACTCTAGAAGGTTCTGACAGCCCTAGCACCTGCCACCCTATCCACTCGCCGTAATTCGAGGACACGAGAGCCGATGACAGAGAGGTCCTCCGTGGCAAGTTCCGACTGGGCGTTTTACGCTTCGGTTTCCCCCCTCATTTGGCCGTTGACTGATTGGTGTGCGCCGCTGATTGAAGCAGGGTGCGCCTGGGGATTCACGCACGATTTATGACGAACCTGGCCTTGATCAGTGCAAGTGTAGCGAAGCGAACGTCTGGTGCTCCATCCGCTGACGCCGCCTCGCTGTGGAGGAACAGGGTAGACTGCCGTTGATCAAACCAACCATTGTGCCAAAGCAGAGTTGCCTAGGTTTTATCAGGTCTTCTCCACCATCTCTCCATAGATTCTACCTTGCTTTCCTAGCTAGTCCTGCTCCACTAACGAATCACCTCGAATTCATCCAAGTTCCGGACGGGCGTCACAGAAAGCAGTGCGCTTTAGCCAATATCAAGAACTCCAGTTTGTCATTTCCTTGAACTTAGCTTTGGCCGCAGAATCACTGGGGTTGCATGTGGAAAGTAGGAGAGACCGCGGCTGTAGGGGTAGGCGGAGCCTCGTCTCTGCTGTCAAACGTCGCTCCGGACGCGTCCAGAGGCGCTAAGAGTGAGTTCGTGTAACCACGTCCCGTTGTCGCAAGCAGTAACATGAATCTCCGAAGTTCGCGAATGCGACTTTCGTGACGCGTTATGTCTGTGACCTGAACACAATAGCACTTGGCCTATTCAGGCCATGACAAGTTATGCCTATTAGCCACGATCATAGCTTAACTTGTGCGGCACGTGCATCGCGCCGAATTTAACCTTTTTCGTTCGTGAGCTCGGGCGTTCTGGTTGGCTCTGATTCCTTCGCCGTCCTTCTCCAGAGCAATGCCGTTTAACTCAGTTTCCTCTGTCTGCGACTTCAAACTCCCGTCCTTCGCCATGGCGACAGAAATATCTGCCGGAGCGAGGTCAACCAGCCCGACCTCCACGTCACTCAGGCGAAGGCCGCAGCACCGCCAGCGCCATTCCCAATCAAGCTCCTCGTCAGCAGCCGTTTCGTTCCGTACTGGGCAAATCCCCGCTGGCGATTGGCAAGGAAAGTGGCGTTGTCGGGTACGGCAAGTTCACACCTTAGATGTTTTTTTCCCTATCTCGAGCTGTCGCGTTAAGCCGAAGGAGACCTCGAAGACGCGCCTTGCTTTGTACCTCGATGTGTTGCTTCCAAGCCATTTTTTAGTCGACTCGAAGTCAACGGAAAGCTCCAGATTCCTTGAACGTTCCGCTGTGCCTTCGAGTGAGCCAAAACGAGTTGTTTTGATTTGCTTGTGTTGCCTTGGGCTTTGCGCAGGCCGCCGTTCCGCACCAAGCTGCTGGTTCCAGAAACCGAGGTATGCAGTGCTCCATTCGTTTCGCTATGAGCTTCTGCGTGTGAGGTGGTTGACCGTTGCGTTTTTTAAGCATAGCGTTACGCGTTCATGCGTACAACGTCCCCGATCGAATCTTTACAACAGATACTGTTCCTGCTGTGGGCTTATAGCGCGTACCGCGTCCGTTGCCCCTCGCTTCTTCCCCTCCTTCCAGGTTCAGCTGAGGATGAGTCTGACATAGATGGTCTTGCAGAAGAGAGCGCTGTGCTGCGAATCACGAACCACCACGTGGACATAGACCTATCGGCAGACGACACAGCATCAGACGACAGTGTGCGAGCCGTCGCTTGGTCCGACGATAGTGGGTTACACATACTCGAAGCAGACGAGACGAGCGAGATCAAAAGCAACGGTAGAGGGGTTGAACGGGCTGTGAACGGCAGTGCCCTAGGGAGAGGAAGTGGAGGGCAGAAGGAAGTGGTGAAGGAAGAGGGGATGGGCGGAGAGGAGGAGCTAGGGGTGGTGAGCGAACCCCCTATACCGAGATTATCATCTGCGGAAGAGCCCAAACCGCCATACGAGTTCAAGATTCTGAAGGTGTGTTGTTCTCTGTAGAGGGTTTTTTTTTCCTCTCAAGCTCTGATCCGGTGCGTCTTCATTGGTACGCTGCGCTCTTTGTGCCGTCGTAACTCGGTCGTCCTTCCTGACTCCTGAGGGCAGAGGCCATTTCCTTCCCACTCATGCTGCTCGCTCGGGAATCTCCCTGAACCACTCGCTATCCTCATTTGCCTATCTGAACCACTTTTTATCTTCATACGCATATCTTGACCACTTTCTATCCTCGGTCCGTACTCCTAAATCTGTGCGATTGTCTGTGCGGCCATCTGTGCAGGAGGAGCTGAAGTTCTCACGCTACCTAAATGTCTTCAACCGAGTGGTCGAGGTAAGCTCTTTGCTCCCGTGCTTGGCACCCGCCGTCTCAACGCAAAAGCGTGGCACTTCCTCTGTCGGCCATCTGCCTCGCATTGCACGTTGAACTGTGTTTGTTTGTCCCGAAGCTAAACTTTGTTCTCCAAGGTGGTAGTAAGTTGTTCTGAATTCTGCTAATAGCATGCGAACAACTGTAGCAAAAAGATGCGAACACCAGCCATCCCACTAGTCATTCACGTTAGCTTTGCCTTTGAAACACCAGGGGACATGCCTGCACTGCTTGACTTGATTGACGCAAGTGTGGCTTCTACTGTATTGTGCTTTATCTCAGACTTCTTCCTAGGCCTCATCCCTTGCCTCATCCCACATCTCATCTCACGCCTCACTCCAAGCCTCGTCCCATTCTAATCCTATGCTCAGCCCATGTCACATATCATGCATCACACCAGGCCTCATCTCGTGCCTCGTCCCGTTCCTCATCGCATGCTCATTCGTGTCTCATCACATGCCTCATCCCATACCGTCCCACAACTCATTTCATGCCTCGCCTCATGCTCTTCCTCATCCTTCTTCCCTCCGACCCCCTCGCCCTCCTCGTTCCCTCTCCCCCCGATCTCTCCCTCCTTTCCCCCTCCTTTCTCCATCCGCTTCACCTCCTGTTCTTCCCCTCCTCTGCCCTCCTTCCGCCCCCCTCGTCTCGTCCTCCCCTTCCTCTCACAGCATCCCCCCCAGCCTCTCCCCAACGGCCAAACCCTCCCAGCCAGCATGACCCGACCAGCATCGGACGAGCAGCCGGTGGGCGGCGATTGTCTGCTAGCGGAGGAGTTCGGGGTGACAGTGGAGAGGCCAGCCAACAGCAGTGGGCACTCGGGCGGGTGGATAGGGTACGGGCTGGAGCTGGGGCAGGTGCAGGGCGCGCAAGGGGAGCAGCGCGCGGAGCTGTGGCCGCAGCAGGTGGTGGAGTATGATGTGGTGGCCGCTAAGACCAAGTCGTGCCACTTCGTGTGTGTGCTGCCCTTCCATTCAAAGACCCAGACGGTTACTCTGTTGAAGGAATATGCCCAGGTATGTGATGGCAGCACTGGGAAATGTTTTGTAAGCAGTTGATGAGGAGGAGGTGCAGCTCAGTCTGGCAGACAAGGTCAGGTGGAAGTTCAGGTGGGGCCAGGCTGTGGGGAGCAGCGGGCGGAGCTGTGGCCGCAGCAGGTGGTGGAGTATGATGTGGTGGCCGCCAAGACCAAGTCGTGCCACTTCGTGTGCGCGCTGCTTTTTCGCACAGGTACGTGATGCAAGCGTCAGTGGTACTCTTGTAAGCAGGAGAAGGTTGCTGGGGGAAGGGTACTGGAGGAGGGGTGGGGGTGGTGTGTCAACTTTCACTCTCTCTCATCCTTGCTGTCCTGTACTGCACAACCGAGCAGAGCGCCAAAACATTTATCCATGCTACCCCTCGGGATCAGAGGAGCCAATGATCTGATATTATACAGAGTGTTGCTGTTCTGAAATCATGCCAAGTTACCCGCCCTATTCTCTTCTTCCTTGCGCCTCTTTTCCCTCACTCTCCCTCCCTCATTCTCCGTCACTCCCTCACTCTCCCACACTCTGCCTCACCTGCTTCACCTGCACTGGACTACACACCCATCCTTGTGCTGTATGCCGCCTGCTGCTGCTTTCCACTTAAACATCCCTTCACATGCCTGCCTTCCTCCTCCCTCTCTGACTCTGCCCCGCCTGCCTCACCTGCCTCCCCGACAGGGAGCGACCGCACTGGTGTACTCAGTGCCATGCCATGTGGGATTACACGGACAACCACACGTCCCTGGAGAGGAGGACTGTCCAAATGCGTTGAGACGACATACAAGCTCACTAAATTTCCCTCTCCCCGTCTCACCTCTGTGGCCCGTAGGGAGCAAACGCACTTGTGTACACGGTGCCGTGTGGGGGCTACACGGACAACCACACGTCCCTGGAGGACTGTGCTCGCAGAGAGCTGTCTGAAGAGGTGAGTAGCGAGCAGCAGGCGGGCTGGTAAGAGGCTGGATACGAGGTTGGTGAACTGGGAAGAGACAAGAGGAGGTGACGCAGAGACATGCAGCACAAAATGCAGTAGGTGGTGAGATGCGGAGGTGGTGCCTGAAAAATCAGGGTAGAAGTGATGAATAAAAAATGCACCCAGTATCAGCTCAGCACGGCTGTTCACCATTCAGGGGCGTGAGCTCGCTCTTATTCGCATCAGCTCTCGCCCCATGCCTGTCCACCCCTGCATGCATGCTCCAGGCGAAGCTGTGTGGGGGACAGCTCATCAAGCTCGTGGATGATGATCACCCGGGACTCCTCGAGGTGAGACTCCTCTTTTCCTTGCCATGCCGGCCTGTTTCTGCCTCCCTTGGGGTGAGCCTCGTGCCTCTTGCTGTCCTTTCATGCATACACTATGCTGTGTGGGGGGACAGCTCATCAAGCTCGTGGATGACAACCACCCCGGCCTGCTCGAGGTGAGACTTCCCGCCCTTCCAGTCCGAAACGTTTCTTCCTGCCCCATTCCGTGGGAACTGCATGCCCTTTCAGCCATACACAGGTGCGATCAGTTGAATCTATGTCTCTTGTCCCAACTGCCTACAAAGCTTCTAGTGTTTTTTATATACATATATATGCATACATACATATATCCAATATACTTTTGGAGTTGAAACGAGTCTGCTGCATCTCCTGCCCTTGCTGTGTGGCAGGTCAAGTGCTGGTCTGAAACCCATTGAATCAAGCTCGGAACTAAGCCTGTTGCATCCCTCTCCCTTGCTGCCTGGCAGGTCAAGTGGTGCAAGAATCGCTTCACTCCCTTTCTTGTCATCGATCCTCAGGTCAGTCAGTTTTCATCCCTGCGACCGTCAGGCCAGTCCCCCCCCCAGGTGGTTCCATTGCAACCTCCCTCTCTTCCTTTCCTCCCAGTCCTCGTTTTGTCCCCTCGCATCCCCACCCCTCCTGCCCTTCCTTCCCCTCTCCAATCCCGGTAGCTCCCCATGCGGCATGCGTGGGTGTGAAATGCCTGCTCTGAAGTGCCCCAAGTTGAGTTTCTCCCTTGCCATGCAGCTTGGGGCGCTGCAATGAACAAAGTTCCCCAGCGTATTATCTCTCCTACCTTGATCCCAGAAAGACTCTCACCTCGTGCCGATGTGGTTGCACCGCGTAACTAAGGAGAGAACAGAGGAGGACTGCCGTTATTCCTACCAGCCGCTCCTCCTGGAGTGGATTTTCCTTGCGCGCTTATCAGCATAAACCTGACCACTCTGCCTTGTGGTTTGGAGGAGTTTGAAGAAAGTGCTAGTGCCTTGAGCCGCCTCACATTCCACCTCTAGTCCTCCCCATGCCATGCCTTCCTTCCACTGTTTCCTCTCTCCCTTTCTTGTATCTTTCCCCCTGCCCTCCCGTCCTTCACGACGAATCGGACCCCCTCCCACACGCGACTTGGAAAGTGCAACAGTACACATCGCATACCAGTAGCGCACTCCTTATCCCTCCCGTGTCTCCTCACTCCAATCCCCCACTGTGCAGGACGACTCTGAACCTCCCCCGAGGGATATTGAGGACTTCATAGCGGTGTGCCGTGTGCCAGTGGGGGATCTGCACCCACTCACTCCTTCTAGTTCCCCTGTGCCTTCCCCCCCATTCCCCACTCCCCATTCTCCACTGTGCAGGACGATTCGGACCCTCTTCCAAGGGATTTAGAGGAGTTCATAGAGGTGCACAGGGTGCCAGTGGGGGACCTGCAGGGCATGGCGCTGAGTGGGGACATGCTGCTGCCCTCTGTCGTCACCTGCACCATGGCCCTCCAGTACCTCAAGGACAACGGTTGGCTGTGACGAGTGTAAGGAGTATGGTGTAGTGGGGGGGATCCGCGCCAGCGCTGAGTGGAGACATGCTGCTGCCCTCCGTTGTCACCTGCACTATGGCCCTACAGTACCTCAAAGATAACGGCTGGCTGTAGTGGTTGTGACTCTAGGGTGACGGTAGGGAGGGGACATGCTGCACGCCTTTGTGGTTACCTGCATCATGGCTCTACGGTACTTCAAGGACCAGGACTGGCTAACGAGTATGGCCAACTGGTGGGAGCCGGCGCTGGGGGCAGTAGGGCTGAAATTGTGTGGCTGATTGTGACTGTAATGGGGTGATGACTAACGGACAGTACATGTGTTTACAAATGCAAAACCTTACAGTACAGCCACATGCTGGTTGGCCCAAAAGTTACGTTTTACAAGCACACATGGATGTGGGCTGCTCATGCTCATGGCCTCCCATGTGCTGTGTTGCTGATGCACAGCAGCAAGTGAATGCATAAGCTGATTAATATTCTATTTGCGGTGTTTGATAGATCTTGTGCACTACTACACTACCTACTTCAGTCACGGTTCGCTCAAAACCGCCTAAATGTTTCAGCAGTGCCTATTCATGGTTTATGGTTTATGGTTTATGTTTTATACGATAATTTGTCGATTATTACCACTCATCTATTTCGCAGGGCTGGATGTGCTACCTGATCAATACCCAGTAGCTCTACCGGTATTGGTACAGAGCAAAATGTTTGATGCTGTCATCTGTTTACCACCGAACTTTATTCGATGGAATTTGTTGCATGTTTTTTCTATCCATTGAATCTGGCTGCACTACTCTTGGTCGGCACTTAGATGGTTTAAGTGTGAATAAAAGTTCCACAGACGTACAACACTGTTGCAACGGGCTCAGCACTGCAGGCGGGTACACAGAACTATTAACAAGCAAGGGCGGATGGTTCAACCATGTCCCTGGCCTGCTCCTGCAGGAGCCTTATTCACTCTGCCTGCACTAGATGCTGACAGCAGCGTCTGAGGTTCCTCCAGAGAGACCATCACAGGCAGCGAGAAAACTGCCTCAAGGAGAGCAGTGCTGCTGGCTGTGCAGTGGAGCAGAGCAGAGGGAAAGGCAGCTGACAAGAAAGGAAATATGGTGCTTATTCAATAGGAAAGGGCCATGCAAGACATGGAACTAAGGGCGTGAGAGAGGGTGGCGGGGGGAGGAGCGGAGGAGGAGGGTGGCAGGCACGGGAGGAGTGGAGCAGCATCTGTGGAGCCCCAAGAGTGACGGCTGCAGGCCAAAAGAATGGTGTGCCTTTGAGCTGCCTCAGACGCCGCTCTTCCTGTCTAGAGCGGCGTGACGTTAACCCGTACTCTAGAGCGGAGTAACGCTGATCTGCACCTTCATGCCGCCTGGGCCGCAGTGGCTGGGCACGGGGCATGCGAAGTAAAGCCCCGTGGCTGCATCCCCTGCCTGAACTGTGTACCTGCAGAGGGACGGGTGAGGAGATCGAGAGAGCAGGGAAAAACGGGGGTTACCTGGTGTATCCAAAGAAGCGCACGGGAGAGAACTTATAGCTCCCGCTGAAGTCACCTATGAGTTGCAATCCGATAAGGGAGGAAGACTGAGGGAGCAGGGCAGAGGAAGAGAGAGCAGTACGTGGCATAGCCAAAGAAGCGAATAGGAGCGACCTTGGTGCTGCCGCTGAAGGCAACTGTGAGTTGCCGTCGGATGGGAGAGGAAGATGGAGGGAGCAGGGCAGGGGGGTTGCGGTACCTGGCGTAGCCGAAGAAGCGAATAGGAGCGACCTTGGTGCTGCCGCTGAAGTCGCAGTTGTCATACGCCGTGCCGCTCGCCAGCTTGCGCACTCCGTGCGGCCAGAAACCCCACTTGAACACTGCAGGCCATTCGGTGGGTGCAGACGGGTGCAGGAGGGTGTGGCGAGCGGTCAGATGGGAAGGGAGCGAATGTGCAGCCGTTTTCTGGAAAGTCCAAAAAGAAAACGTCGGCAACAGCTTGCGACCAGAAATCCCACCTGGACACTGCAGGCAATGCGGTGGTGGTGGGTGTGGATGGGTGTGGCGCCGGGGGTGTGGAGAGAGGTAGGGCAGGAAGCAGCGAGGGAGGAGGAGGTGAGTGCAGGGGAAGATGGGCTAAAGAGTGGCACAGGCCTTGAGGGGAAGGAGATGCTGATGGAGAAACAAACTCCACTCCACCAAGGTCCTGAAAGTCGACCCTAAAGTCCCTTGAGTTGAGACGCCACAAACTATCATGGCTCTCAACCCCCCGCCCCCCCCCCCCCCCCCCCCCCCCCCCCCTGCCGCGCACCACCACATCATCAGTTAATCGCAAGCCCCCGCCCTCTCCCCAATGCATCTCCCACCCGCCAGGCAAACCCGCTGCTCGACCGGCGTTGACTGGCGTTGACTCACCGAGCACGTCGCCCGGCCTGATGACAGGCTGCCTCCACGACTGGTGGACGTAGAAGGACCAGGGCAGGGGGCCGTACCCCACCAGCACCGCCTTCGCCTGTAGGGGGGGAGGGCGAGCGGAGGGGAGGGAGGTGAAGGAGGGAGAGGAGGGGAAGAGAACAGAGAGAGGGCAGAACACGGTTAGGCTGACACAGAAGGACCACGGCAGGGGGCCGTACCCCACCAGCACAGCACCACCTTCGCCTGTGGAAGGGAGGAAAAGGGGAGGAGGGAGGGGACGGAGTTGGGGGTTGGGAAAAGGCAGAGGTCAGACAGGAGTTAAAGCGGCAGGTGGTACAGGCGAAGCTTCAACTTGGTGCAGCCAGTCTCTAGTGTATGAGCTTGAAGATCCTATTGCGGTCGTTTAAAGAAGATCTTGGCAGGGAGGGAGCTTGTTTTTGAGAAGTCTCAAAAACCAGAACGGATCTTGGCAGGGAGCTTGCCTGGGCTTGGAGCAGGACTGATGGCACACGTCAGCACACCCACGCCACGTGTGCAACATGCAGAGGCCGTGTGGCGCGCCCGTAATGATTCACGCAGCAGCACGTTGAAGGCCGCCACGTCACATGCCATGTCAGAGGCCGCCACGTCACATGCCATGTCAGAGGCCGCCACGTCACATGCCATGTGGGCGTTGTAGCGCCATCAGCGGCAGCAGCGGCGCGGAAAGGGGAAGAATGGGCCCGAGAAAATGGCGTGTAGGTGGGATCAAAGAGGGGTGAGGAGGCGACGGGAGGTGGAGGGGAGGGAGAGAGGGAGGGCAGCGGGAACCAGGAATAAGTTGCGGCTAATATCTCCTGATAAGACATGCAAAATGAGAAAGGCGAACGGGGAGCTTTGAAGGAGGAAGATATTATTTTATGAGGAGAGTCAGTTGAAGATGGTGACTCACGCGGCGCGAGCAGCACGAGCGTGCAGAGGAGAATCGTCGCGCGACGCGCCATGGCTAGTCGCGACACGGCTCGATTTCTTAGAGACAAACTTCTTGAACTCTTGGTTCTCTTGGGATGTCCGAGATGGGTTGAGAAAGGCGCTCTTCCCAACCACAGACAATTAGAGCGTTGCGACTGTTAGTTAGCCTCGTGGTTAGCGCTGCGTGCAACCTAAGTGGGCACAGAATAATCCCGAGAGCGCCACAGAATCTGGCATAATGGCTTGAAGCCGCCATTGAAATATAAGCGGCGCTGCGCACAGAGCGCTACGATGAGCTCTGAGTAAGGTTAGGGCACAGCAAGGTTCGATCTTGAGCGCGGCGCGAAGCGCTGTCCTTCCTTGCGGCTTGTCGCTGCTGCAGGGAAATGGACGGCGGCCCACACGGCTCGTAAGGGTGGTTAGACCCGACCGCGCGCCGTACGGACGACATGGACGGCTCTTGTTGGCTGAAAAGGTTAAAATGCGCGGCGCCGCAAAGGCTACTCTGGGAGAGAAAGAATCCAAAAGACAAGCAGCTATGGCTATTGTCGGCGAGGCGAGAATGAGGGAACAGCCAGCCACGATAGTACTGGTTTCGCTGTTCAGGCAGGAATCAGCGAGCCGCGTAATAGGTGGCCGCCGAGCCCACATGAGGCCGCCACGTGTGCGGCTTTCCATTCCATTCGCTTTATAGGCAAGGAAGCGTGTTGAAGGCCTGAACACTACCTGTCCATAAACCAAAATATATCATTAACAATTGGTACGGTAAGAAATATCCAAATCGTTAGCCATTTGTGGCTGATATAACGGTACAGTAGTAGTTGGTATGTGTTTGCCATGGACAACCCTATCCTAGGCTATTAAATTGAAACGGTCTAGCATAACAAATACAGCTTAAAAGATACTGTACAACAAAGAACAAGTTGATTATTGAAACAAAGGCTACAAAACAGACGCTTCCAAAGATGCTGCGCTTTATTATGAATGCGCTGTCATGAGAAGGGATGGCGACTTGAGAGTTCTAGTGGGACAGTGCAAGCGGCTTGGCATGACAGTAGAGGGATGAGGATGCGAAGGAATTCCAATAAGGTCGCATGGCCGCTCTGGTTGCTGTGCTGCAACCAGCTTCAGATGGCACAGGGTGGGTGGGAGGCGGCTTGGGTGACAGGCAGCTTTGGTTGGCATTCTAGGGCGAGATGGGAATCATTGTCTTCATGTGGTAGGCGCTGCAGTGAGCGTCCACGCTGCAGGCGAAGAAGAGAGTTGTGCCCGCTGCTGTCCGTGGCACCTTGTACCTGAGACAATTGAGAGCGGTTGGGAGGGTTCAGCGGGTTTGAGAGGGTTAGAGGCAGGGACATGAGGATAGGCGATGACATGAGAATTTCTGCAGGGGAATATTCACAGTTGCTTTGTGTTTGCCTTGTGTTATGCAAGGATTCTCAACAGTATCAACGAGACAAACCAAAGGTTGGTGGAGGCTGGTGAGAGTTGGTGAAGGGTGGCAAAGGATGGTGAAGGACGGTGACGGGGGGTGATGGGGGTTGGAGTATGGTGCTGGTGGGTTGTGCAAGAGATACTGCAACGGTATGTGCAGCAGAGCAGGGAGCAGCTCACTTGTAGCGCTCGGAGATGTGAACACGCTTGAGCCT